GACTTCCTTTTCGTAAGTTTGACGTCTATGTCTGTAACGTCGTGATCTAAAGATTCCCTAACTAATGTATCTGCTGTTTCGTTACCGGGGATAATTATATGAGACGGAATGTACGCAAAATCGCTTTGAAGTTGGGCGTCGCTCCTTTGTAATCATCGGCAGAATATACTATAAAACATAACTATTGATCTGGCAGATGAAAAAAATGATACCGTTATTGATCTGGCAGATACGATAGCATCACTATCGACCTGCCTGATACAATAATACAGCTAAGGGACAAAGACTTTCAACTTGTTGAACGCACATTATGTAATATCATTTGGAAGTTGTTTTTATGGAATAAGACGATAACCTTATGGAATAATACTGGTAAGATTTGAGATCTTCGCCGTCTTGATTAAAAAAGAAAAAACAAAGGAACTTGCATACCTCCAAAATGCCCAAGAAACTTTTCATTTTTCTATTTCTTCAACGAACCTTGGTACTGCTTCCTAGTGTTCGTGCGAGTTTACAGAATCAATGTACAACAACATGGCTTTGTTTGTTTTTTTTTTCATGTGGAAACCGCTTCTTTTATACAGTGGAAGTCAGGTGACCAAAGTGTATTTTATTAGCCTACAATTGTGGTTTTGTTATCCTGTTCATATTATTATTATTATTGTTTATTCAGTCAAAGGCATAATAAAATTACACATTACAAATATTACATAAGCAATTCCATAACAATTAAAATCAGTAATAAATTATTGTGGATTTCTTAAAATTATTAATTATAAAATATAAGATATCACAGAAGAATTTCACATACCTTAAAATATCACAGTTTAAACTAGTATCGCAGAAATCAAATTACACTTTGCTTGCAAATATTCTAAGTAAAATAGTTGAAAATTTAGAAATATCAATAAAAAAGAGAGAAATTTGATAAAACCAGATGAAAATGCCTTTGGCCTTGGATTACCCATAAAGCCTATAAAATAGGCTTATTTCCAATGGGGTCCATTTAAGGTGTAATCCTTCCGGTTGGGATGTAAAGCCATGGAAACGAGATTAAATTAATTTTCTTTATTCAATTTTCATAAACTATAAATGAGACAGAGCACTACAATTGAAAGAAAATTACATTTACATAGAAGATATGAAAACAAATACTGAAAGTGAATAAAATGTTTTGGCACATTTCAGGGCATTTATGAAAAAGGATGGGATTTGAAGAGGTATTACATAATAATATAACATGATCAATAATATAACATAATATGAACAATAATATAACATCACTACCCGTTCAACCAGACGCAAAGAAGTGGAGGTTGAGCTCAATAGTAGACGAAGGGGTTGTCAAATTCGCCTTTTGATTGTAGCATCAGAAAATGTTTTACTTTGTTTTTAAAATGATATTTATTTTTAGAATTTTTAATATTTTCTGGAAGGGAATTCCAATCTCTTGCGGCCGAAGTAGAAAAGGAAGAACTTTCTATGCTTTTAACGTTTTTTATTGAGAAGTTCATTGTTCCAGATCTAGTACCACAACAGTTTTTGTTTAGAGAGAAAAGTTCATATAAATATTGTGGACATTTACCATTATAGATGTTAAAAGTATGGTTGAGGCGAAGTTGACGGACCCTTCGTTCTACATTTAGCATGCCTAGTTTTTCTAATTCAGTGACAGTGATCCTTGTTCTGTTATCAAGGTTAAGAATAAAGCGGACCATTTTGTTTTGGGTAGTCTGGAGTATACCTTTGAGTTTCTTAGTAATTCCTTCATACCAGAAGGTGCACGCATAATCAAAGTGGCACTGAATCAGAGCAGAACATAAAGTTTTTCGAGATTTTAGAGATAGACATTTACTATTTCTGTACAAAAATTTAAGTCTTTGGTTGATTTTGTGGATAATGTTGGAGACAATTTCCTCTCCAGATAGAAATTTATCTATCGTAACACCGAGGTATTTTACTGAAGATTGCGAAACAATGTTTTGACCGTTACATGAAATTTTGAAATCATCCTCGGGTACTTGTCCTAATTTCCTCTTTGGTCCAAATAAAATACTTTCTGTTTTACCTAAATGTAATGATAGTTTGTCGTCAACAAGCCAATCATGACATGATTCCAAAACTAAGGATAATTTTGAAGAGATTGTTTTAGGACAGTGATGTGAAAAAATAATTGCACTGTCATCAGCATACAGAAGTAGTTTACAGGAAATGTCTATATTTATCCGCATGTCATTTACATAAATCAGAAATAAAAGAGGGCCCAGTAAGCTACCCTGGGGGACCCCACAATGGATGTTGTCCATTGCGGAGGTCACTCCATTTAAACTCACTAATTGGGATCGATTTTCTAAGTATGATTTAAACCAGTTGCAGGACTCGACACCAATGATTTTCAATTTCTCACATAGGATCGAATGGTTCACCGTGTCGAACGCTTTTTGTAAATCAAGTAGGACCATGCCTGTATAAAGACCTTTGGCTGTTTGAGATTTGATTTGATCAATCAAATAAATTAAACAAGAATCAGTAGAGTATGACTTCCTAAAGCCAGATTGGAGTTCATACAATAAATTATTTTTAGCAAGAAAAGTTTCTAATTGGCTGAAAACGGTTTTTTTCCAAAATTTTAGACACGATGCTTAAAATGCTGACAGGACGGTAATTTTCCGCCTGCAGTCTATCTTTCTTTTTGAATAAAGGAATGACTTTCGCAGTTTTTAGATCGTCCGGAACTACGCCTTCAGATATTGAAAGGTTAATTAAAAATGTGACTGGAATTTTGATCATCGGTGCAGCGTCCCTCAGAAATCTGGCAGGAATTTGGTCGAGGCCTGTACTTTTACATACATTTAGGTTACATAGCTCTTTATAAACAAAATCTTCTGAAACATGGCGAAGATGAAATTTTGCGCCTTTTGGATTCCTTTTAGAGTAAAAATCATGAAATAATTTGGTAGAATAATGATAAATTCCTTTACATAAAGGTAATTTATCTACAAGTTTTGAAGCAATAGTTGTGAAAAATTTGTTGAAATGGTTGGCTATGGTAACAACATCATGGCAGTTTTCACCATCAATATGTAAAACTGTTTTAGGATTTGATTTCCTGCCTCTTTCATAGCCCAAGCCCTTAAATTGTTTCCAAAGATTTTTTGAATTTCCTTTGTTATCTTCAATTTTGCTTTCGAAATAGTTGTTTTTGGCTTTTTTTATGAGTTTTTGTATACGATTTCTTAACTGACAAAATTGACTGTAAAATTCTGGATTATTAGACTTTTGAAATAAATTTAGTTTTTTGTCCCTTTCAGAATTGATGTATAAAATATCGGCCGTAATCCATGGTTCAGTTCGCTGTTTTAGTCGAACTTCCTTTTTAGGAGCGACATGGTCTAAAGCCTCCATAAAAAGGTTTTTAAAAAATTCCCAGGCTTGGTTTATGTCAGGGGCAAGAAAACATTTTTCCCAATTAGCCTCGGCCAATTTACTAATAAATGAGTCTCTGCAATAGTTCTTAGTTGACCGGATAGTGATATTGTTATGTTTGTTAGAAACACTTTTTGTAATTTTGCGAGTGCAAAAGACAGGAAAATGGTCACTAAAACCTATATGTAAAATACCAGACTGACTTATCTTTCTTTGGAGTTACACATAATATGATCTATAAGTGATGATGAAGTATCAGTGACCCTAGTTGGGTTTGAGACAATTTGTTCAAAGTTCAAAAATTCTAAAAGACTACAATACGTAGAATATAATGGGTTGTTTTTATTTTTTAAACAGATGTTAAAATCACCCAGAATAATAATTTCTCCTTCCAAGTTTAGATTGTGTAAAGTGTCTTCAAAGTTATCACAAAAGTTATTTTGGTTAGGTAGTCTGTAACATGTACCTACAGTGATAGGTTTAGCTTTTGGTAGGAGAATGTTTATAAAAAGGAACTCGTCATTCTCATTTGTCACGTCCAATGGGGTGAAGGATAAATCCTCTCTGATGTAGGTGCATACGCCACCGTCTGAACGGTTTCTGTCTTTACGTAGAACAGCGTATCCGTCTATGTGTATTTCAGAGTCGGTAATGGAACCATCAAGCCAGGACTCGGTGACAGATAAGACAGCAGCATTAGTTTCCATTAGTCGACCATTTTTAGTATCTTTCAAACAAAACATATTTGAGATGACTTTATTTATTTCATTTATTATATATAGTTATTTTTTACTATTTATATGCCTGATTTATTTATTGATAACAGCAGATGTTTTAGATTATGTTCGAATTCAAAGTGAATTTAATCGTCATTTGTACTTATATATAGCTTTTCTTTATACGTTCTTTATACGTTTCAGCACGGGTGTGGAACAGTCTTCTGAATGAATTACGAAAGTGTGAATACTACCCATAATTCAGGAGGCTGATCCACACCTGGGATGGCCCGATATGTTCCTGTTCTATATGTGCCAAAATGAAACCTTGATCTGCTTTCTGTGTGTGTTTGTCATTTGGTCTATGTTGCCAATGTTTATTTCTTACTGTTTGTTTCTATATATTTTTTATGGACTAGGGACCTGGTTTGTGGGGACTATACTGGCCCAACTTACCAGACCTCTGGGCCATTTTAATTTATAACCATTAGTGCTTTCATAACTTAAATATGCTGTGTCTTTATGTACATTTTAATCAATGGAAATCCCGTAATTAACATCTCGAGTTACTACTCTGTGCATGTTTTATGTCCATACACGTATGTTTCATATTTTGTTTTTGTTTTTTCTTTTATATTGATTTGTTTTCTCGTAATAATAGCTCCTCTGAGCTAATGTTGACTTTGTTTATCATATACGACACAAAATAAAGCTTATTGTATTTTATTGTATTGTACGTTCTCCCAATTCATAAAATGGGTATTAGAATATACTTCATACACTTAGTCAGTTGTATGTTTTACACTATGATAGACATAGTACAAACATTGGTCGGACTCAGACTACAGGCGCGTTTGTACTATTCATATTTTTACTTCAAATTTTTTGGAAAATTTTGGACAAATCATGAGCTCAATAAGGGAAAGAAGTCTAGGTGTATTGCAACTTAACTGATAAGAGCTCAAAACTGTTTTATCTATTCATAGGTACGGCTGTAGTTCCGTTGTAATTAGTTATATATGCTCGCGTCGACCTGTGGTGGGTAAATCGAGTAGCCCCAGCGGTACATGAGCCTGGAAATTTCACTTTAAAGGTAATATCATTAGAACACTTGGGTAATTCTTGGTGAAATTGAGAAAATAGCTAGTGTTCTTTACAGTTTCCGCTTGTAATTAATGACCATGTAGTTTCACCTGTTTTCACGTTCCCAGGTGTAATAAGATTTATATTTCTTACTGTAATCACAGTTACGTTTTAGTCTATGCTGTTATCCACATTGTTTATAAACGCAACTGAATGTGGTAATTAGTGATACCGATAATTAGCCAGAGTTGCTGTAGAAATGTCTGTATCCGTACTTGGTTTTTTCTCTGTAGAATGATAATTTTTCCTTTCAGAAAATGCCAGTCCAAAAAGCCATCGAGAATTTTCAACCTTATATCAGCAAGTCTTTTCTGAAAAGTGTAATATATGCCACTTTTCCTGGAGCGATCTGCTACATCTTAACAAGTAATACTTACCATTATTGCTTTAGAGATAGTAAATTTCATTACAACAGTGTATAGGTTCAAAGTAATTTGATATATTTTCTCAGAGTATAATGTATTGATAAAATCCTTTTATGTTTTGCATACTGGTACATACACTTGTATCTTTGTACTTTGTATCTGTCTGTGATTAATCTTCACCCTCATATTATCTCTAGAATTGCAGGCAAGTCTTCATAAATCATAGATATAGACAGATTGGAAGAGCCATATTTTCTTTTGAAAGATCAAAAGTTATTTTCATTTTTGAGAAATAAACACAGAATAGAATAATGTTTTGCAAATATTTTATGTATAAAAGGCATGCTTATCATCAATTACTTGTGTATGCATAAATTTTATGTTCAGTTTTGGAACTCGTCCATGGGACAGCATGGCTACAAGATAAACACAGATTTAAAAAAAATCCCATCAAACAAAAAGTTATTGTTTATTAGTTAAAATATTCCTCAGACTTGATTCCTGTCTATATATTCTCTTTCTCACCTAAAACTGCCAGTTTTTCATTATGGCATAGTGATACATACTCATTAATAATAGTAATAATGATAATAATTCTTTATTTTCAGAGGGTAACATGTTTAGTACAAGTATTCTCATTTTCCACATTGCTTACTTGTAGAGTCATGTCCCTTTGTTTGGATGCTAAGTTAATGGGAATACAGTATCACTTTTATCTGGATGAAGTGACTTATTGATTGAAGAGCTATAACCAGTTAGGAACTTTCCTTGTCTTGTACAAATATATTTTGATATCAGATTGTCAAACTTTATTTACATACGGTGTTATGACCAAATATGGCATGCTATTTATGTACTGAAGATCAGCCCATTATTAATGTTTGATTTTTTTTCACATGTATGTATTGTATTTTAAGAGGCTCAAGTGAACTTGATATGTGTGTGTATAATGAAAGTGAGAACAATTTTAACTTTAACTATCTGAAGGCTAGAGAGACATAGCCCAAATGATGGATGCATGGGTATACATACAATACATTTGTATCACAGTCAGACTGTTGTACTAATCACTATATGGTAATCTTGTTTCATTGCATAATGATTTGTGTGTCAGCTATAATAACAAAGTACATGTATTAGAATCCAGGTGACAGTGATGAGTTCTTGGGTCTCTATCGAGTACATTTAGGTCAATATCATGTGCATATAGAAATGTATTACTGTGTAAACTTTTGGAAATTGAGATTAGCTATATGTTAGATGTTTACTTTCACTTTATATTTTTCAGGTAATCATTATTTATCAAGACGAGTATTCTTTGGAGTAGCTGGTATCACTCTTTCAGGATACCTGTAAGTATATATGTCCATCCTTCATGTGTAAATTATATATAGAACTACATGTACTTTGATATAGTAGAAAAATTTTAAATGTATGAACAATCAACAGTAATCCCTTGTCAATCATGCTTGGGTATTCACTAATAAAGTGATGAAAAGAAAGAGATCAGCTTTTCGGATGGCACAATGGTAACACACTCGTGTTTCATATAGCTGTCCAGGCTTTGATTCCTGGTATGGACGTGAAAAGTTATGACCATGTGGGTTTTCCCGGGTACGCCGGTTTCCTCCCACAGTAAGATACACCATGCACATCCATCCGGGCTAACAAGAGTAATTAAATATAAACTGATAGCTTGTTTTGCAGTTGTTGTTAAGTGAATAAGATTTACATTTTATATGATCAACAACAAGCTCAATTTATCTGTCTTTACTTTCTAAAATACATTTTATTTGAAAATAACATCTGCATACATACGTAATGTCAACAAATGATTTTAAATACTTTGTGAGTTATCCAAGTGTAATAACAAATAGAGAACAGAGCAAACGTGCTTCACCTTATTTATGATAGCTATGACATACAGTTACAGACCACTGGATTGGTTAGATAAGATCATTGTAAACTGCACTGGAAGCCTGGAAACTCTGGACTTTATCATGTTTCCTGTGGCATCAGTATTTTACATAATATCCTATTCCAGTGCTAGATGTGTTGTCATGTGTTTATGTCAAATTCAAGGAGCATTAATGTTCTTAGATGAGCTTGTAGTATTTAAGATTCTTGTCTTATGAACAAAATTAATAATAAAATACTGTTAACATTTCAGATACTCATATGGCAGTAAGGAAATGAAAAAAATAGGACTGTCCGTGAAAGACCTAGTTACAATGGATGATGAATAATTTGGAAAATGATGCAATTATGTGTTTCGATGTATCTGTGTATGGATGGCTCTCACCAAAACGGAGACGACTCTGTTGTGTAACAGACTGTTTTGTTACAATTATAGATGTTTGTGAAGTGTAGGAATGTCCAATGTATGGATAATTTTGATTTGTCGCCTGTGTGGATGATGATGTTGGTGTATATGGTTATTAGTATAAATGGGTCTCTAATGCGTATAAAAGAGTATTCAAAGGATAATTGTTTAACACCTTTAAATAAAGAGATCAGGTTGTCAGATAGCGCAGTGGTAACACACTCGTGTTTCATCTAGCTGTCCAGGGTTTGATTCCTGGTATGGACGTGAAAAGTTGTCTTCAATAGATTATCTGTACATATGTTCCATGTGCAGACATAGTAAGTGGAAAGATCTTGCCTATGCATGTTTATGTGTTTTTTTGATCAGCAGTGATATGTTCCCATTTGACATCTTATAACTAAAGTATGTTATTAAAGGAGTATATACAGGGATTGAATTTACGGACTAATTACATTTTGAATGATATTCAATACTATGTTAAAGACAATATCCTACCAGCTGTAATGGTGTTTGATGATGTAATAGTGTTCTCCACGAACATTCACAAATTATAGAATTATTTAAAGTGACTTTGGCTCTGATAATGATGTGATATATTGTTTCTGATAATGTTATTTATTTGTAAGTTTGAAAATAAAAATAAACATGTTATTTTCTTTATCCATTCAGATTTATATTTCAGCAGCTCAATTAGTGTAGGGCAACCAAAGCTCAGTTGGTAGATCTTCAGATTATCCGAATTCAAGTAAGGATTGTTGGTTCAATCCCTACCTGGGAGTGTTTGCATTTCTCATGAAAATTATTTCACATACTATGCTGTGCTGTCATGTTTGTGTTCTTGGTGACACTTTAACAGACAAATGGATTTGGATACCATATAGCAATGAGATTTGACCTACAGAAAAAATAAAAGGGGCATAACTCATATAAACTTCTCTGTTTCCAAAACTTATCGCAGGTGCACAACTTCACAGTGTGTGGATGGTATCCGTAAAGTTTCTCAAATTTTGGGTAAACATAATTACCTGGACAAGATTATGTCTACAATGAGAGTTAAGGGAGCACAAATTCAGTAAAAATAGGTTGATCCAAAACAAGAATTGCAGGTGCACAACCTAATTAAGGCAACAATGAAAATTAAGGAGAATTGTGTGAACAAGGTCCTGTCTACAGACGGATGGATGGAGAATTTAATTCCAGTAACTGTACCTCCCCTAACTTCATCGCTGGGGATGTAATCAACAAAGTTATGCTTACCTAGTTCCAAGGTCAAGTCAAGGTAAATAAATATGTAGTATAGGAAATATAAGACACAAACTACTTCTAATTTTTTCTTGGTCAAAGTCATAACAATCGGACTCCAATACATACACATTACACTCTCAAAATGCACCCACGGCATAGTGTTAAAACATTGATTACTAGGCAAGATATTGAATTTTCATCGCTGAATAAAACGAAGATGGCAGGTTGTTGAAATCACCCGTGCATAGTCCACAGTCTTCCCAACATTAATCCATGTTATCTTGCAATTTTTGTGATCTGTTTGATATGTTGGGTTCAATTTTGGGACTGATCAGAAAATTAAAACGAATTTTGAACTTTGATCCACATAGAATTTTGACTGTTGAAGTTTATTTCAGGAAGAACAGGATGGATCTATTAGATTGTTTCAAATATTGGAATTTCCCTTGGTCCATAGTTGTTTATATTTAATTTTTCGAGAGATCAGAAAAAAATACGACTGACAGGCAATCATCTTGATTCTGACCTTTGAATGGATTATTCCTATTTCTAAAAAAATTACCTTTCCAAATTTTTATTAGTGTTTTGCTTGGTGAGTATGTTATAACTGATAGAAATAACAAACTCCTGACATTTTAATACCTGCTGCCATATTGGATTTGTTTGTCATTACTACTCATAAAGAACAAAAGGGACCATGTCCAAATTCATTTTATTTTTTCGTGATTCCTAGTTATACCTGTTTAATCTTGGAAATGCTGATAGGTGGTCATCATGAACTTGAAGTGGTTATGTTTTCATGTGTTGCTATTTTTCAGAGAGAACTTTAGATGGGCTGTTCTGAAAATACATTTTTCACCCATTTTTTGGGCCCAATCCCACAAATCTATCACATTTTAATAACTCAAATCACTGGATTTGAAATTCAGAATATTTCCCACGTTATCATTTAATAAGCATTCTTGATTCAACTTTCATTGTCTTGGTAATCGCCTCAAATTGCATCAACTAAGAACATTGGCAAAATTTGTTGATTTTGGCATAAATAAAAACTTCGATGTTGAAGCTTTTACAAACTAATTGTTTGAGTGAAAAGTCAATTTTATTACTGGTCTATATTCACATAGAAAAGATTACCCTAACCTTCTTGATTTGATTTTATTCACCACTTAGTCACAGACAATAACAGATTCATAAACTATTCTTGGCAAATTGCCTTCCCTTTATGACCCAAGAGGGTCTGGTCAGGACACCCCAAACACGTCACATAGTGCCTTTTAAAACTTGAATTAGGTTTTTTTAGCAAACCACTTGTCTATATTTTACCAAATATGTAAGAAATGATCCATGGCATGTGTGAACAGGAGGACAAAAGGGGTATCAAGGAGGGTTCAAGGAGACAGCAATCATCGTGTAGACAGGCACTCCAAGGTCATGTTGGTCAGCAGTATATATTGGTAATAAATGTGGTGATAACCATTACTTCAAGGTTCAGGAAATTTCTGTTAAAGTTGATAATGCTGCCATGAAAAGTTAAAAACAAAAACAACACATTCACCAGTCACTGTCTTTATTTTTTTAAGCATGTTCTTCACATGAAAAACTTTAAAAACTTGTGACATAACTGCCACATGCCTGTTGTATATATATATTATATAAAATGTTCTATTTTATAATCACATATAAAATAAGTGTCGTAATTTTCAGCAGATGATCTAAACTTAGAGTCTTTTTTGGCTGATAAATGTAATAGTCATGAATTTAATCCAAACTTAGAAATTGTCATACTTCTTCATTTTTATCTACTGGGTACTTCTTGGACTGCAGCACTATTGTACCTTATAGACAAAAAAAATCACATCTTTACCAATCAATCATATTGGAAAACAATTAGACAAACAGTAAAGGACCAAAAACCTCACTTACAATGAATGAGAGTCAATGTTAAAATAGCTCTGCTACTGAATATCATAGGTCAAAGATTGTGAATGTTCACCACCTAGCAGGTATTAAAAGTTGATACAAAGTATCATGCATGCATGCATGGTTCACCATCACTTGGAAGCTGCCAGATGATCATCATGAGACTGACAATGAAAGAGATCACAAGATCATCAACCTGTGTGACTTTCAAAGTTTAAAGGAAACCACCAGACAATCATCATGGACAAGGCATCCAATTCTGAGCTGAAGGCCAAAGACCATCAGGCAGGGAACTTCAAATATTGGATGGAAGTCCCAAGATGACCTCTTCATGTGCAGCAATCAAAGTGAAATTTCCTTGAAGAAATTACTTTAAATTCCCATTTTTCACAATCATTCATCATGGGCCTCTGATGTGCTCCCTGGACAAGATGATTCCAAGTCCTCAGCATCTGCAGGAGAATCAAATCTTTTTTGTTGTATTCATCAAAATAAATGTTCATTTAAATCAAAGAAAATTTGACATACATTTTCCCTACTCTCGTCAAATACTGCCACAGCACTCCGACACATTAACTTGTTTATTTTTTTTTGTAAAACCTATTGTCAAAACCATGAGAAACAAGTGGACCTAAGACACAATTTTTATCCCATATTTATCTAATTTGTTTATCTTTGATCTGTGACATGACTTATATAAACTTTTCGTACATAACTAAATTTCTTTGCTATCAAATGAAAGTGAAACAGTAAGAGTAACTTCAAAACTGAAGTATAACAAAATTTTAAGTTAAAAAGAACTTGAATCATTGAATCACTTTTATGAGAAAATTCTACCCCATATTTTAATTGTCCAACTCTCCCAACTTACCATTGTACCTTGTGCCGCACCATACACAGTAGACATGCTTAGTTCGCAGGTATTTAGTTAAGATTTGAAGCTTCTCTGTAATCTGAAACATAAATCAATCCTTTCTGGTTAAAGTTTTCACTCCTATCCTAATATTGCTTACTTTGAGTTGTGATCATGGTATTCTGTTTTGTCGCTTTCCTTTATCTAAATACTTATTACCTAAATCTTTAAATTTAAAAATAAAGAAAATCTAAATTCAATAAAAATCTAAATTATCCAGTATCCCAGACCAAATTAGTTTCTGCCTCGAAATTGATAGTTGAGCTACCTGGGGCTTGCTTCTTCTCCATGGCATTGATATCTCTATGCTCAGTTTTACTTAGTTTACTGGAGATGGAGATGTGTACTTTGGTCAGGGTGCTCTATCTACATGTACTACCTAAACAGGATTATTCGAGAGATAGAAGCAATACAACCAATAAACTTTGGACTTACTGGTACTGTGTCTATAACTTCTTCTTCTTCTTCTTCCTCATCTTCCTCTTCCTCATAATCATGCAATGATCTTAATGGTTTTTTGGGTATACCATCATTTCGATCATCATTGAAATCATCATCATAATCCTCCTCCTCACAAACATGCTGCTGAGCCTTCTTTTTTAAATGCTTTAAGTGAGAAGCAGGCCAATAATAATAAACTTCAGGCTCTTTGATATCCTAAAAATAAAAGAAAAACACAATCTAAGTCAGACATTGCTTTGACATACAAAAAATATCAAATTTATGATATTGGCACATCCTTCTTGTCTGGCTATTCCATCCATTAACAAGAGGCCAAGCAGCCTTAACGGTCACCTGAGATAAGCAATATTGAATATAAAGGTTAAAGGGTCAGTAGCTTTCAAGTGTTAAGAAAAAGAAATCCTGACATTGATGAGAGCAAGCAAGTGTCAATATGCATACCATCAAAACTGTCATTCAAAGGTAATATTTCTCCTCAGGAAGAAATGTAAAATTTCGTAAAATACCTTAAGATGCTTTCATCTATGATGAGCATTTGATTCTACCATACCTGGGTTTGAGAAGAAGATTTTTGAAATTTTAGTCAATTAGACCCCTTTTAGCCCCACCCATAAGCCTGTGGGAGTCAGTCAGGATCAAGATGTACATACCATCTAACCATCAGCCTTTGATCATAATTCTTACCAAGTTTGAAATATTTCCAATGAAAATTAAACAAATTACATATGTATGTTAAAAAAATCTACTTTTCCTATTAAACTTTGGTAATATTTACCCCCTCCCCACAAGGAAATATGAGACCCTGAGGCCATGAAATTCACAATTTTGGTAAAGCACCTTAAGATGTTTCCATCCATGAAGAGTATTTGATTCCACCATATCTGGGTGTTGAGAAGAAGATTTTTGAAATTTAAGCCAATTTGACCCCCTCTTGGCCCCGCCCATCAGCCCCTGGGGGTCAGTCAGGTTTATAATGGGCATACCATCAAGTCTTCGTCTTTCACTCATTATTCTAACCAAGTTTGAAATATTACCAATGGAAATTAAATTTTGCTCAAAAATCTAGTTTTCCTACATAAACTATAATAAACTTTACCCCTTTCCCCCCGCGAGGAAATGCGAGACCCTGGGGTCATGAAATTCACAATTCTGGTAAAGCACTTTAGGACGCTTCCATCCATGAAGAGCATTTTATTCTACCATACCTGGGTGTTGAGAAGACGATTTTGAAATTTAAGATGACCCATTTTAGCCTTACCCATTGGCCCCTTGGGGTCAGTCAGGATCAAGATGTGCACCTACCATCAGGACCCTGAGGGAAAGGGACCATCTTTTTGGTTTATCTTAGGCCAGGAAAGGTTTTGGAAAATTGAAATCAGTTCAGAAGTTTTTGAGATGAAGTCAAAATGTTAAATTGTTTACAGACACATGACAACACTGGACAAAGGTAATCACCTTTGATTAGAAAAAACTTAAAAGTAGAAATAATTCTTCTATATCAATAATCCAGCTCGACAGATATTTCGTTGCCACCAACTAAAAAGATATCTAATTATCCAACAACTAAAATATATATTTGTGTAATCTTGCATTAAAGGTGAACTATTATAAAATCTTACCTGAAATACATACAAATGTGTGTGTAATCTATTAACTATTGTAAACTTTGATAAAAAGATACATACTTGAGTGATGTTATAATCTAATGTAAAATCATACCATCTGAGAATCAAGTTGTTCACACACTTTCTGACTTTTATATAAATCTCGCTCTGCCTGCTGTTCTGAGAACCTGTTACTCATATGACTCATAAAATGTTGTTTCTGTCGCAGTTCCATCTTCTGTCGTTTATGACTGATCATTGCACGAAAGGCAACTGCCTCAGCCTGTTTCCTCTTGACTTGTGTGTCTCGGCCCAAACCCCCACGACCATCTTTCAGTTCTATTGGCACTGGCTCTGAACGGCCTTCTCCTACAAGAATGTTACACACAATGGATACAAATGTTGGGATAAAACAAGAACAATGAATATACACACCTACACTTTCATATTTAAAATTTTCATATTGATGTATCTTGAGAAGATGGAGTGTTATGTCAGAATCTCAGATTACCGTGTCTACAAAGTTATGGCCCTTTATTAAATCTAGTCTTAAATTACTTGCTATTTCAATAAAATGTACTACAGTGATTATTGAGAAGCTGCAGTGTCTTAACAAATATAAGTACATCCTGGTTATATTATATGATTTGGACTATATCAGGTAAGGCCAGAAAGAGGAGCAACTTGATTCCTTTCATCGAAATAGTTCAAAAGGGTGGACATGCATTTGTTCTGCCCATGGTTCTCTTATTCCTGTTTGTTTTGTTGTTTGTTTAAGGACATATGAAACTCACATTTGACTAAAAGTTGGGCATTATTCAATACAAAATTAATAAATTCCAACATTACATCATACTTTTGTTTTTTATATTCTTTGTTACCAATACTTGTACTGTTTTGTCAATAGTGGAGGCTTTAATAAATTTGACATTCTACATTATTTTTTTGTGGACTACATTTTGTTGCAGCATAGCTGACTTCAAAATTCTGTTTTTCAGCAACAACAATTTCAAAGTTTGCCCATTCCTAGGTACTTATCTGGAATATAACTCTGCAAGTTTTAGGCAGAAATCAACAAGATTTAGAATAAATTACCATTTGGGCAAAAATTATAAAGTTTAAGTGGAGGAACCCCTTCTATTCTTTGTATGGAAACTATTCCCAAACATTTTTCTATCAAAGCAGAAATCCTGAAAAAAGTTTAATTTTAGAACATTTGTCAAATAAGATTTTAGCATCTTTTTCAAAATTAACGTTTTGCATTTGATATGGAAATTTGCAGCAGTCAAACCAAAGTGAACATTAACATTTTGATCATATATTTTGCTTATTATCACAGTATTATTCTACTGCATTTTAATGAAAAAAGAAATTTGCTAGATAAGATGATAGTTTGATTTGCATTTGTTGTAAAATACAAAAGTTTACATATATATTTTAACATGGGGAAGAAATATGTAAAGAAATCAGGTACAGGGTTGCATAGCACATGCAATGGAACACTATACAATGTCTTTTTGTAGGTACAATTATACATTGTTCCTGACCTTTTACTGAAACAATGCTAACATTCATAACCTAACGACTTTTCCTGGAGATGCAATTCATAATGTACCTCGTTTTCCCAGAGCCATTCCTGGTTTGTAGCCCATCTTGGCTAGAAGAGCAAAGCCTTTGTTTTCACTACCAATGGCTGCCTTCAGCCCTTCCTCTCTCTTCTCATTTTCTATCACCTTTTTTGGTTTTACTGTGTTCTTGAGTTTTGCCTGCTTCTGCTTCTCTTCTCGCTGATAATTCTTAGCCTGTCTGGAAGATACCAAGCCAGGTCGTGTATCTTTGCTGTCAATAAATGAAAATAATTAATTAACTTTACCACATTAATCCTGCAATAAGCCAACACATTACTTCTTACCCATAGTCAGTAAGCTTATGCGAGTGGGCTTTATTAATGCCACATAAACACATACCAGTAGTATATGTTATCACTGGTATAAGGAGAGTAGAAAGTTATTTTACACAGAGTATCCAGTAAGAGGACACAAGTTCAAGCCCAAGCGGGGACTGACGGATGGTTTTCATAACTCAACAGATTTGGTGCCACGAACCAATCCACAGACTGTATACTGGGGCTAAAAGAACCTGGATTTGGTCTGTCTCCAAGAACAAAGACATATTGAAGAAGGGATCGATGTAAGAGTAGATAGTAAATGTCATGATAGTATAATTTCATACTGAAATTTTCTTACAGTGAAGATACGGGTGCCTTTATATAGACCAATGTGTCATACGACACGAGTAGGTAGGGACTAAAGTCGAGTAAGGATGAAAACAGCGAAAATTACATCACATCACAGGGCCACATCTAGACAAACCCCTGTCCGTAACATCGTTATTTGGATTTAAAGCTGTTGTTGTATGAGTACAAACCATTGCAGTAGTACTGCATCTGACATATAATCATCTTCTGAATCGTCCGACATGTCTGAATCAGAATATTAAATCTAGTCGTTTGGCCTGCTTGACATGTCTGCTTATGTGAAGGGAGATAACTGCAAAGTATACACTAACTTCATGAAACTAAAGGCGTGAGGGTACAGTACGGATATAAATTTTACTGACATCCGAGTCTAAATTAATATCATGACAACGATAAGGATATAGACGATAATTTTGCTCATTCTATTACTTAATGATATCATGTAAGATTTCATTTGTCAATTTGAAAAGATAAAAAAACATTTAAGTCATGTCTAGAAAAGCCCCAATCAAGTGTATTATTGTAAGATAAATTAGTATTCTGCATCATCAGAAAGATGCATAAAATTTTGTAACATGTGACTGAATAATTTCAAAGAGTTCAAGTAAAATATTAATTACCATTCTTTATTTTTTTCAAGTCAAAAATTGTTAAAGTTGCCTGGTAAGTCATTTTTTGAGAACAATCTAACTTTATTAATAATTTCCGAGCTTTATTATATAGCTTTCCCTTGGTCCTTTGTTTTGGATATTCAATTTCATAACTCAATAGCTGATAAAACAAGTGACAGACAGCCATTTGGATTTTGACATTGAAAATTTACTTGGTCTACATATCTTAAGAAATGTTTAATGCCTCTTCCTCAAATATCATATCTGGGTTCACCTTTGCCCCTCTGAGCTGGTGCTCTTTCAGTATTAAGAGTGAGTGGGAAACAAAATGGCTTAATAAGGTGAAGCTATCTTGGATTTTGACAACTAAAGTTTGTTATCATTACTTCTCCAGAAATACTGGATGGATCTGTCTCAGATTCCATGTGAACTTATTTCTAGTGCTCTTTCATTTTGACAATTTGATAGATAGTTGGAACCCTTCTGACAAAATTTATCAATGCCATTCTTTTCAGAAGAACTGGGTAGATCTTATATAGGTTCCTTTCATCCTTGGTCAAGTATATTTCATTTTTGGACTGTTCAGAAAATCAAAATGGCCAACTTCATAATTTTTTTTCCAAATCAAAATTCATAACATCTTGTTCATTAGTTTACCCTAAACAGACAGCAGTCAAAATAAAAGGTGAATGCTTTATACTTATACATATATACTACACCAGGCACACTTCTATCACAGTTACAAGTGTAAGTCTTTCTTCATCAATGTGAGATGTATTGTTGGCTGTGTGAAGTTGATGACATGTACATCAGTTGCCTCTGAGGAAAAACAAGATGTCATAACAAAAGACCATAATGTCTTCTCTCTATGATTCAAATGATTATATTTATTCATCATAGTTCATATTTTAAACATTGTGTCACTGCATCTATCATTTTAGAGTTTTATATAAAAATACATCAATGAATTTATAATAAAATAATTAGTTTTACAATAAACCAGAGCTGATGGCACATCTTCATCTTAATCATGTAACTTACATGGCAAAACAAGAGTTGTAAAACCTTGTGAAATTTCCAACATTAGTCTTGGAAATATGGTATCACAATAGATTTTCACAAGAAATATGGAAAAGAATAAATGTATTATCAATGAAAAATAAGTTGACAGTGTCTGTAATATCATTGTTTTTTATACAATTTATAAAGGAAGCTGATAATCCTAATACACTGTGTTATACAGGAAGCTGATAATCCTAATACACTGTATTATACAGGAAGCTGATAATCCTAATACACTGTATACACTGTGTTATACAGGAAGCTGATAATCCTAATACACTGTGTTATACAGGAAGCTGATAATCCTAATACACTGTGTTATACAGGAAGCTGATAATCCTAATACACTGTGTTATACAGGAAGCTGATAATCCTAATACACTGTGTTATACAGGAAGCTGATAATCCTAATACACTGTATACACTGTGTTATACAGGAAGCTGATAATCCTAATACACTGTGTTATACAGGAAGCTGATAATCCTAATACACTGTATACACTGTGTTATACAGGAAGCTGATAATCCTAATACACTGTGTTATACAGGAAGCTGATAATCCTAATACACTGTGTTATACAGGAAGCTGATAATCCTAATACACTGTATTATACAGGAAGCTGATAATCCTAATACACTGTGTTATACAGGAAGCTGATAATCCTAATACACTGTGTTATACAGGAAGCTGATAATCCTAATACACTGTGTTATACAGGAAGCTGATAATCCTAATACACTGTATACACTGTGTTATACAGGAAGCTGATAATCCTAATACACTGTGTTATACAGGAAGCTGATAATCCTAATACACTGTGTTATACAGGAAGCTGATAATCCTAATACACTGTATACACTGTGTTATACAGGAAGCTGATAATCCTAATACACTGTGTTATACAGGAAGCTGATAATCCTAATACACTGTGTTATACAGGAAGCTGATAATCCTAATACACTGTGTTATACAGGAAGCTGATAATCCTAATACACTGTGTTATACAGGAAGCTGATAATCCTAATACACTGTATACACTGTGTTATACAGGAAGCTGATAATCCTAATACACTGTATTATACAGGAAGCTGATAATCCTAATACACTGTATTATACAGGAAGCTGAATTGGTCAGTCTGTTGTAATTTCTACTATAACACGGAAGTTGAAATTGCTTCTAGATTATGATAGCCTTCTCGTTTATTTATTTTCATTTTATTTTATAAAAAACATCAATCAAAATGACAACAGTGTACTCAAAAAGGAAATTAATAATCAATTTAATTAATATTTGTATCATATAGGATTAACGGAATGTGAAAAAAGAATCTAAAATATAAATCAAACGATCAGCAATAAGCTCTGAATATGAACAGACCTCAAAAATATCAATTCATTGAAAATTTTCCTTTCCACTAAATTCTCAGCAATATGAGATAGAAAATATCTCTGCCTTCCTTATTATTTGCCTTGACCATCTCCTCTATTCCTGCTCTTTGAAACCACCCTCTTCATATAAACAACTTTTAACTCCCTTGACCTGAAGATGCTCCATTTTAAGTTGAGTCATAATAGTTTGTCATTCTTGATCAGTGAATTTTTAGATAAAGACTAAGCATTGGACAACAGTCAAAAATTTAATGCTGTGCCTCAGTTTAAGCTCACTTCACCCCTGGTCCTAATACAAGTAGTATTTATTGACATATTGTAGAACCAAAACCAAGTGACATTCTTCAAGGAGAACCATCCATGCATAATGTCAATTCTGTATCACTGGTTAAGTCAGACAACTTATATCTCTTATATCATTTAATATATATTCATTTTAAAGTTAAAATACAGGTATATGTTTTTCTACAAATAATCATGATTACTGGTACTTTTTATAATGTATCATATGCAATTTCTTCTTGGATAAATGTTATGAAATAATATAACTTTCTGGGTTACAATTAAATATACATAAGTATATGATCTACCTACCCAATCTTAATTTAATCATTAATAATTAAACCTCCACAATAAGGTTTTTAGTAAAACAAAAATAAAAATTAGAAAAGGAACAAATAAAATTCAAACTAATTTTGAAATACGAATATACAAACAGTTACACAAATTTATATCCAAACGCAACCTTTATAAAATTGTGTTAGAAATGCAGATGTAAAAATTCAATTAGAACAGCAGCATTATCAAAATTATCATTAATTTATATACATGTATATATCACAATTAGCTTTCTTATTTAGGATGCATAAAGGTAATGAAACATAGGTAATTTATATCTATTTCACTGATTAAACATGTAAAAATATCACATTTTGAAAGAAATAATAATAATCAGACGAAAATCCAAAACAAACACTTAACATGTACTCGGCAAGAACGGATTGTTCTGATTAAATGAAAAATATTCACTGAACATTTGTCACCATCAGACATGTTGATCTAATACTGTACATGTGTCTCCACCAGACATATTGTATGTTTCTCCACCAGACATATTGTACATGTCTCCACCAGACATGTTGATCTAACACTGTACAAGTGTCTCCACCAGACATGTTGTTCATGTGTTTCCATCAGATATATTGTACATGTGTTTTTATCAGACATGTGTCTCCACCAGACATATACATGTAACAACAAACATTAAGAAAGGTAACAAACTGACAACCTTTAACACAATATTTGCTGAAGCTGTGTTCATCAACATTAAGGTTTTATAAACCTTTCCAACTTTTTATCAACAATAACTCATGGTTGAATCTGTAAAACTCATGCAGGCCACAAAATCAATGAGAAAACCAGTCCGAATACAAATGAAAACAACATGGCATTGCAGAGATCTTTTCAATGTCCACTTTCTCCAACCTAAATTTGTTACCAAAAATTAACAGCAGCCTGTGATTTCATTTCAGAAATGGTTATCTTCCACCCTATATAGAGTTGCTACACAATTTTCTGATGTTTTGACATATATCCTATTATCACATTTTCAGTTTTGTATGACACAGTGATTGGTATACATCTGATCACAAGCTCCTTTTAACATCAAATTGCACTCTATTACAATGCCAGCGCCAGGTATTGCAACATCATGTAATTTCAACCAATCAGATATGTGGACACACATCTGCCAAGTTGTACAAAAGTGCAATACAATGTTTTATCAAAAAATATTATTTAATATGATGTAACTTAAATGGCTTAGCATCATACCCTGTGCATTAGGAAATCTGGTTTTAAAACCAAATTGTATTAAAACAATTATAGCACTTCTAGCCTCTGTCAATATTGATTGTCTTTGCAACATAAATCCTAATACTGATCGAGACAAAGTGACATAATTGTATAATATTTAACAAGACTGCTCTATTTAACATTCCACTCAAGAGATAAATGCGAGGATAACATATATATCATTGCCAATAATTGCCGTACATTTCTTCAGAACAGTATTGCCTGTAATACTAGACATGAACAGTGTGATATTGTTTTTATTACATATACTCAATCTTTAATACACATAACAATGACTGAATTACATATTTATTATTATCTTGGATAATTATATTCAGTAGTGTTTCAAACATTTTCAAACTCAACAACATCAAAAGGAATTTCTACAAGTGGCCTAACGTGCCTGCATCGCTCATCTGGTATCCAATGTTTCTTAAAAATAGAATCAGTGTTTATCAAATACATTAACACTTACACTAGCAGAATACCAGGCTTCTGTCCCCTTTGGTTAGTCAAAAGCAGTCATTTAAATGTTTTAACAAATTTGATCCTTGTGACCTTAAATAAGGGTCAAGGTCATTTCTTTACACAAACTTTGTTAGGCTTCATCAAATTAATCTACAGGCCAAATGTCATGACATTTGGTCTTTTAATTACTGAAAAAAAGTAATTCAAATAGAAAAGATGACGCTGGACAGACAGATGGATGACAGACTGACGAGTACTTGTTGCACCACGGCATAAGCTTACTTAGCCCTTCGGGCCAGGTGAGATAAAAATCAATGTCAAGGAGAAAATAGTAATATCACAATGGTGGTAAAATAATCGAAAAGTTCAGACTAGCTATGTATGATACAATAATATATGCCTGTCTGGAAATGCTTGTATTCGTGCCTCTCTGAAAATGCTTGTATTAGTGCCTCTCTGGAAATGCTTGTTTTCACTCATACAGTTCATATACTGTTGACACCAGTTCAAGCCTATACTGGTACTTCTGTCAGTGCTTACTGATAGTCTTTTACAACAATGCTTGGAGTCATGATCATTCATGTTAGGTAAATAAAATACACTTGGACAATTTTAAAATATTAAAATATTTGTAAATAAACTGATCAAGATCATCATTATTAGTATGTTATATGATTAGTAGCCGACATAAGGAAGTTTGTGTTAGTAGGTAAGTAGATACAGTACACATTACATCTACATACCTGTAGACTGGTGTAAAAACAAGGGTCATGGTTAACTAAATTATAGTTTTAAATCATAATTTAGTGCCATGTATTAGTCTTTACATTACATCTACCTAACTGTAGACAGGTGTAAAACAAGGGTCATGGTTAACTAAATTACAGTTTTAAATCATAATTTAGTGCCATGTATTAGTCTTTACATTACATCTACCTAACTGTAGACAGGTGTAAAAACAAGGGTCATGGTTAACTAAATTATAGTTTTAAATCATAATTTAGTGCCATGTATTAGTCTTTACATTACATCTACCTAACTGTAGACAGGTGTAAAACAAGGGTCATGGTTAACTAAATTATAGTTTTAAATCATAACTTAGTGCCATGTATTAGTACCGTTCTCCTCTTTATTACAGAAATGTGATTTAAACAAAATAGATAAACAGTTATCTGAATAAAAGTTTTTTATACTCTTCTTTATAACGTTCCACATCGCTTAGTAATGAATGTACCATCAACGATATCTATTACATCAACACATAAAGTCATAACGTTCTACATTGCTTAGTAATGAATGTACCATCAACGATATCTATTACATCAACACATAAAGTCAAATGCTTCATTTTGAAATAAAACACTGCATCAAAGCTACAGGAAACTTTAACACCTATCATTGACATTTTGATGTAAACAGTGGGGATAGTTATTTTTAAACATAACAATTTCATTGCTGTTTATTCAAGTTTACCATCATTTTCATGATTTCTTTTAGCTACAATGAAAGAAATTAGTAAGAATCTTGCATTCTACCCATCCATACCCCTCATCCATCCCAAAAAAAGCATTCAAACAACACAATCTGAATTACTTACTCTAATTTTGGTTAAATTTACAACCATTTCAAAATTATTAATGAAATCATTTTTGTCGATGGTAGTCTCCCCTTGCACCACCAGTCTTCTGTTCCAGTCTGACATCATGGATAACCATATCTTTAGACACAGCCTTACACATATCATATATGGTAATAGCTGCCACTGAAGCAGCCATAATGGCCTCCATTTCCACTCCAGTTTTCCCATCTGTCTTTGCAGAAGATGTTATATGGATGCAGTGTTTTTCTTCATTTAATTCAAATGAGACATCAACTCCAGAAATGAAAATGTTGTGGCAAAGTGGAATGAGTTCAGCAGTGCGCTTTGCTGCCATAATGCCTGCTAATTGTGATATTGATAACACGTCCCCTTTTTTCATTTTATTTTCTTTAATCAAAGGGAACACTTTTTCCCCTACAAAAATTGTTGCTGAAGCGACAGCAGTCCGCACTGTATCTGGTTTGTATCCAACATCAACCATTTTTGTTTTTCCTGCTGTGTCAACATGTGTCAAACTATCACATCCTGGTTCACTTTTATTTTGTGATGGATTTCTAGTTAATATATAATCATAATAGTCTTGTTTACACACAGTACCATCACCATGCTCGGAAGTCTCCGCTAACCTAGCTTTGCGGTCAGTCTCCCAATACTTCATGCTTTCCTCATCACCTGTCCAGCACTGTCTAATCTGGACATAGTAAGGCTGTCGTGTAGACAGAAGGCAAGCAGAAATAAATCCAGTGTGTTTCATAGATGTGAATGAATGTTTTGGTGACATTGACAAGTTCCTCAAGGACAAACTCTCACTAAGGCATTTAATGTTAATCTTGTCCTCTAAATACTCTGAAAAGACAAATGTCAATTTGTTTCTTAAAAACAATAGACTAGTTGAACTCCAAAATGAAACCAAAATGACAACATTTTACATAAAAATTGCCTTCTGGTTTGATGATAAAACAGGTAGTCATGTGAAATATACAGTACCACCGTTATGTCTCAGCATGTCATCATACATAATACCATTCGGTTATAATTGGATTTTTTAATGAGTATGAACATTTTTTTCACATGTTTTCTCTAACTTGTTCATTATGCATGGATTATTTTTATGATATTACAGCTTTCATGGACTACACATATTTGAACGATTCTATTTAAAAAGTATTATAGTATGTCCTCTATATAAGTACTAGATATATATGTCTACCCTAGTTGGATGCTAATAAGTCACAATGGCTATCAGCTACTGACTGTACTGCCATTCTCCATTTGAAAACTTATACCACTTATGTCTTCACTGCCAATATCAGTGAAATATATTTTGTAAGTCTCCATTAGATATATATTAGAACTGTGTTGAATTTTCAGAGTCCAGTAAATATAGAATACACAATGAGCTGTAAAACATCAGAGATTTCCTTTTCATCCTCAGATATTTTACATAGATTAAATTGTGATGTCATCAATAAAGATGCATATCATCCATAATCTGAAACTAAATGGCCTCACTTAAAATTCTCAATGTCATTATTGTTATCTCCATGGTCGATATGACATCATTTATGGACAGCATGTATCTTTATTAACAGTAAATGACATCACAATTGTATCTCATTAAAACATCTGAAGATGAAAATGAAAGTGTTCATTTTTCACAGCTCATGGTGTTGCTTAGTTTATTGACTTTTTCTATATATCTTTACACAAATTTTGCAGTTACTTACTGAGCAATCACCCACCAATCAATATCATAGGCCTGTTCTTCATCTTTGACAAATTAAACATACCTGAAATACAAAGATGTCCGTACACTACATGTCTACCTGTCCACAATCAAACCTAGTGGCATCATGCTAAATCTACACCCAGTCAAGCTTACACAATGACAGGTCTCCAAGACAACGTTTATATACACTACATAGATATTCACAATAAAAAATTGAAACCTATTGATCTGAAATCCAAGGAAAAGTGATACCTTAGATTTGAGTTTTTATTGTATTTTTGAAATAAAACACATATATGGGTAATACAAAAGAATATGTATCAAATCACCAACTGTTTGTACATAACGACAGAATGACCCACCTGCATGCTGTTTCTTCTTCCTCTTAACAGCTGCACTTATTACTTCACTTAGTTCTGTGTCATCAGGTGAAGCTCGCATCACATCTCGCAAAGATACCTCCGTGTTTCCAAAAAGACACACCTGATAGCACACAGAAAACTCAAACAACTTAAGATTTAGAGCTCAAAGCTTTCCTTGTTACAACTGTTCTTATTTACTTGTAGTATTACTGATTCATTGCATCAGAAGACTTCTGGAGCAGAATTTATATATTTAAAATCTTATTACATGTATGTATATACCATTTACCTATAACAAAACTTAATCAGTATGAAGTGATTGCGAAACATGTTTTATTTCATCACAGTAAGGGAGTAAAGGTAGCCTTCTTATGAACCTTGAGAAAAATCCATCCAGAATTTCTTAAATACAATGTAATAACAATAACAAACTTTCATTGTGAACATCTGTGGAAGACATTCTTCAATGATTTTGCTTTACTGATCAGTCCCAAAATCAAAAGGCAAAACGAGAGACCACAGGAAACCTACAGATTAAATCTGAAAAAGATCCATCCAAGTAATAAAAAAATGTTCATAATCAAAATCCAAGATGACTACCTGTCAGCCATTTTCTTTTTCTGATCATTACTCAAATAAAATAAAATGAGGCACTAAGGGTAACTTACATATGAAGTTTGAGAAAGGTCCATGCTAATCATTATCAAGGAAAAGCGATAACCAAATTTTCAGAAAGAAAACCCAAGATGGCTGCCAGTCAGCCATTTTGTTTTCCTGATTAGTCCCAAAATCAAAAGGGCATAAATAAGGACCAAAGGAAAACCAACACATGAAAATTGGGAAATGTCTATCAAATACTATTCTAAAAATGGCAATGACAAATGTTGAAAATCAAATGTCCAGATGACCATCTTTCAGCTATATCATTTTTTGATTGATCCCAAAACAGAAAGTGTACAACTAGGGACCAAGGCGAACCTACATATGGAACCTGAGAAAGATCCATCGAGTACATCTCAAGAATTTGTGGTTACAAGGATTGTTTGGGAATCAACGACAAATGGACAATAGACCATGATTGTGAGGTGATTTGAACAGTCCATTGTCTGAAGATGGTGGGCAAAAAATGGACTAACATACATATAAAGTACTAACAGACATATACAGCATGCAAGATAAATCTTGTATGCTGTATATGTCTGTTAGTCCATTTTTTGCCCACCATCTTCAGACAAAAAATGAGGCACTAAGGGTAACTTACATATGAAGTTTGCGAAAGGTCCATGCTAATCATTATCAAGGAAAAGCGATAACCAAATTTTCAGAAAGAAAACCCAAGATGGCTGCCAGTCAGCCATTTTGTTTTCCTGATTAGTCCCAAAATCAAAAGGGCATAAATAAGGACCAAAGGAAAACCAACACATGAAAATTGGGAAATGTCTATCAAATACTATTCTAAAAATGGCAATGACAAATGTTGAAAATCAAATGTCCAGATGACCATCTTTCAGCTAAATCATTTTTTGATTGATCCCAAAACAGAAAGTGTACAACTAGGGACCAAGGCGAACCTACATATGGAACCTGAGAAAGATCCATCGAGTACATCTCAAGAATTTGTGGTTACAAGGATTGTTTGGGAATCAACGACAAATGGACAATAGGCCATGATTGCGAGGTGATTTGAACAGTCCATTGTCTGAAGATGGTGGGCAAAAAATGGACTAACATACATATAAAGTACTAACAGACATATACAGCATACAAGATTTATCTTGCAAGTTTGTACACTGAAGATGTATACAAAACACTATGTGGAAGCCTGACAAGTTTCTTCAAATTTTTTCACAGAAAAAGTAATTTTGTTCAGGAAAACAGTAGCAAAGTTATTGTACAGAGAGCAGAAATACAAATCATTATGCAATGTTAAGTATGTTATTTACGAATATAGCACTGAGATAAAAGGTGCTGCTGTATTCTGAGTACCATCATTCCCACTGCCATTGTTTTGAGTATCATTATTTAGAATATCACCATTTGGAGTACCATCATTTTGAGAATACATTTTTTTTGTGAATTCAATTGAAATTGAGTATCAGTATTTGGAGTACCATAATTTTGGAGTAACATCATTTGGAGTAACATCATTTGGAGAAAAAAATCCCTTTGAGTTCTGTTATTTTGAGTATCAGCATTTCGGGTTTACATGTTTGGAGTACCATAATTTTGGAGTACCATCATTTGGAGTACCATCATTTGGTTCTGTTATTTTGAGTATCAGCATTTCGAGTCTAAACATTTGGAGTACCATAATTTTGAATGAACTACTTTTATGTAATAGCATTATTTTTATTAACATTATTTATAAACATTGATTACAGCACCATTATTTGGAGTAGCATCATTATTTTGAGGACCAGTAGATACCTTGAGGTTCCCATCAGCAGTAAGGCGGATTCGATTACATGTTCCACAGAAATGCTCACTCATCGATGTGATGAATCCCACCTGGCCTTTATAGCCAGGAACACGATATGCCTAAAACAAGCAATTATAATAATACCTGATATATCATTCTGACAAATTACATATGAAATCTAGTTCCATCCACATGTGTTAAGTTGTAAGTGCCATTTTAATTAGAATATGCTGTCCTGTAGCAGTCATTGTGTATCAGAACAAACACATCTTCAGGAAAAGTAGTTCATTTCTTACAGTTCTAAGTTCTTGCTATTCAATGGCAAAAATCTGGCACTGCTAAAACTAAATATCATGACTTTGGCATTTTGTAAGTGTAAACTAGATATATTTGAAACAACTGTATGTAAAAGTGTATACTTGATATAACTGAGATATGAGTTGTGTATCTCAATCAAGAACAATGTAGAATCCCTTAAACATGATCCTTACCTTGGAAGTATCATTAGGATGGTCCTGCATCCTTGAGAAGTCTGGCCATCTTGCTTTAATGGTGTCCATCATTTCTAAATAACTAACCATTTTCTTAGAATTCCACTTGTTCCCATCAAATGGCATGTACTCTATGAACCTGACATCAACATTCTAAAAGTGAAGACATTGTTTTAATGTGTATTATGTTCTACAGCACAACCATTTAGTTTAAAACTGTGTAAAATAAGACAAAGGAAAAACAGATAATGTAAATCTAGCTTCAGTAAAGGTGATTTTCAGATGGAGATCACTAAAGTGTTTGAAATCATTCACTAGATCACCTGTATACAAAATCATACAAGGTTTTAAACGACTGTGATCAATCTTCAGATTGTTATAAAGCAAAAACAAGAGACAACTAAGACTGCCTTATCATCAAGATATTGTATCACAAAGGTGAATTATAGCAAACATATTGTATATTACTGAAACTGTGAAAATTAGTAGCCACAAAAGATATTTGGTTTACAACATACTGGATATGACAGCATACATCTTTCAGTGAAATGGTTTTAACTTGTGAAACTATATTACCTTGTCTTTAGTAAAAGCAACAAAATCACAGATTTCTTCTTCATTCATTCCTCTCATCACAACACAGTTTACCTGTAACAAAACATGGTTCACTTGCATCATAAAGCAATTTACCTGTAACAAAACATGGTTCACTTGTATCACAATAAAGCTATATGTACATTATCTTATTCTGTTACTCTCTAGATCTGGTAATTTATACCTCTGAAGACCACACAGAAACACAAATAGCCAGACAGGCTTACTCAGTACACAGTAACAACAGCATTATGTCCCATGACACTGGTAGAACAGTAGCTACACAGAATTACACAGTCTATAATGAAAACTATAGTATTATGTCTCATGGCACTGTACACCAGTAGGTAGAAACTTCAAGCTAACTCCACATGTTAAACAGTATCAGTCATAAATACTGGTTCTACTTCAAATCATATTTATCAATACGACTAAACACTGGTTTCTCACATTTGTTTATCACAGCAGTGATGAGCTAAAAGACAAGCTGGGATGTTGCTTACTTTTACTGGATTATAGCCAAGATCCAGGGCAGTGTCAATTCCCTTCATAACATGATTCCAGCCTTTCCGACGAGATATAAACTCAAACTTTGCCGAAATTAGGGTGTCCAGACTGACATTGATAAGGTCAAGACCAGCCTCCTGTAGAGCAGGTGCCTTTCTGGCTAAGGTCACACCATTTGTTGTCATGGCAATTGTCTGCAGACCAATGTCTCTGAGCTCATTTAAACCTCCTGACAACCAAATAAAGTTATAATTATTACACTGTACAAACCAAGTCAAGAGGATCAGAAAACAGAAGTCTAATCATCTACAGATAATCGTACAAAAACCAAATTTATGTTTGAACTATCTTTTTTCAAGTGAAATCACATTGTATGAATATTGCATAAATATTCAAACTTAATGTAACATACTGACCACTATAGTTGTACAGAAATCAGTAAAATGAAATTGCAATGGTGTTGAAAATAATACAACATAGTTTAACTGAAAAAAGAAAAAACAGAAAATATAGTTTTAATTTTAAATGATAAAGAGTGCAACTTCCCCTTACCAACTCTTCTCAATACTGATTATCTGTTGAAACCAATCAAAATGGCAATGTATGGAATGATGTCCTCTTTAAAAATGATTCTTAATACCAATCTCAATTTTGACATATACATTATGGGAACATCAATGGAGAGTAGTTTTCAAGGTTAATTTCATTACATTTAACAACAAAAACAACAGTCCATACCATATACAGCAGTTGTAAATATTTTCAGACAAACCCACCATCCGACAGAGGGTTTACTTCGTCTACGTATTAAGTGAGTAAATGGTGACATCGCCAGGCAAAGCGAAGATTTCTTTTTGAATGATATCACATAATGTAATTATGTATCATTTTTTTGGGGGTTTATTTTTGCAAAATGCAGTATAGATGTTCAATGTGAATGGATTGGTTCATGTAATTTTGTTCATTTCTGCAAAATCAATTCAGTTTGCAAAAGTTCCACTGTATCTAAATAAGTTACAAACAAGATGTTCAGATTTGCATCCTTGTTTGAATGAAAGTTGAAATATACAAATAGAAGTAAACTTATGAAAAGAGTGATTCCTACAAATGGTTACAAAAAGTGGAAAACTCAGCAAAACTTTGGAAATTCAAAAACACTTACTTATTATTTCCACCACGTCTTTCCTGACTAATGGTTCACCACCAGTAAGTCGTATTTTCTGGACACCTTCCTTCACAAAAAGTTTGGAAAGTCTAAGGATCTCTTCTGAAGAGAGGAGTTTCTGAGATGGTGTCAGTTCCACACCATCTTCTGGCATACAGTACTGACCTACAATGGTCATAAATTACATGGAAAAACAATTGCAAGCTGTTTGCTATGTTATGGATGTAAATTAATATTTGGAATTTATATAAGAGAGTATATTGCGATAATTATAGCCATTAGTGATGGGAATCAGTTTCATTACTGTTAACTGAGTACACATAACTGATCAGTTTTCAATTAAAATTGGTTTCATTCATCAATTGCAAATGGTTTGGGTTTTTATCTGAGTGCATTTAAGATATTGTAAATTTTTTTTCATCAATATTTCAGAAGCTTTGAATATATTACTTTTTTGTATTTCTTGCTAACTGAATACCACTGATAAAAGCCTTTCAAGGCGTATAGTTGTAAATTACCTTTAAATTAACAGTATTACTTATGGAATTCACTTATATGCATTTCTCAGATATCTTGAGTCATTTCTGAACTCTTCTGATCTGCTCATCACTAAACAACCATCCTAGCAAAAACATACTACAGAATATGATATTCTTGTTTGAGCTTCAAAATACAGCAAATCTCCCAAAATTACTGGTGAATATTGAAAGACTGGTAATCAGTTGCAATGAATTTGAACTTATTACTTCTATCACCATTTAAATTTGATGAGAAAACTGACCTGGTTAACTCCAACACAATTTCATGATGAAATAGACTGTGTCACTCTAATATTCTAGGTTTAATTATGAAGCTGAACTGGTTCACTCTATCAGTTTTATAATGAAGTGACCTGTTTAAATCCATCATAGTTTCATGATTAAGATAACTGGTTAACTCCACCATAGTTGAATGATAAAGTTGAACTAGTTCACATTTTCAGTTCTATAATGAAGTGAAGTGTTTTAATCCTTCATAGTTTCATGATTAAGTGAACTGGTTAGCTCCATCATAGTTTCATGATTAAGTGAACTGGTTAACTCTGTCCTCATTTGATAATGAATTGTTGACTTACATCTGAGATTGCATCTCTCACTCAACGATATCCTGAGGTAGTTATGGTATCGGCCAAATGTGTCAGTCAGAGTATTGGGCTTCTTTATCTGGTCAGTATGGCTGGCCGGAAAGGGAACAGATTTTTCTTTGATGTTTACCTGCTAAAAGGAGTACAATTAACTCTACCTACTTCACAATAGGGAAAAAACACCAGCCAAGGCTAGTAAGGTGATCTGAACTCTCGTTCTACGATTATTTGAAATAAGTAAGCTGGCCTAATGTTATTTACAGTTGATAACATAAAACTCGACTTCAAAATGTAATTAAATACCTATATACACGGAATTCTCTCGACAATCTACCTTATTAAACCAGCACAAGAAAACGTTAAATGATAAACGTTTATAGGTACAGAAAATGACCTCTTGGACTTAAATTATCATGGCGATCATAAGTGCCGATCATAGACTTATCAAAAGTCACAAGATCTGATAGTTTATACTGCGATACGTGTAAATAATGTACCTGACATTACCTATTAAAACTAATCACCATCAAATGCTTTATAATTTCTGAATGGATCTGCCTGAATAACAACGACTAATTTTAACTAAGACTGTCAGCTGACTGATTTGTAACCCGTTAGATGCAATTGGTAATTGTAGAAGATACGCACGTTTTCATCTTCCTCTTGATAAATATCATCCAATGGTTTCGGTTTTACGCTGGAACAGTACGTTGCTTTCTGCAGTCTTGCCTGAATAGGTCGCGAAAAGCGAAACAAACTCCTGCATCCCTCCATTTTGAACGATAGAGTTATTTCCCTTACTCAGCGATTTCCGACAGAGGTGAAAACACATGCTAACCATCGAGGTTCGTCGTGATCACGGAATTCATGTCGTGACAAAGTGATTCGACGCTCAGCACAGACACAATTAAATTAAACAACATGTTACAATTTGTTATATATAAGTGTTTGAAAAATCAAGAATGTATAATCGATAATTTCTAGAAATTACTAAGTTCTTATGTTCATCTAACTATAATTTAAAAAAGCTTAATACTAAGGGTTGTCAGGTGGCAAAGTGATAAGGCACTTGCCTTTCACCTAGTTGTCCGGGGCATGATTCCTGGAACAGATGTGAAAAGATAAGGGTTCACTTGCCGGAACCATGTGGCTTTTACCCGTGCACTTTGGTTTCCTACCCCAAATCTGATTTAAATTTGATATTCGAAGTAAATGATATCTGTACCTGCAGATTCAAGTCTCTAAAAATTACACCAAAATGTTTAAAGTGAGTTTTCAAGATAGTTCTGTAAATCTAAGATGTCTTTTATCCCCCAATAAGCCCAGAGGGCCAACACGTAAGTCAAGGATAGGTTTTTATGGTATATGATATTAAAAGATGATAATGGAAGATGAATTACTTTATGGTATGTTGATGGTGAATCTCGCATTCACATATAGAGCTGAAAACAACCCAGTTGTTGGTATTTTAAGTTTAACCAAATATTTCAGTCTCTACAACAACATTTTGTTGATTATTTATTTAGCTGATTTTCTTTTAAAATTTTGATCATTTGCCTACCATATTTATACCACAAATAATAAAACTGAAAAGGAAAAATCAGTTTAGAATATAATGAAAATCACTCTTTAAAATGTTGTTTTATGGACAGCTGGATACTTGGTCTAGTTTTAAGTCTCTTCAAAGCAAAAAACTCACAAGAACCACCTCAAAGTTACTTTCAACATTTTAATTTCTGAAGTAGTTTTTATATTTAATAGCAAACTATATACTTTACATCAAAAAATTATATTGCCAAGTACTAGTGTCCCACATCAAAGTGTGTGGGTTTAGATATGTATTGTCATATTGATGCTCACAGTTGAAGAGTTCAGATACTATGTAAGTATAATTACCTCAACATCAGTGAATTAGGAGTAAATTTATAACAAATCTTCAATGTACACATTCTCGAGTTCTAAACCACTTATCAATGAAAACATTTACATTGTAAGATACAGCCCATATAGTTTTCCCTGCAAAGTAAACTTGCTTTACGATGTTTCATTGAAAATAAACCACTTTACACATAAATTCCATGAATTAATTTCACTATTTCCTCCCAGTATAGGGGTCATACACCACCAATATAGTGAACATAAGTATATTTGGTTCATATTCAGCATGGAAAAGCATTAACAACAACATCTCCTTTTATAAAGTGCAATATTTAAATAGTATGAATGTGACACCAGTCTTTCAGCTATAATAGACCAATATTAACTAGCATTTGTGGCCATGCGGTTGAGTGTTGTGCCTATATGTACTGAGGTTACCAGTTAACAACTTTGAGTGAGATCAGCATTTGGAGGAGTGATTGTTGTACAGTTCACCTCAAACAGTAATAAAATAATTTAAAAAATGCTGTTATCTTAATGGTTTTATGTTTTGATTTACTCAGAAAATAATAAAACCATGATATTAAGCCAGGTTTGGGCAATATTTGCATAAACAATGACAATGAACTATTTTGTTAATTTCGTTGAAATTGTTGGAATGATTCAGGTGGACCCTGAAAATCAAGTATTAAGCAGTCAACTGTTTTAGAGATACATAACACTGGTCTTTGGACAATTTATTCCATAAACATAATGTAACTTCAACAACAGATATGAGTTGATGGACACTCAAAAAAGAACAGGAAGTCACATTCAGTTAAGATGTTCTCTGTTATTAAAAGTTAACAATACAAATATAAGTATCTATGTGAAGTATTGTATATTTTGTACTCTGTAGCTCACACTAAAATGATCATGATTTGAGATGTGAATCTTGTTAACCTGTTCACAGAAATGACCACATTATACACACTACAATGTTATCAATTTAGGTGTTGGTTACAACATAGACTTACCAGGAAAATGTTCACATATAAAGTTACAGGGAGAAACATCAACATATATGCCAAGAAAATTAACTACAGGTATTGCACTTTAATAAACACTTATGCTTAGTTGTACAAAAAAAATATTCACATTGTAATGGTACTGACTAAATACAGTATCAGTAATCACTTGATGGGTTAACAAATAGAATTTGATAAACACTTGAATTAATATTTAGTCATTCACCAACATTTGCAGCCAGATTTGATATGTTTTAGATACTGTAAATCACTTACATGTCGCATGGTATTTATTTCTGTATTAATACACGAGGAGAGTCAAATGGGAACTAAATTCTCTTGCACTTATTTGTATGAAGCTCTTGATGACATCCTTGTTACTCCATTGTATATTTGCATTTACTTCTGTTTACACTTCCTTTGTATTTATATATACCTTATCATATAACAAACAAATCTGCTAGACATATAACACTTAAAAATATCTTTAGAACTCTATACTTTTAAACATGCTCATATCGCTGCCTGTTGAGCTTTGCAAAATGACATCATTCAAATGTACAGTTATGCCAAAATAGAGGTAAATACCTGATGCTATTTTTGTGTTGGAAAGATGCAAAAATATTTATATTGAATATTGAAGTCCTGTCATCTTACTCTCTTCAACCATAAAAACATGTTGAGTGTACTAGCTTGTACTCAACATGTGTCACATAAATAATCACTTTTCAGGTATAGTCACATTTGCAGATATAGAAGTTTTCCAGAGTCCATATTTCTGATAGCTTATCATTCACGAATTCAGTCATTTCTATATTGGTATTTGCGAAATCATGTTTCTCAAATATGTCTGCAGCAGTGAGTTCACAAAATGCAAAATAAAATCTTCATGAAATCTAAGTGATTTACAGAAACTAAGGAATCAGGATAAACATTAAAAAAAATCTAAATTTCTCTCCAGTACAGACAAGTCATCTGAACCATGTCAGTCATTACATGCTCAAAATAGTCAATTTCTCTCCAGTACAGAAAGTCATTTGAACCATGTCAGTCATTACATGCTCAAAATAGTCAATTTCTCTCCAGTACAGAAAGTCATTTGAACCAAGTCAGTCATTACATCCTCAAAATAGTCAATTTCTCTCCAGTACAGACAAGTCATTTGAACCATGTCAGTCATTACATGCTCAAAATAGTCAATTTCTCTCCAGTACAGACAAGTCATTTGAACCATGTCAGTCATTACATGCTCAAAAAAGTAAATTTCTCTCCAGTACAGACAAGTCATTTGAACCATGTCAGTCATTACATGCTCAAAATAGTAAATTTCTCTCCAGTACAGACAAGTCATTTGAACCATGTCAGTCATTACATGCTCAAAATAGTCAATTTCTCTCCAGTACAGACAAGTCATTTGAACCATGTCAATCATTACATGCTCAAAATAGTCAATTTCTCTCCAGTACAGAAAGTCATTTGAACCATGTCAGTCATTACATGCTCAAAACAGTAAATTTCTCTCCAGTACAGACAAGTCATCTGAACCATGTCAGTCATTACATGCTCAAAACAGTCAATTTCTCTCCAGTACAGAAAGTCATTTGAACCATGTCAGTCATTACATGCTCAAAATAGTCAATTTCTCTCCAGTACAGAAAGTCATTTGAACCATGTCAGTCATTACATGCTCAAAATAGTCAATTTCTCTCCAGTACAGAAAGTCATTTGAACCATGTCAGTCATTACATGCTCAAAATAGTCAATTTCTCTCCAGTACAGACAAGTCATTTGAACCATGTCAGTCATTACATGCTCAAAACAGTAAATTTCTCTCCAGTACAGAAAGTCATTTGAATCATGTCAGTCATTACATGCTCAAAATAGTAAATTTCTCTCCAGTACAGACAAGTCATTTGAACCATGTCAGTCATTACATGCTCAAAATAGTCAATTTCTCTCCACTATGGTAAAAATTCCTGCTTAGATGTGTGACACAGATATATACAGGTCAGACTGTATCAGAATGTCTGCAACTTTTACATTTTTGAAATTAACACAGAATAGGGATGTAAAGAAGAGTACGCCATCAGTTAAAAATCAGAAAACTATGACATTTAAAGTTGTATCTACCTGTGATTCATAGACAGAACATTGATATCTTGCAGTCCTTGTATTTGAGATCCCTGCCAATGTTTTGATGTAGGAGAAGTTATGATAAATTACATGTTCACATGTTCTAGTCCATGTAGCAGTGGCACCAACACTTCCTGCTTCTAATCTAACAAAGCACCACTACTATACACAATATCAGCTGGATATCTTGTCTGAATAAAGCACCAACTTCCCAGCCAAAGAACATGAGAGGAGCTGAAAATAGCAAAAGTATACATGAAACCCTGAGCAATTTCATACTTTAAATAAAACACTTTTCAAATACAGTGTACATGTAATTTCAAATAAACTTTGGCATAGCAAAACATTTGATATAAGTACCACGACCGACTTACCGACTTACCAGTGTATTTTGGTCCAATATCAGTTCATTGTCTGGACCAACTCAACTATGGATATTTGGTCCAAAATCAGTGCAATATCTGAACAAACTTGCCTGTATACATTTGGTCCAATATCAGTGCAACACCTGGACTAACTTAACTGTGGATATTTGGTCCAATATCAGTGCAACATCTAGACAAACTTGCTCTTGCCTGTGGATATTTGGTCCAATATCAGTGCAACATCTGGACAAACTTGCCTGTATACATTTGGTCCAATATCAGTGCAACACCTGGACCAACTTATCTGTAGATATTTGGTCCAATATCAGTGCAACATCTAGACAAACTTACCTGTGGATATTTGGTCCAATATCATTGCGACATCATGACCAACTTATCTGCGGATATTTGGTCCAATATCATTGCAACATCATGACCAACTTATCTGTGGATATTTGGTCCAATATCAGTGCAACATCTGGACTAACTTAACTGTGGATATTTGGTCCAATATCAGTGCAACATCTAGACAAACTTGCCTGTGGATATTTGGTCCAATATCAGTGCAACATCTAGACAAACTTGCCTGTGGATATTTGGTCCAATATCATTGCAACATCATGACCAACTTATCTGTGGATATTTGGTCCAATATCAGTGCAACATCTAGACAAACTTACCTGTGGATATTTGGTCCAATATCAGTGCAACATCTAGACAAACTTACCTGTGGATATTTGGTCCAATATCATTGCGACATCATGACCAACTTATCTGCGGATATTTGGTCCAATATCATTGCAACATCATGACCAACTTATCTGTGGATATTTGGTCCAATATCAGTGCAACATCTGGACTAACTTAACTGTGGATATTTGGTCCAATATCAGTGCAACATCTAGACAAACTTGCCTGTGGATATTTGGTCCAATATCAGTGCAACATCTAGACAAACTTGCCTGTGGATATTTGGTCCAATATCAGTGCAACATCTAGACAAACTTACCTGTGGATATTTGGTCCAATATCAGTGCAACATCTAGACAAACTTACCTGTGGATATTTGGTCCAATATCAGTGCAACATCTAGACAAACTTGCCTGTGGATATTTGGTCCAATATCAGTGCAACATCTAGACAAACTTACCTGTGGATATTTGGTCCAATATCAGTGCAACATCTAGACAAACTTACCTGTGGATATTTGGTCCAATATCAGTGCAACATCTAGACAAACTTACCTGTGGATATTTGGTCCAATATCATTGCAACATCATGACCAACTTATCTGTGGATATATGGTCCAATATCAGTGCAACATCTGGACCAACTTTCTTGTATACATTTGGTCCAATATCAATGCAACATCTGGACCAACTTACCTGTGGATATTCGGTCCAACATCAATGCAACATGTGGACAAACTTACCTGTGGATATTTAGGGTGAAAGGCAACATCAGAAACCACATCTGTATGGTCAGTCAGCTTGTGACAATATGTCCCAGTTCTTATGTCATAGATGTATGTCTACAAAACAAAACACTGATATATACATAAACACAATCTTGTTGAATTGTTAAGCCTGACAATGTCTGTCAACTCTAAAGCATACAAGGCTTAAACAGCAATAATAGATAGGAGCTTTAGGAAAAATATAAATCAAAGTGTAGAAAAAAAATCAATATTATAACATCAAATTTTACAAGTGACACCATATGTAATGAATTACCTCCATAACAGAGGACGTTAAAGGCCCCTTGTCCCAGTACTACAAGTTTTCTCAGTTGTTGTGTCACACAAATTTTCTTACCAGCACTACTGTATATGGTATGAGTGCATGCATCACAATGCTGATAAGGTATGAGATTTAAATGATATAACATAGTTCTGACTCTACATTTTGGACATTTTACAGCCACTCAGAGTCACCAATTGTTGGTGATAGTTTTACTTACTGATCTATCTTCAGAACCAGTTGCTAAGTAACGTCCACAAGGACTGAGATCCACACCACATGGATATACTCTGTTAAGGTGACCTTCATACCTCCTCACACATCTACAGCAAATTACAGAATACAGGTTAAATAGCTGGGTGGCAATTTCTATGATGTATTGGGGTATGAATCACATATAACTGGTTTCAACATCACATTTTAAGATGTGTGACACTTATATATAAAATGCTTTTCAACATAACAAATTTTGGAAGTAACATTTATGCGATTATTGATCCTGTTCAATAATGGCTGACTGACATTTTATATAAAAGGCCAAATTACCATGTTCATTTAACTTCATCTACCAGTACTGAATTGATAGCACAAACATGTCAGCAACCCAGCTATAGAAGAATGTAGAATATATTGTTTGGAAACTTGACTTCAGGAGTTGCTTCCCTTAATTCTCTCTGTTTCAATTAATTGTCATTTGAAATAGACATTCAACAAATGAATATTGATTTTGAAAATAAGAGAATTTTGATAAAGCTGATATACATGTTAGAAAAATGATATAACTATAACTAAGAGATAAATCACCAGATTATCACCTGTTGGTTCGCATGTCCCACAGTTTAATACAATCTCCTACAGCGGCCGTCACAAACAGGTCATATGCATCTGGAGGATGGGAAGTAAAGGTAGATCCCTAGAAAAATTTGTGAGAGGAAAAATATCATTTGAAATTGAGCATACTTCCAATACCATTGATGATAAAATATCTATGCATGTTAACTGATGGGACAGACAAATTCATTGTATAAACATCTATCTGTAGCTGATAGGATATGTGACTTCCCTGTATCAAGTATTTGTGTATAAACAGGTAGTTAACTGGAAATGGAGTGGAAGGCCCTACCTCATTCTGACAGATTGTGTGAGCTGGCTTTGTGTGGACATCACTCATTGTTCGCACCGTTTGATCAACATTCATATCTCTGATCTCTACACTTTTGTTAGTCCCAGCACACAACACCAGATCTGGCCACTCGTCAAGGACTTTAAAGTACATTTGTACAAACGAGACCATATGTATGGTCTTCCTATTGAATCAAAATCTCAAACAACTCTTCTCTCCAAACTATATAATATTCTACCACCTGATATTCCCATGTCATAAACACTGTCTGCCAAACATGTTATAACAGCATTAAAACAATAGATAATGTCACATGACCATGAAAATCCCATTTTCTGTGTCAAAATGCATTAGTTTTACATGTAGATGATATCTTTAAAGCAGAGCTTTTTCTTTATTTTCTTTTAACTATGAGTAATGTGATATATGGAATCTTGCACTCATGTGTGTCATTAAACTACATAATAGTGAGTGATGCTTATCCTAATCTTATTTCATATCAGATAATTTGACAAATTCAACAAATGCAATAAGATGTGAACATTTCTGTATTACACAGCAATTTAATGAGATAAGGATACAGGAATAGAAACCATTGACTGCTGACAGTGCTGTGATCTGTTGTGCCTCCAGACTAAAACTTGTCACCAACTTGTATCTACTCTTACTCAGGTATCTACAGCAAAACAGCAAAAGTAACACAAGTTTGGGCATATATTGAGTGAAGGAGAAAAACTCCATTAAATGCACAGTAAAACACAATTGAATTAAACAATTTTACTGTAACTTCTACCTAAAGGGAACAAAAGACATCATACCAGAATTATGTGTGTACAAATTACTAAATTTTTCAAATCTTCTTTTCATGTTATGGTAGCTGTACATGTCTTGCCAAGTAAGAAAAACCTGCTTTTGACCAGGCTAAACATGTTGTTGCCCGACTCACCTTTTGATATCCTGTTTGGTGAGATCCAGGTGATACTTGTACATAAACATTGTACTTCCTGAGGTGAGGAGGATAAACTTGTCCATGTAGTAGAACCGACCAAACTTCACCTCCCTGGGGAATAGAGGGTTCTCCTAGGAAACGGAACAGATATCGAAAATTAATACATACACAATGTAACACTATGTAGGAAACAATCAACCTCCCTGGGGAATAGAGGGTTGTCCTAGGAAACGGAACAGATATAGGAAATTAATACATACGCAATGTAACACTATGTAGGAAACAATCAAATTCCGTGGGGAATAGAGGATTGTCCTAGGAAACGGAACAGATATAGGAAATTAATACATACACAATGTAACACTATGTAGGAAACAATCAACCTCCCTGGGGAATAGAGGGACTGTCCTAGGGAACACCACAAAGATAGACAAGATGACAACAATTAACTTCCTAGAGGAATGGATGGGTTATCCTTGGGGAACACCACAGAAATAGACAAGATGACAACAATTAACATCCTGGAGGAATGGATTGGTTATCCTTGGGGAACACCACAGAAATAGACAAGATGTCAACAATTAACTTCCTAGAGGAATGGATGGGTTATCCAGGGGAACACCACAGAAACAGACAAGATGTCAACAATTAACTTCCTAGAGGAATGGATGGGTTATCCAGGGGAACACCACAGAAACAGACAAGATGTCAACAATTAACTTCCTAGAGGAATGGTTGGGTTATCCTTGGGGAACACCACAGAAATAGACAAGATGGCAACAATTAACTTCCTAGAGGAATGGTTGGGTTATCCTTGGGGAACACCACAGAAATAGACAAGATGGCAACAATTAACTTCCTAGAGGAATGGATTGGTTATCTAGAGGATTGGATGGGTTATCCAGGGGAACACCACAGAAATAGACAAGATGACAACAATTAACATCCTGGAGGAATGGATGGGTTATCCAGGGGAACACCACAGAAATAGACAAGATGACAACAATTAACATCCTGGAGGAATGGATTGGTTATCCTTGGGGAACACCACAGAAATAGACAAGATGGCAACAATTAACTTCCTGGAGGAATAGATGGGTTATCCTGGGGAACACCACAGAAATTGACAAGATGGCATCAATCAACTTCCTGGAGGAATGGTTGGGTTATCCTGGGGAACACCACAGAAATAGACAAGATGACAACAATTAACATCCTGGAGGAATGGATTGGTTATCCTTGGGGAACACCACAGAAATAGACAAGATGACAACAATTAACATCCTGGAGGAATGGATTGGTTATCCTTGGGGAACACCACAGAAATAGACAAGGAGGAGACAATTAACATCCTGGAGGAATGGATGGGTTATCCTGGGGAACACCACAGAAATAGACAAGATGACAACAATTAACATCCTGGAGGAATGGATTGGTTATCCTTGGGAACACTATAGAAATAGACAAGGAGGAGACAATTAACTTCCATAAGGAACAGAAGATTGTCCTTAGGAAGCAGAAGATCTTGATGATTGTCATAGAAATAGACAATGAGGAAAACAATTAATCTCCATGGGGAACAGAGGGTTGTCCATAGTAATTGCACAGAAATGGACAAAGCAGACAACAATTAATCTCCATGGGGAACAGAGGGTTGTCCATAGTAATTGCACAGAAATGGACAAGGAGGAAACAATCAACTTCAATAGGGAACACAGGGGTTGTCCAGAGGAATGTCACAGATTAACATAATTGATGAATACAAATGTATGAACACAATATGACCTTAAGAAGAACACAACCAAGACATCAAAAATTACCTAGTGAGTTTATTGACTGATTTTCATTTGACATTTGTGTAAAAGATCTAAATATAATAATCTGCATCAACAGCTGTTCTTTTCCATTGATTTAAATATGGCAGCATAATATGTGAGGATTAAAACTGTTTTCCTGATCATCTGATTGTAGTCAACAAGCTACCTCCTTGTCTGACCCTTACCTTGCTGACTTTCTGTGGCTGAGCTCCTTCCTTGTCAACAGAGAAGTTATTGACTGTTGTTGTGAAGGTCATAAGGGGCTCAGCCCGTCCCTTCCCCCATACACAGGCTGTCCTGTCATCTGACGAACTGATCAACCAGTTACCATCGTGACTCCAGTTTACACAAGACACAGTGTGGTCATGACCTGCAGTCACAATTAACACAAAGCGAAAATCGCTGGTGTAATATTTCCACTGTCAGTAAAACAGGTGTTTATGTCTTTATACCAAAATAAACAAAAGTTGAAATGTTTTTGTAGAGATGGTCAACAGGTCATGTCATAGTGACACTTACCTACAAAGCTGGAGCCTTTACCCGTCAAGGGCATGGAAAACATCTGTGCTGACTTGTTGGCCAATCCACATGCCAGACATTGTCCATCATCTACATCAGATATAAAATCAAAAATACCTAAACATCAATGTACCTTATCCAGTCTTACTTAAACATCATAATAATTAATGTTTCTGGTTGTGAAACATCTACTGTATCTTTGTGTGTTCAGTTTCATTGTAAAATTAACTAAGGTAAAATTTTGTTCGTGTGGTCACAGTACCACAAAATATTTGTTGATGACTTATATTACATGTCCATTTAGCAACAGTACCAGAAAATTTAACACTGTGGATTGGTGTTGGGCGTTCAGCGACATTCAACTTGGTGTGTAACAATGCTGGTGGAGCACAGTCAGTAGGGTATTGTTTCTGGTTCACCTTCCTGTGGAAATAGATATAAAGGGCAATTATGTCAACATCTGTGGATATAAAAATTCCATTTATACAAAATATTTCAGTTTCTGGCAATGACATTTCTGGTCAAACATGTTTAGGATTCATGCAGTAGTTCAACAGAATGAAGAGAATTCTCCTCCTTTGGCCTCAGGGATAACAGTAACTTCATTTCTACAAAATGTGTTCAGCTTGCCAAAGTGATCCTTTAGACTAGATGTAAACCTTCAGGAGAAGTAGGATTTAAAAGCAAGACCCCAATTTCACCTATTAGAAAGTGCATCTCTAGTCCCAAGGTCAGAAAGAACAATATCATTTATATCAAATATTGCCCAAGTCATATTTTAAACTAAATGTGGTTACAGACTGCAAGCACAAAGGAGGAGAAGGATTTAAAGCAACTATCAAATTTCTCCTAATGGAGATCTCTCTTCAATAAACTTGTCAGCAGGTATTTGCAGAATTTATTTCAGAAATAACTGCCTTCCTCAGTGATGTTTCAGACCAAATTGTTTGAAATCAGGAAATTTCCCATTGGTTATCCTGCTCTTTGTCCCTAACAGTCAAATGAACTCATTCCCTCATGAAATCCACTGAGACGTTTTAAGCCAAATATGACACAATTTACCCTTGGGAGTCCCTGTTCCTGGTACGGGTTCCCTTCATTGAGGGTCAACCTAGTTTTGTTTCAGATGCAATGATGTTGAAATCAGCCAATTTCCTGTTTGGTGTGACACCTCCATCCAATAAAGGCCCCCAGGATTGCATCAAAATGAGGTTATAACCCTTCCCCACTGATACTTCAAAATAAATTTGATTGAAATCTGTCGAGACATAAAAACCAAATTCCCAAAAATTTCCCTTATTGGCCTCATCCCTTGGGATTACAATACCTTCAGTTACATAAATTTGATTAAACTCCCCAAGGTTGCTCCAAAAGAAAATTGGTTAAGATGTGCCAAGGCTTACATTGGATGAGAAAAGAATCTTAATTAACAAATTTCCTCTTACAGGCATCGCCACTTGACATTTTGGGGTTTCAATACCCTCAGTTTTAAAATTATCATTGTCCTTCCCAATGTTTCCTGATTAATATCCATCAGATTTGTAAACTGATAACGCCTTGAAACTTACCCAACAACAGATCCAGATGAAGCTGACTTTGGCAGTCGTCTGGCTCCTGAAGCACTACTAGAGAAGTCTGTTCTTGGTTTAAACATTGTATTCCTATAATACGATCACAAGTCTTTTTAAGGTTTTTCACCTTTTATCTGGTTTGTACCAACACAATGTCAATGCTATTTATAACTGACAAATATTAAGCTAATTTGGAAGGGTTATGTAACACAAAAACAACACTGTAGAAAGCTTTAAGGAACTGTTGACAACTATATAAATATACAGTAATGCCTTGATTAAAGCAATGAGGAACTGTTGAAAAAGTGACCTTGATTTAAAAGAAGGGACATGCTGACAAAGTGACCTTAATTTTAGACAGGAATTGACAATTATAAAGTTACCTTAATTTTGGAGCCTTTGAACATTTGAAAATTATATAAAGTTACCTTGCGGGTCATTTATCTTTGGGGAACAATAATTGTAAAATCCAAGACTGTCAACATTTCGTTTCTGTGATCAGTCTCAACATCAACAGGATACAACTAGAGACAAAGGGGAATCTACATACAAAATTTTAGAAAGATACATCCAATAGTTCTCAAGAAATAGCAATAAAAACAATTGATTACAGATGAACAGACCATGGACCACGGACATAAAGCAATGTGATTAGCCTACCATCTGATGGTGGTGGGCTAATGAAGTTACCTTGGAGTGGCAGTGTATCCCGAGGATTTGACACTGGTTTTGAATGTCAATGGCTGGTCTTCAATACGTTGTCCAGACTTCTTGTTAGGGGTCAGATAACCTATCAACATATCATTTATAAGTAATCTTCTACTTAGCATAGGAAATCGTATATATATAGAACATTACAAGAGTTTTCATTTAATGCATGATTTATGAAATGAGTTCAGAAATATGAAGTAACAGTTAACAAGCAAAAATGATTTGTGACGAGTTTCATAATTCACAAACCAAACAGAAACAAATTTAATATCCTTTTTATCACAGGATTGTCAAAATTCATTTCCAATCTTAATCTATGGTCTCCATTGTTATGTTACAATACAACCTGTTGGCATGTATGACGTCATTTTATTATCTAGACCTATTATCACAATAGGCTATATTATACATAAGTAACACATGGGGAAATACTACATTGGTACATTCACTGTATAACAAGGAAACCATGTGATATATCTTTGTATCAGTAATGTTCAGCATCATGATGAAAACTAATTCTATCTAGAATAAAGATGGAAACTTCTACAGTTTTACAGGTCACTTGATGTGATCGTAAATTAAATTAGCCTTCAAACCTTTCTGTTTCTTTGTCCTGGTGTCCTCCTTCTGTTTAAAGACAAGCTCAGATCTGAGCGGGGAGTTATCAGCTAATGCAACACTGAAAATATCAGAATAATTTTAGAACCCTGAAATCATTTTCATAAATATTGAAAATATATTTGAATATATTTCATAATTTGACTGAAGTTATCATCACATACAGACTGTCACCAGGTGGTCATCACACACAGACTGTCACCAGGTGGTCATCACACACAGACTGTCAACAGGTGGTCATCACACACAGACTGTCACCAGGTGGTCATCACACACAGACTGTCAACAGGTGGTCATCACACACAGACTGTCACCAGGTAATCATCACACACAGACTGTCACCAGGTGGTCATCACACACAGACTGTCACCAGGTGATTATCACACACAGACTGTCACCAGGTGGTCATCACACACAGACTGTCACCAGGTAATCATCACACACAGACTGTCACCAGGTGGTCATCACACACAGACTGTCACCAGGTGATCATCACACACAGACTGTCACCAGGTGGTCATCACACACAGACTGTCACCAGGTAATCATCACACACAGACTGTCACCAGGTGGTCATCACACACAGACTGTCACCAGGTGATCATCACACACAGACTGTCACCAGGTGGTCATCACACACAGACTGTCAACAGGTGGTCATCACACACAGACTGTCAACAGGTAGTCATCACACACAGACTGTCACCAGGTGGTCATCACACACAGACTGTCACCAGGTGGTCATCACACACAGACTGTCACCAGGTGATCATCACACACAGACTGTCACCAGGTGATCATCACACACAGACTGTCACACACAGACTGTCACCAGGTGTTTATCACACACAGACTGTCACCAGGTGATTATCACACACAGTCACTGATCATCACACACAGACTGTCACCAGGTAATCATCACACACAGACTGTCACCAGGTGGTCATCACACACAGACTGTCACCAGGTGGTCATCACACACAGACTGTCACCAGGTAATCATCACACACAGACTGTCACCAGGTGGTCATCACACACAGACTGTCACCAGGTGATCATCACACACAGACTGTCACCAGGTGATCATCACACACAGACTGTCACCAGGTGTTAATCACACACAGACTGTCACCAGGTAATCATCACACACAGACTGTCACCAGGTGGTCATCACACACAGACTGTCACCAGGTGATCATCACACACAGACTGTCACCAGGTAATCATCACACACAGACTGTCACCAGGTGGTCATCACACACAGACTGTCACCAGGTAATCATCACACACAGACTGTCACCAGGTGATCATCACACACAGACTGTCACCAGGTGGTCATCACACACAGACTGTCACCAGGTGGTCATCACACACAGACTGTCACCAGGTAATCATCACACACAGACTGTCACCAGGTGGTCATCACACACAGACTGTCACCAGGTGGTCATCACACACAGACTGTCACCAGGTGATCATCACACACAGACTGTCACCAGGTGATCATCACACACAGACTGTCACCAGGTGGTCATCACACACAGACTGTCACCAGGTGATCATCACACACAGACTGTCACCAGGTAATCATCACATACAGACTGTCACCAGGTAATCATCACACACAGACTGTCACCAGGTGATCATCACACACAGACTGTCACCAGGTGGTCATCACACACAGACTGTCACCAGGTGATTATCACACACAGACTGTCACCAGGTGATTATCACACACAGACTGTCACCAGGCGATTATCATATACAGACTGTCACCAGGCGATTATCACACACAGACTGTCACCAGGCGATTATCACACACAGACTGTCACCAGGCGATTATCACACACAGATTATCACCAATTATATAATATGAACAGAAGATAAAACTCTTAAATGGATACTCACTTGGAGAGGACAGTAAGTTCATCTGCTTTCTGGGCCTGAGCAATCAAATCCCTGGTGTCCACACTGTCCTTTGCCCATGAGGGTAAGTTAGAATCTTGATCATCAACCTCAATGTTGCCAAGGTCAGAGGTCACCTTGTCTATAGCTGATCCATGGCACCATTCCAAAATATGGACTGTGTTTTGAAAATGACCACAGACAATACACCACAGCTGCCAAATGGTAAAAATATCACATGTTAGGAGTATTCTGAATATATGTTTACTAGACCAGAAAGTACTTTGTAATAGCCCCATTCAATAGCATCATTCAATAGCATAAATCAAATGAAGACACTCTATTATATAATGAAGACAGACAAACCTTTTGTGTATTAGCACTCTGGGAAATGTAGATGGCCCCTGCGGCATTTATGGACATATTTTCTGTAACAAGGCCGTTATCAATCTGTACAGGATCTGTGGATAAAGTACAATAGCATATTAGATGATCTAAAACTAGGAGTGGATCTACAACAGTAAACCATCACTACACCACAATATGTATACATGTATCAAATAGCAGTCAAATAAACGCTTAGTCCAAGAAAGTAGTATTGCTTGATAACAGTCATATGAGTGTTATAAGTATTACCCTGATAATAATGATGAAGGTTTTACCCTGATAACAGTGATGAAGGTTTTCCCTGATAATGGAGATGAAGGTTTTACCTTGATAACAGTGATGAGGGTTTACCCTTATGATATTGAAGATTTTACCCTGATAACATTTATTAATTTGCTACCTTGAAAACAGATATAAATATGCTGATTTGGCAACAGTATTGAACAGACATGTATTATCAGTTGTCCTACCTTGCAGATCCCAAAATTTACAAACATCCAGTGTCTTGGCATTGATCTGAAAAAGGGCACCTGTAGTCCCCACCACCAGCATAGGACTGGTGCTCAGAAGTTCCCTGCAAGTAATTATTTTATCATTCTATATATGAGTTACAAATAATAGTTATTCCAGTACATCTATCGTCAGTGTTACAATGTACTATCACCCCTGCTGATATAACAGTCCCTCCTATTACAGGTACATCAGGTGTTTCTGGGCAATCAGATACATTGATCAAATGTATGATATTATTTAGATTTCACTCTTGACTTACGGTAAATGGCGTATGGCTTATATATAACTAAATGTATACATAATCATAAAAAGTTAGATTTTGGTATTCAGTATAGTACCTACTTTACTACTGTGCTGTTGTGTTGTAAGAACACAGGTTTTGATGAATTTTCCTCTACATCACCACTTTGTGGCAAGTATGTGAAGTAAAGGCCCAGAACTGAGCAGCCTGTCTCAGCTTCATCTTCGACATTCTGATCACCAGTTGGCAACATCTCATTCTGGTCAATTCTCTTCCATGTAGGTTTACTACTGATGGTCACTGGGCCTGCACATTTAATAATTATCAAATTCAACTATCACAGAATTAAATATGTACATGGAGCATCTACCAGGTATACTTTTCACAGTTAATTCTAGATACATTATGTATTGTCAACCATATCAATATTATATACTGTGTATTAGTGACACCATATTGTTTACTGATGATTATCGCTTTCTTACCTGTAGGTGAGGGTGAACTAGTCTGTTGGGCAGATTTTTGTTTCCTCACAAGTTTTGTGACATCAATTTGATGCAGTTGCCTAAACCCCTTTCCATCAGTCAAATCAAAAACTCGTACCTATACAAGGAGGGAACCAAAATCACACATTCATTCAGTAATTTAAAATTAATTCAATGATTATAACAAAACATTTCATTACTTACAAAACAAGTTAACAGTAAAAAGAACTACAACACAAGACATAGTCTAAAACCATGTAGCCATGATAATCCAAATGCCCTCCTGATGATGATGATGATGATGATGATGATGATGTGATGATGATGATGATGATGATGATGTGGTGAAGGAGGAGGACCTAATCATATGATGTGAAATACAAATGCACATCCATTCTCCATCTCAAAATAGTGTCATTGATAATATCAAGCCTTTCATAAAAGTGTAGTCATGTGCATGTCATACTTTGTCATGTTTCAGGTTGATATGTAAAATAAAGAAAAGCCAATGGCAATAACTTTGCTGTTGATAAAAAAAACATCCCAGTGATGTCCATAAAATAATTACCTGACCATCAGCTGTTCCTATAGCAACCTGTGGCTGGGAGAAATTCATGGCCATGCTGATGAAAGGAGAAGCGGTAAGGATTGGTGACTGATAAACCAAACTAAAATCTTCTATATTCCACACCTGAGAAAACACAGATGATACCATATCACAGAGAGAAGGATTTCCACTGGTATTAAATTCATACTCCAACTATACCCAAAACCAAAGGTTTCTCTAATTTAATCATGCCAGAAATGTGACTTTTCAATTTTGATAGAATTCGGCATTTTAGGTCAGTGGAACTGATTGTTTGGGCTGAGGGTATTTCAAGTTTATTTTACTTCAAACTCAATAATAAATCCTAAAACAGCTAAAAACAATTTGTTTATATCTTGTTGTAGTGTTACTGTACAGCTCATCACCTTAGCGGTTTATTGCATCAATATTCCTAAGTGACATGCATTTATACACAAGAATTATTTTAATGACTATATAGAATAAACTGAAATTAATATAACAAAATCTAAATTTTAATCATTGTCTGAGCAAGTTTTATTTATTAAACATACATTTACTGCAGACTGAAAGTGGGCAGGGGTAGAAACTAATCATAAGAACTATTCTAGGTATGGCTCACTCTTAAGGCAGTTATTACAACTAAGTGTTATATGTCACTTTTGATTTTTTCATAAAAAAGTTTTACCTTGAATGTCCTGTCCTCTGAAATGGTGACCAATGTTGCAGAATAGTGTGGACAGAATTCAGCACTGGTCAGTTTACTTGTGTGACCCTCGAGAGTTGCTACCTGTCGCTCTGTCTAAGATTTCAAACAAAATGTGCTCTTCATTTCCATTTCTTTCAAAGCAATGAATTTTGATAGATGTCAAAGAACACACTAGAACCTCTGACTCAAAATAAGAGGTAGGCTTATTACAGGTCAACAACAGCACAGATGTAATGGCATCATTACTAGGTATGGGCTTATTATCAGACAAATGTTGTTATTGATTTCACCATGAACAGAGTTAATAAAATAATTGTAAGTATTGAAGTATCAATAAATCATGCTGCATACACCTGGTCATTCACATAACACAGAAATAACATCATACTTGATGTGACACTTCATAATTAACTGTGTTCATCAAGCACAATGATACTGGAAAACAGAATGATGCAATTTTTCTGCAGCCTGTTCATGCTTGGTTTAAGATTGGTTATCAACTGGTCTTCATTTACATACTGAAACAAGATAAGTGTAAAACTTAAACTTACACTGGTGTCTAAGATGATGACCTCTGATCCACAACAAGCGGCCACCAGTGTATCATCAGGACTGAAGGAGCAGTAGTGGATGTGTCCAAGAGATGTACCTATAATCTGACCACGGATCTGTACACCTGTAACAAACACCAGAATCTGACTTACTGGACACACCGGTCATATTCAGAATGGGTACATGCTATAGGGTAACAGTATATAGATATTCAGGGACCATGTTATATTTATCTAGATCTATAGCAAATACCTTTGTCCACCATTTGCCTTGCCTGCAGCAGGTTCCATACTATCACATAGTCCTCTGCAGCTGAACATAGTAATTTTGGGGAACTCCTACTTCCCAAGGAGATACTTGTCAATATTTTTCTGTGACCCTCCAGTTCAAGGGGCTACAATTAAAAACAAAACATGAAAAACTAACTATATTTCATGTTATTAATTAAGAAAGCTCAATGAGTGTACAGGTCAAATATTAGAGAAATTTCACTGTAGACAATCTGCCTTTAGTAAAACGTTTTTGCAAATATGTCAGAACTCATTAGTTATTGTATTTCATTATTTAACACACAACATTCTAACTTCCTAAAGATAAACAATTACAAATAAAAGCAGGTGATATGTTAGGAAATTACATAATAGACAAATTAGATATTAAAAAAACATAACTCTGTATTTAAAATGGGACATGACACCAGTCTTACAAGCTTGCTAAACATATATGCAAGTTTTCATGTTAGTGAAGCTTTGGCAAGCTAAAATGAAAATTGTGAGGAGTGTCATGGAATGAAGACATTATAGTGACCTTTTCATCACATACACCAATGAATTTTGAATTATAACACATGTAAATAACAAAAATGATAACGACCTACACACACTATACTGTCAGTACGTTCTCGTATTATAGTAATTACAGCACTGTAAGATCAATGCATCTGCGGCTGATGTTTATAAAAACTACATTAAAACCTTGTAAGCCAGGTGTTGCAGACTCCAGACGCCGACAGAGCAGCGTGTATGAGGCAAGGCAAGGTATAGCCCGTCCGTCGCCAGTTGGGTGTAGGCAGGGTTGAAGGCAGCCCTTACGCTTTGGATGTAACGAAGCTCCATGCATATGGTTCACTTGTAGGTCTACAGTAATCTTACATTTATACTGTAAAACAGGTCTTCCAGCTTGCCTAGACTTGTGTATGTCTAAGAAACGTCATGGCTGACTTACGGGTTTCTGCACGAACACGGTGTGTTTTATTCATTTTCTCTAACTTTACATTTGTTCATACTAATAATGTAATACTCGAAAACCAAGTAGAATTCTAGTCTCCATAGTCATCCACCGATTCAGTGTAAGTTGGTAGCGTTCTACATTTGTCTAAACAACCATTATGTCTTTAGGTGCACTTTGCACCGACAGCTTATTCGAATTTGTCAGTGTTATGTCAAAGATGACGGTTCATTTTACGTCAGCAAGTAATGAAGCTGCAATTTTAAACTGAGCATGCGAGGCGTCGTAATCGTCATGGCTGCATGATGCCGGTGTTAAGGGAGGTCACTCTATGCAGACATTTTCTGCAATTAAGGTGCCCCTCACGCAAAATATGGACACCTGCTCTTATGTAAAAAATGCGAAATTTGTAAGATCTTAACATTTTTCAGTTGTGTTCCAATCCATCTGAACAAGAAGATAAAGTCGTTATGCCAGAAGACAATATGCCCTAAACATAAGAGTTATCCCCCTTTACCAATTTTCGGTAGTTTTTGTATTCAAATATCAAAGAACTAACGTGATAAGTAAATCACAGACAAAGAACATGATATTTATTTCATTGAACAGTAGAAATGAATTAATGACATGTTTCAATGCTGGACATACTTATCACTCACTGCAAAAATTAACGTATAAAGACCATTTTTCTCTTTTCCACTGAGTTAACATTATGTGAAGGTTTGATTTATTTTGCGTATGAATTTATTTATGTTAGGATTATCTATTTTCTAATAAAAATCAGAGCATATGTTTTGGCTTTTGACATCTTGTTAAATTATTATTGGAAGCACTGAGTGAGAGCTGCAATAACAAAGGCCCAGACATGGCATACTCATACCTTTCTTTGACTTTGACCTTACATGACAGACTTTCAAATCATGATACTTTCATCAATTCAGTATTGACAATACATTATTGATTTAGATATTATGTCATACAAAAAGACAACAAACAAAAAAAAACAAGACAGAAACACTGCTGGACGCAAAATAGAGAGCATTCCAAAGTTTCTGAAGTACGGAACTTGCAATTCTTTCTGATATGCTGTACTCATTTCATCTTAACAAAGCATTTGAAATGCACACAGGCTAATAAAAAAGGCTCAATCCAATTATGGAAAAAAGTAATGTTTTATTTTTCAATAACAGGTACAATCACAATTCATCACAAAGGAAGAAAGCACTTACAGATTGGTACACCTCAGCAGGAACAATATCATTACCATGGGAAAAATAGTTGTTTAAGTTAAAAAATATTCTGAAATCAAGACATTCACTATAAGAAATATATAGAATCATTGCTTCTAAGAACAAATGTTACTTAAATCTTGTATCAATCTGAGTACTTTTATTTGCTTTACTGAATGCTCTTTTCCTGGTGTATCTTAGGCTTGATGGTAAAGAACACATGGAGCCCTATTTTAACACATGTGGATTTTTCCATGTAACACATTACAGCAGTAAGCCTTTGCTTCATTTTGAATTATTTTGAAGCTTCAATATTTCTGTTTGTAACCCAGCTGATGTCATTGTCATACCAACAAAATAATTCATCATGATTCAAATCATATTGAAGTCCACATCCAAAATTAGAAACAGTTCCTTACAGAATTCTTGTTCATTACCAGTAGGTTTTATATTAATGGAGAATATATCCTTATTTCCAAGAGTAAGTCAACTGAGGTCTATCACATCACCTCTGATCCAAAGTTAGTGTATGGGCTTAATACAGGAAAATGGTGTAGTATTTGTTGTAATTCTACTCAACAGCAACTGATGTTGATGGGTTTCTAACTAGATAAAGACATACAGTATTTCATTATGATCATAAAATATTTCATATTCAAGAGGAAATAACAAACAAAAAAATACAACTAACAAGTTCTATTGCTAGAAAACATGGTAAGGAAAAGTAAGCCATCCAAATGGTGACCATATTATTATAAATAATTATGATTAAAAGCGAATTTCCGTAATATATACATTCATATGTATAATTTATCCTTCATTACAAAGTTTGTGTTAAAAACAGCCGGTTCATCTGTTTAAATGATCTAACATATTAAGATCAGAATCAAGATATAACTAAAACTGTCGCTAGCAGTTTCAATGAAAACAGTCCACATTGGGAGAAGTCTGGTAAAATCAGTCTAATCATGGAAACCCAAATTTCTAATTTAAAAAAACCTGCATGCACATCTACACATCTGCCCTAACATTCTTGAGTAGTTCCATTGAAATCTGTTCACAAGTTTGGGAAATGTTGTCCAGACAAATCTTTCCATGTATGGAACTGTATGATGACATGGTTACAAAGGCAATCCCAATTTCTGCTAAAAACTCCTTCCTGCACATCTTCACATGGTGGACAACATTCCTGTGCAGTTTCATCGAAATTGCTTCACAACTTTAAGAGGAGTTTTCTAAACAATTTTTTTCTACAGACAGATGGCACCCCCTATTAACTTCATTGGAAAGAGTATAATTATGATTGAACTGTTTTTATTTCTTTGAAATATAATGCATAAATTTCATGTATCATCAAGATCTCTGAAATTAACCTCAGTAGTTTAAAGTGCTTGAGGGTTAAAAAAACACTACTGTATAAATGATATGTTACAAATATACCAGCATGTAACTTACTCATCAGACGATGGGATAAACACTTAATTTCAGCTGCAGAGTTTTGGTTTAGTTTTCAAATGAAAAAAAAATCATCAGAAATCATTTCCCAAGTTTCCTTAAAATGCTATTGTAGATGAAAATAAATTCAGGACAAACATATTTCCTCATCACAAGAGTTAGTGGTATATCACCATACTTTAAAAAAAAAAACCTACTCTGCTTAAAAATACATGTAGTATGCAATGCTGATTATAATAGGCTTTAAACTCACAGTAAAGGAGTTCTATAGACCTTTTTACTCACAGTAAAGGAGTTCTATAGACCTTTTTACTCACAGTAAAGGAGTTCTATAGACCTCATAACTCACAATAAAGGGTTTTTTTTAGACCTTATAGCTCACCACAAAAGAGTTTTATAAACATTTTCACTCACAGTGAAGGATTTTTATAGACCTTATAACTCACAATTAAGGAGTTTTATAGACATTTTCATAGATTTATAGAATGAAGGAGTTTTATAGACATTTTCACTCACAGTAAATGAGTTTTTTAGACGTTATAACTCAAAGTGTAGGAGATTTATATATGTTTTAACTCAAAGTTTGTAACATTTGATAACTCACCATGTTTCTATTATATATCTTTTATAACTCATCTTCTTCTCTGTTTATAATTTAGTTTTGATTTGAGAGTCACCTGTACATTCCATTGGGGAAGGTTGACTCTCTTTAGAATCTGAACTGTTTCTGTCAACAGGGGAATTATTTTCAGCATTATTTTCATCTGTCTTTTTCGACTTCATTTCTTTAGATATTTCATCAGAACTAATTGGGGGCTTTCTTTTTGCTGCTGGCTCTGAATCCGTCCCAGCTGTAGTTGAAGGATTTTCAGTATGAGCTTCTGCTACAACTTCTTCTGAAACTTTTTCATCAATTCCTTTTCCACTTTGTGTTGAATTTTTCTCCGCCTCTTTTAAGACATTTCTCGTCATGTGACTAGGAGTTCTGGTATTTTCCTTCTTTTCTGGTGATTTCTTTGAATTATTCACTTTTTCATCTGGTTCTGATGCCATATCTGTTTAAAGAGAGATTCCATTATACAAAAATATTCAAACACTGTCATTCAAAAGGATAACTAAAACCTTCCGCAGGTACTGGTGCTCATTCTTAAGAATCTATGTTCAATGGATATCCCATTTCGAAGAAAACCCTAACAATTTTCAGAAAAAAATATGCAAGGGATTATTGATATGTAAGAAATTTGCCTGACAAAGATTTATACTATTTTACAGTTATGGGGCAAAATGAAAACAAGATCTCAGAAGAATCCTGTCACCCCACATTGTTTGATCTTATTTTGTTTTATATCTTTTCCTTTTTTCTCTTCTTTCGTTAGTTTTAATCTGAATACTGTAAAATTTGAACTTTTTTCTCAAGAAACTGTTATAATCTTTTACTGTCAAATCCAGGATGCCACCCTCTGTTGGTCATTTTGTTTTCTGATCCGTCCCTAAATCAAAAGGGCACAAGGAACCAATAGAGACTTCTGTCTGCCATTTTGGTTTTTATCACCAGTCCAAAAATAGAGTTTGCACAAATAGGGCAAAAGCAAACTTACATATACAAGAGGCCCAATGGCTTTAAGGGTCACCTGAGTTACAATGCTTCTTGTAACATGTCATAAAAATTATTTTATTAAAAAAAAGTAAGATAACTACATTGTACACCTAATGCTTAGGCTTCTAACCAAGTTTGAATTAACAGAAATGTCACTCAAGATTTGAATTTTCTTATATAAAATCTTCCATCCAGGAAAAGTAGAAATTTCAGTCAATTTGACCCATTTTTGGCCCCATCCATCAGCCCCTGAAGGTCAGCCGTGGTCCATATGTATCTCATTCAACTGTAAACTTATACTAATAATTCTAACCAAGTTTGAACTATTTCTGAAAGAAGCTGTCATCCATCATTCATAATTCTAACCAAGTTTGAAATATTTCCAATGGCAATTAAACACATTATGCTAAACAAGAGGCCCATGGGCCTTAACGGTCATCTGACAAAAAGCAAGCCAAACTCTAACAACAGTGAGTCTGCCGTTAAAACAGTGGGCTTTATTCATTTGAATAAACTTGGTAGCCCTTCCTCCCAGCATCCTACAGGCCCAATATCAGCACTCTGAGCCTTTTGGTTACTGAGAAGTCGTTTACAGATTTTAACATATTTGAACCCTGTACTCTTGAAAGTGGGTCAAGGTCATTCATTTGAACAAACTTGGTAGCCTTTCCTCCAAGCATCCTACAGGCCCAATATCAGCACTCATGGGCTTTTGCTTACTGAGAAGAAGTTGTTTGTATATTTTAACATATTTGACCCCTGTGACCTTGAAAGTGGGTCAAGGTCATTCATTTGAACAAACTTGGTAGCCCTTCATCCCAGCATGCTACAGACCCAATATCAGCCTTCTGAGCCTTTTGGTTGTTGAGAAGAAGTTGTTTAAAAATTTCAAATATTTGACCCCTGTGACCTTGAAAGTGGGTCGAGGTAATTAATTTGAACAAACTTTGTAGGGCTCCATGCCAGCATGCTATGGGCCAAGTATTAGCCACCTAGGCCTTCTAGTATTTGAGAAGAAGTTTTTTGAATGAAAAGTTTACGGACGGCACACGGTGGACAACGATGGACGAAGCACGAGGTCAGATGACCTAAAAATGTAATTTATCTATATAAGCTACAGTCAAATTTACAAATTTGAGACCCTGGGGTCATGAAATTTACAATCTTAGTAAAGCATGTGAATGCCTTTCCATCCATGAAGAGTGCTTGATTCTACTGTACTTGAGATTTAAGAATTTACAATCAGTTTGACTCTTTTTGGCCCTGCCCCTCAGGCCCCTGGGAAGGTTTTTGTAAAATTTCATTATGATCGGCTCAGGGGTTTTCCAGAAAAAGTACGAAATATTAAAAGTTTATGACACACAACACACAACCCGCAAGGTACTATACCTGACAAAATAGGATTGCAATAAGTCATCCTAAGACTTTTTCTCAGGTGACCTAAAAATTTGAGAATGATCCATCTCCAGAAATAGCATTAACAAAGTATGACTGTCAAAAACCATCTGTCAACCATCTTTTTTTCTGATCAGTCCAAAAATGGGTTATATACAACTAGAGGCTGAAGAAAATCTACATTTGAAACTGGAGAATGGTCTCGAAAGTGCTTCTCCAGAAATATGGATAACGACAATTTTTAAGAATGGATGAACAACAAAGGCTTGACTAATGACATTGGACGGAGGATGGACGCCAAACAGAAAAGGGTGATTTGATTAGCCTAACGTATGATGACAGCAGGCAAATAATTATGCTCAGATGTATCTCCACAGATAGTAACAGTAAGTGAAAATTTTCATTGATGTTGGCCTGAAAGTGTTGGAGAAGTTTTTCGTACAAGACAAAAGAAAGACAGAAGAGTTAATCCCAGTATACTTCCCTCTCCCATACTAACTTTGTTTGAGGTGGTACACATACATATGATTACAACAATAATTGTTTTATATAAGCTTTTTCAGGCACTTCCAACTTTTCATAAGAATCCTTTTATCTGTGGCCTAATACTGCCTTACCATCACTATTGCCTTTCTGCACCAAGCTTGAAGGAACTGGGAAATACAGTTGCATCAGTTCTTCATACAAAGCAACATCTTGAGGCATAAACAAACAGAAGATGATCCGGTCAACCTAAAAAAGACAAAAGCACAATTGTAAAGATGAATATTTAATTATCAGATATTTTTACCTCTTTCCAAACCTTGATGGTTTGGTATCATCCATTGAAACTGCATCAATAAAGTCTCAGAGAACTTTATCAAGAATAAATATTTATTTAAACAAACAAGAATTTTGCACTAATGTTTTGAACCAGTCTTAAAAATCTTTTTAAGACAAGAGACCCCAGAGGGGTCTTGGCAACCGTCATCGTTTGATCTTTATTTGTTCTTTAAAAGTGGGATCTTCTCCATTGTTGTCTCTCTTTTGTTTTTGCTCTTATGAAATTTGAAAATTCCTCTTGAGAAATGTTTAACTGTAAGATAATCATCTATCAGCTATCTGAATAAGTGAAAAAATGGGACAATGAGACAATCTAGGGGCCAATCTATCCAGTGCAGATATAGCATTAACAAACTTCCAATGTCAAAGTCCAAGATGACTATCAGCTGTTTTTCAAAATCAGTCCCAAACTGGGACAATGCACAATTACAACTAAGAACCAAGGGGAATCTACTTATGAAATTTGAAGAATATCTGGAGAAATACTGACAAAAAAAATAACGGTCAAAATCCAACATGGATACCTATTAATCATGAAGTTTTAAGTTCTTCTCAAAAAATCATGATAACAAGAATTTTTTAAGGACAGACGGACAGACGATTACAGAGGATGAACTACTGACTATTGACAATGAACAACAGACAAAGGATTACTAATGAAGGAGGACTAAACAGCCCATCATTTGATAATGCTAAAAAATACCTTATCCACATTGTCACGATCTTCCAGCCAAGTCCTTACAGTTGAGAGAACAACGTCTGCAGCTTTACTGGAGGGGTAACCTGTAACATAACACTATGGTAGATATAATTATCTTTACTGGAGGGATAACATATATGTTTGATATCACAACCTAGCTAGTTGAGGAGGAGGTGCATAACAAATCTGATAATTCTTTCAACTCACTCACCATAAATTCCAGTAGAAATGCAAGGAAAGGCCTGAAATGAAAAAAAATTAATAGGAAAACCTGATTTAAATGTTAACAACACAAAATGCTTATACGTTTTCAACTTTAATTGAATCAAGTATCAACCATACCTCATTCTTACTTTTTTGAAGGAAATGATATCACAAGGATTTCAACAGACAGAACTTTCCAGGAATACAAATTACAGAATACATTGTTCTATATTCTAAATTATAACTTACGATTGACCGTAATTTGTTGTCAACCATGACATCCAGACAAGTAAGGTAACAACTTTTGAGTGCCTGAGGGATCTCTCCAATTGGACCAACTGTATGGATAACATCTAACAAACAAACATAGTACAAACTATCAATATCCGAATCATACATTACAAAAGATTACTTGTCAGTCTACTGATATACAAACGCTGACATCTTAATATCAACTCCAACATTTGTAAAAGGTTGTCATGGTATAATATGGCTCATTTCTCAGCTTCCAGAGAAACACTAACTGCTATGGGCAGAAAGTGTCAAGCCACACACCTCAGATCTTCACCGGAGGTTACTTTAGACAACCCTCTGACCGACTGAGCTATCACAGCCTTCTGGTTTGCAATGTATTAATGCTTATATTATATATATGCACATATACCACGATCACATGTAGTAGTTATTTTAGTATAAATCACATGCATCAATAACTAATCAAAAATATTTTTTTCAGTTCACCGATTTTTTTTCTGTATACACAAGTCTGAAACTTAACAATATACTTACATTTTGAAGGGAGTTTGTAACCTAGAAAATAAAAAAATAATTTGTTTGGATTATAAAAATCAATGAGAACCGGATTACAATTTTTTTGTCTCTATTTAACAACATTTATCCTGAATTAGTACATCATATGTAACCCAAGGATCCAATATATAAACTACAGTACATATAACCAAAAGATACATAAAAAATTAAAAAGGCCCAGGGGTCTAAACAGTCACCTGAGTGAACTCACCAATGGAAATGATTAAAATAAATGTGTAAAAAGAGTCAAGAGAAAATGAGAAATGCAATTTGTACAGGGACAGAGGAATTTTTTCTATAAGGCCCTTCCATCCATAAAGATAATTTGAATCTACCTTTCTGGGGTATTGTGTTTTTTGGTTTCTATAATTTCAGTCAATTTTGTCATTTTGGGTCATGCAAATCAGCATTTTGGGTCAGCCAGGGTCAATATGGGCATAACATCCTACTTTCATCCCATACTTACATTCTTAACAAAGTTTGATCTAGTTCCAATAGAAAATAAACAAATTATGCTAAAAAATTGATTCTACCTTTTTTGGGTATTCTACTTTTATGGTTATTGAGAAAAAAGTTTTTTGAAATTGATGTCAATTTGACTCTTTTTGGCCGTGTCCCTCAGGCCACTGGAAGATATCGATGGGAACCATATAATTTCCAATTCAATTCCAATTCTCTTAGTTCATTGAAATCAGTTCAGGGGTTTTCCAAAGAAGTAAAAAATGTACAAAGTTAACAGACACACGACAGATGCTGGACGCCGCACAAAAAGGTATCACAAAAGGTCATAATAAGACTTTGTCTCAGGTGACCTAAAAATGTATAACCCAAAAATAAAATGTATCAATTAAAATATATTATGTAACCCGGAGAGAAAATGTATAAATCCAAGCAAGTGTGACACCAAAATCTGGTTGTGTATGTACAAAATTAATGTGGCATAAATTTATATTTATAGTAAAAAGAAACAGATTGTGATATTGACCTTCTGTTTGAGATTACATGACTATAAGTAAAACCAACCTCCAGTAATTTTTGCATCCCCTGTATCACAGCCTCCCAATGTCCTACATTCAGTCACCAAACAACTTCCTGCAGCATTGTGGATAGCACCGTCCACTGAAATCACAAAGCATAAAACATCAATTTTCAGTCAGGAGCTACCATCTAAACACCAAATCATATCAAACATTAAGTTCTCATGCTGCCAATGTTTTATCCAAATTCAGCATTTCCTCTTGCAACCTCCAACAACTCAGGGTTGTATGTCATATTCTAAGACTACTTTCTCATCATCATAAAGCTGTCATGAGATCAACTCAACAAGCAATCAAATACCATTGACTAATAGCAACTTTTTCAATAAACCATGTTTTATAATAATACAATTTTGAAACTTTATCCATCAACATTAAACCAGATTAAACTTCTGATGTGATATTTTGATACCTGATTACAAAATAATCAATACTGGGGATTGTTTTATATATGACTGACATACTACATTTACTCTGGTAACTATAAATCAGGTTTTTAAATTTTTTTGACTGTTAGCAACATTAACTATGATAACTGCTAATAACTGGGTTTGTTTTATGTACATGTATGATTGACTATATACTACAGTTACTATAATGTCAACTGCCAATATTGGGAATAGTTTTCTACATCATAAACTGTATGCTACATTTACAATGGTCAGCCATGAACTTACCACCTCCTCCTCCTAACAGAGAATTATTGGCAGCATTGGCAATACTGTCTATTTCTAATGCAGTGATGTCTCCTCTCCACAAAGTCAGCTTCTTGTTGAATGTTTCATTAACTTCCGCTTTTGATGTCAGTTTCCTGCCCTTCACTGATGCGAAATGATGATAAAAGAATGAGAATGTTACATCCACTCATGGATTATTCACTACTGAATTCAACCCTTTATAGTGTTATTTCTGACATGCCATATCTCATTTTCAGCAAACTCAACAGAAAAACAAAATCTGAAATTTAAGTTAGAAAGATAAAATTTCCAAAGTAAATATCAAATTACTGTGTCAGTCAGTTAAAGAAACAGGGACATATCAGTGAATTCAGTTCATACTCCATCAGCTTGGTTTGTAAATTAGCATCACTGCCATGAACCATCCACCTGATTTTGCAGAAAATAAGACTTCAATCAAGAATCAATAAAGCCTAAAGTATTACTTGGAGACAAGTAGACATGTGGTAAAATCTAGTCCTCATGAACAGTAATTTACTTGTTCTCAAGTAAAAAGTAACCATCGTTGGAAGTGAAATTAAAATGACAAGTAATCTTTTCATGTGTTGCTGATAAATTAAGATGTCCCTGACCTGGTTTAATACTTATTACTTGGAATGTGATCATGATCCAACAATGCATTGACATTTAGCAAGGGTCATCAACTTAATCAATTTGATGAGGCAGTATCTTATCAGGAGTTCAAACATGTTAAATGTGTATATGATTCTGATGTCAGCCAAGAGGTTAATCAATTTCATTTTCAGTGGACTAGTTACTTACATCTTTTTCGTAACTTTTCTTCATTAGCCAAAAAGAATTCTTCCCATGTAGGAAGATCTGCCAGTTGAAAGAACTTCTTGCATTTGTAAACTTTTCTTTTGTCTGCTATAGACATGTTCAAAAACTTCTCTGAAACAAGAAAATATAACGACATAATTTGAAGGTAATTAAATATATATTAACCATTTTTATTTTTTTCAAATATCAACATTATTTTTGGTACATACAGATGTAGGTGTATTTTGGCCATATTAACATGTCTTTTGATGTCGCTAACTTTATTGAGCATTGTTAAAGATATTTTCTGAAGAAACTTCACGACGCTTGTTATCACTTGTTGACGCTTTTAGATAGTCTCTTTTCAGTCTCTTTCGACTTTCGAAAGATGTTCCCAGCCTGAAATTCCCCTTCAATACCTTTATCGATTTGAAATTTGTTGTGCAATTTAGACTCGTGCGATAAAAATCTTTTCTGTTGAGGGGATGTTCTCTCCGGACTTTTGGTAATGCTTGTCTCTTCATCGTTCTTTTTGTCCTCTGCTAACACCTTCCTTGTAACGTATCTGTCCATACTGGTAAATGAAACTTGTTGAAGAGACAAATTGGGTATATAGAAAATGCTGCTTGGAGGTCGAGATAATATACACCTCCCCAAATTAAACGTATTATACAGGTAGTTCCAACCAAGTTGCATTATACACCGACTTTCAAACCAGCAGTGGTATCTACAGATAGCGAGACATTTCTTATGCGTCTACCCGAAAACGAAAGTCGAGCGTGCACTAATTCAACATCCGGAATTCAGGTGCGTTCGCTTCGAATTCGCGAAATCGGGCATACATTTTCAAAAGGACCTTCATTTAATTATGATTTAAACAAAGTTGCTTTGTTATTGTAAAAAAAAACAAGATGTTACAGATCAAATGCAATTTTCTGGTAAAAAGAAACCGTCTGGGCAAGATCTATCGCTTATCAAATACCATTTACTTGTTACTTGTATGATACTGTTTTCCTGAAAGCTGATACACTAGTGTAAATTTGCGGCATTAAAACGGTACAAAATATATTTAGGAAGCATCGTGAGTGACCAGTAATCGGTGGGGGTGAATTTGTGTTCGCCGTTCCCGGCCCTGGCCCCGATACCCGTACCAGGAAATAAAGAAATAACTAATACCTCAAGAGCAAAAAATCAAATAAATTTCATTTTTTTACATAAATTTATTCAAATATTTTTTAAAATCTGACATTTTAAATGAAAATATTTAGATATCGAGATTTTTTAAACCAACGATTAGATTTTAAAGCGGGTGAAAACTTGTACGTCGCACTCTTTATTACTGGATTTTTGGCAAATTACAGCTAACATTATTAAACGATTTGATTTTAATCGGTGGAAAACTATTTCTTTTAGGAACGTGTTTTAAAATTAATGTTACTCTTCTAATTTAAAACAAAATATCACAGTGGTGTGCATTTTTCGTTGGGTGTCAAAACTTGGCCCCTCTTCTATTTTTTCTACTCTTTGGGAAAAAGCACTGATTTTATTATTTGCCGACAAAAAGTTATATGGTTATTCATGCATGATATTGAATAAGATTTTACTGGACTAGCGTATAAAAAGTCAATCAAATCATAATAAGATAACATAAAACTTTCCAGTCATGAAACGTTTTGAAACAAAATTATATATATATATTTTAATTAATTACACGTATATAGACACTACTTAAAATTTAGCGCCATTGACGTGGTAATGAAAATGTACCTTACATGAACATTTCTGATCCTGAGAATGAGCAATATTCAACATAATTAATCTGTTTTAGATGTGTTATCATATTTCATAATTACTTTTCAACATGTTTAATTTATACAGAGACCTAAATATAATTTCAAAAATACTGTTTGAAGAGGCAAACTCAAAACTATTTATAACCGTTTTATTCCTCCCTTTTAATGGTCAGTTACTTTTGTGTATGTTTGTGTATATTTGTGATGGAGGTAGGCGGTCACAGATGAGTTGGTTGATTTTTTTTTTACCTTCTTTTTTCCGGATTCCATAAGTCTAGTGGTATGGTTTTCATACTAGGAAATAAAAAAAGAAAGTCCGCTGAGCGTTTGAAAGAAATGACAGTCTGATTCAAGCGTCCCTTAAACATCTGGTTATTTAGTTGTGTGGTAGTACCAGGTATCAGGAGTTGAACATCTTCGTATAAGTACATGTATCCTGTGCATGCAGGTAAAAAATGATTGTGTGATCCTTCAAATACGCATATTCTTGTTAATCTTTACAATCACTGTATAAGTTACGCAGTAGATCGAATGCAGTTTGATGCACAGAACAGACAGGGACTTACCTGTAGCAGATGACCTGTCTTGAAAAATATCGGCAATCTAGTTGACGTTATAATATGTTGGTTGAACGCTTATTGATATGCCCTTTCTTTTCCCGTTGCCCAAAATCTCGGTTTCATTATATTTATTTGTTCTTCCAATGTAGATCTACTTTCATATAAATATTCCTAGTTTTACTATACTTTCTTTTCTTGGCCTAGCACCTATATCACGCCATTTCTTCAAAAATATGTAGGTGCTCGTCACTATGCAGATATTTCACACCAACTATATCGTAACATCATGTTGAGAGTACAGGTGACCGTACTGCCATTGGCGAGTAGGAATTTCTCTTTAGTTGTTGGTAGAGTGTCCATCTAGAAGCCAAAACGTTGCTAGTTTGAACCTCCACTTTATAGAAGATTGGTAGATTGTATTGCCAAAGATCAAAGGGTTGCCAAGTGAAAAAAAAATTTGTTTTTCATTACTACTTCCACTTCTTCTTACACATGTACTGTACATCAGGTTATTTTTAGTATAATTTGATCTAATCTTGTGAGCACCTAATGACTTTTAATGGCGTAAAAGGAAGGAGTGATGAAAAACACCCGCCCAAAGCTGGGTTAGAACTAGCAACCCTTCAGTCTCTAGTCAGACACACTGCTGCTTGATGAAGGAAGGCTCCCACTAGCTGAAGCTAGTAAGGCGATTTGTACTCTCAACTTCTATAATAATCCCTCACTCACAAAGTTGAATTTTGACTCCGAATACAACAACAACCCAAGTTCATTATCTCCAAGGAAGCATCTCAATCTCCTATAGCTTCTGCCATAGGAAAAGTCAACACAGTAAAGGCAATGAAACAATCTGTATTCTAAACTTCTACATTTGTGATTTTTTAAGGACATGTGAAGTTTTAAATAAACTATTTTCATACTTTGTACATGACCCTATGATGCTAGGGATATTTCCTCATTTACCAAAATACATATTTTTAAGTATGATATTGTGATTAGGAAAAACACCATTGTGTTAGGCTGGTTGGTAGCATAGATTTGTGGGATTGCACAATGCACAGTAAGTACTGTTTGCTTATATTATCAGTGTATAGTCAGCTCTTTGTTACATATTTTGCAATGCATATATCCTTTCGCATATAATGTACATATTCTGTAGGCCTAAACAATGCTTAATTGTATTGCACATCAGGATTGCACAGTTGGCAGTCAAATGATTTGATTACATTGAATGTATAATTTGTCAAATTGAAAAGATAAACAGTAGATATATAAACTACCAAATAGTGATTGAATAATGATCAGAACAGTTCAGTTTCTGAAATGATTGAATCAGCAATTAGCAACCTCATCAGATTTGTCAGGAACAATCCAAACTCACATGGATTAGCAGTGATAACCAAGGGTTTCAAGACTTTGTCATGTTAAGTGCTCTGACCTTTGCGTACTCCAAGCAATAAGATTAATTGCAATGAATATAGCTTGATTTACTACAGCATTAATGTTATAGTATATAGAAATACCATGCTATTATGGTAAAAATGATACACAATGAGAGGTACATACCCCATTTAATTTGTGTCAGCTATACAGTACTATAGTGCTATTGTCACTTCATAATTGTGCACTAATTTTATCAAAATTTTCCTTCTACAATGTCTTGATGAAGTATGAGTTTCAGATAATTAAAAGAATTATTCTTTTTTTACAATGTCATCATTTGTTTGTTAAACTTTCATAAGATGCAACAATTGTATAGGTGTTGAATGCTTTTGTTTAAGTGACAGAGTTGAAGACTGTGTGAGGTATGCCTCTGTGGTAACCAGGATGGTACTGATGTCACAAGGCAGGCTATTATGTCTGTACTCCGTCCTCATTTTTCTGGGGTTCACCTGGTTCATCTCTAGCTTTGGTAAGTCACATTGATGTAAACCAGAAAATTTCAAAATTTTCGAAAGGATAATACATGTTTCAGGAAAGTCTACTGTCATCCTTGATACTCCAGGGGTTACAACCATGTTTGCTTTCTTCACCCCTGGAATATTTCATGACAAAATTGAAGGTACAAGTGAATCAAATACAAAGCTAGTACAACACACTCTTTTTCAACCTCAAGATTCGTTCAATGTACATTAAAAGATCAAGCTAGTATTATAGTCTTATGCACAAGGTGTCACACTTGGAACCTCAATGACTATTATGTTAAGACTTTGCATTGATCCATTTCTACTATACATATGGACATATCATGTACTTATAAGATGGTTCCAATAAGTAAGTGCAGGGACACATATGAATGAGTCACAAACATTTGTAGTTAGGTATAACAATTGGTTCTACCCAAATAATAGTTTCAGTGGCATTCTGAATAAATACAGATGTTCATGTGTTAAAAAAAACCACATTTTTGTTGAAAAATTAGGTAAGTTGAGTACCAGTTTTTGTGTGTAATGGTATTCATTGATTTCAGAGTATTTTTGCTCTAATGATGACCTGCTGGAATTGAGGGAGAGACAGCTAGACACATACAAACAACAAGTGACAGACAAGAATAGGGAAATAGAAAACATACAGAGCAAAATGCAGGAGTATGAGGAGAAACTACAAAGACTATCTCACCTCCTTCAGATGAAGACCTGCAAGCCTGTTGCTGGAGACAATGACCCATCTCTGCCTACCCTTTACCTCATCACTCCTACATACGCGCGTCTGGAGCAGAAGGCAGACCTAACTCGACTGTCACACACTCTACTGCATGTTAGGAACCTCCACTGGATTGTTGTTGAAGATTCAGAGGTAAAGACTAGACTTGTCACTAACTTCTTGGCAAACTGTGGAATTCAGAACACACATTTAAACACTTTGACTCCTAAACAGGTGAAATTAAAATCCAGTGACCCACAGTGGCTGAAGCCAAGAGGTGTTTTACAGAGAAATGCTGGGCTTACTTGGATCAGAACAGCCCTAAATACAAAGAAAGACAAAGGAGTGGTTTACTTTGCTGATGACGATAATACTTACAGTCTAGAGCTGTTTGAGGAGGTGAGAGTGCCTTAACGGAAATGTACCCAGATTAATCACTTATCTTAGTATCTCAGTACGATAATTCTTCTAAAGCATATTCTCCTTGCTATTTTACTCACAATTTCTGGACTTGTTTTAAATTATTTATTTTAGAAGAACAAGCAATAGGTTTAATTCTGACTTACCTAAATGTGCTTAGTTATGGCCCTTACAACATTGTAAAACTCAAAGTTTGTCTGGATTCTTTTACTGATGTACATGTTTCAACTGCATTCCTAAAGTTGCTGTAATTATGTATCTTACAAACATATCATTTTCTTTTAAAAACATACTAAACAGTGCATGAAATTAAAGAATCTACAGTTTTTATATTAAAGTGAACACAATTTATTTTTGTGGTAGATTCGTCAGACACAGAAAGTGTCAGTGTGGCCAGTAGGATTAGTTGGGGGCCTGCGGTATGAGAGTCCTTTGATACAGAATGGAAGTGTAAGTATACCTTGATAGTCTGTAGTGTTTGAGTACCTGGATGCTGGTTAGCTTGGCTGTGAGTTTTGTCATCAAATGCATAACTTTTGTGAGACTTTGTAAACAAGTGTAGTACATTCTTTAAAATAGAGCTTACATGTTGTGTTAAATATCATACACCTATACACTCATTATTGAGTTTTCCAGAAATTACATTCATCATTTAAGCTCCTTTGGTTAATTGTCTTACTGAATGGCGCTCATTCTTTGTCAGCTAGTTTTTATAAAATGCCTCAATTGCATTGTATGTACATGTCTTTCAGCAGGCAATTTTCAATTTTTTGAAAATTGAGAGAGAGGGTCTAATAAAGCTGAGGTGATAACTTGCTGTTTCTTCCTCCCACAGGTGGTAGGTTGGCATACTTTCTGGAAGCCAGAGAGAACTTTTGCCTTAGATATGGCAGGATTTGCAGTGAATTTGTCTATAATATTTAGTCATCCCAATGCAGTGTTTTCAAATCATGTGCCAAGAGGTTACCTGGAGAACGCTTTATTACTGGAATTGGGTGTGAAACTCCAGGACTTAGAGGCAAAAGCTGATGGTTGTACTAAGGTATGTAGAGCTATATAGTCATCAGCTTTAAGTCCAAAAAGTTGTAATAGCTGATTTACAACATGATGAATTTATAATTAGGTATAGAACTTGACCACTGAAGATAAAATATTAAAATGAACTGCCTAGATGCTACAGTATACTAAACATGTTATCATGAATGTATGGTGTTGTTACATCCAATGGTAAACATGATGTGTTATATAAACTAATGTTATATATATGTGTGTTGATCTGAAGGTTTATAGACATAACATCTGCTGTAATTGTTCTGTGTTTGGTATAACATGTCGCAAAGATTATCATCATCATACTCTCAACTTCATATTTCAATGACACATTTAAGCAATCATTGTAAGAAACTATGTCTCCTGTGGCAATTTAATATGTTAATCATCTGTCTCAAATAGAAATATGGCTGCCATCATATGGAGGAGTATATTGGGGATTAGATCACAAAAATTATCCAATAAAAAGAAACATTACATAACCATTAGAGCTGACAATGAAAGTGGTTTCATACTGTTTTCAGGTGCTAGTTTGGCATACACGGACAGAGAAGACAAAGACAAAAAATGAAAAAATAACACCAAGTGATATTAACATAGAGGTTTGAAAACTGTGATGCTTTTCTGCAAAGTGTGTCTACTGAAGTCAGCTGTGACCATGTGCCTACTGAAGTCACCTGTGACACTGTCTCTGTGTGTCTACTGAAGTCATCTGTGACATTGTCTCTGTGTGTCTACTGAAGTCAGCTGTGACCATGTGCCTACTGAAGTCAGCTGTGACCATATGTCTACTGAAGTCATCTGTGACACTGTCCTGTATGTCTACTGAAGTCATCTGTGACACTGCCTCTGTGTGTCTACTGAAGTCATCTGTGACATTGTCTCTGTGTGTCTACTAAAGTCATCTGTGACACTGTCATGTGTGTCTACTGAAGTCAACTGACACTGTCATGTATGTCTACTGAAGTCATCTGTGACACTGTCTCTGTGTGTCTACTAAAGTCATCTGTGACACTGTCATGTATGTCTGCTGAAGTCACCTGTGGCAATGTCATGTATGTCTACTGAAGTCACCTGTGACACTGTCATGAATGTCTACTGCAGTCACCTGTGGCACTGTCATGTATGTCTACTGAAGTCACATGTGACACTGTCATGAATGTCTACTGTAGTCACCTGTGACACTGTCATTGTGTGTCTACTGAAGTCACCTGTGACACTGTCATTGTGTGTCTACTGAAGTCATCTGTGACACTGTCATTGTGTGTCTACTGAAGTCATCTGTGACACTCACTTTGCCTACTAAAGTCACCTGTGACACTACCATGGTGTGTCTACTGAAGTCACCTGTGACACTACCATGGTGTGTCTACTGAAGTCACCTGTGACTCTACCATTGTGTGTCTACTGAAGTTGTCTGTACAATATAGGGTATTTTTAACAAACAACTGTTACTTTGACATGTTGGTAATGTCTTGTTTTTGGTGATAGCTATTGGTTTCATACATGACAACTGATGATGTGATGTTTTGCAAGGAAATATTACAATACATTCCAATGAAAGGGAGGCATTCATTTCTATTGATGTTTTACATAGTAGTAGTCCAACATGTTCACCCATTTGTGATGTCAGCTAGAGACATTGTCGTAACACATGTTCAGCACGTGTAATTTGCATTACATTCTGTCCAATTGAAAACACACAATTGTTTTTGTGGTTTGTTAAAAGTTTTTGAATTGCTCAAATGATTATAGAACAGCCATTGTATTTAGAGACCTGTTGTTTGTATTATTGTGATATTTATCTCATGTACTGTAAGCAAACAGAAACAATTGTTTTACTAATTTTGTGATAAAGCACTGATGTTAAATCTGTATTTTAGCTAGTTGTAAACTGATGTAATGTTTGATTGTGTTGATCATCAGCTGGATAACTGAGTTTTTCAGTAGTAAGGCAGAACATGAACTTCTCACTTACATGTAGTGGTATGACATGAAGATTCTCATATTCATGTATGTTTACAGCAGTTTTTATTTCAGTTTTTAAGAATTATGAAATTAATACATGCAATTTTTTCAAGTATGGGTGTAATTAAGGTACTTGAATACCTAGTCTAAATTAGAACTGTAGCTGTGAAAAATTATTTTTACAGTTAAGTACATTGCCAGATTAAACTGACAGAGATTGCAATATGACATCAGATTAGACATGGTGTGCTTACTTTTACGTAAAGAAAATAATCAAGATTGTGATAAGAAATCAAAATATAAGCACCATTGTGAGGCCTCTGATCCTGTTGGTTTAATCTGTTTCCTCTTTCTTATTTGTACAGAATATTGTATCATTTTTTCTCTTAGTGACTGTACTATTATATCACATTATCCATTTTGATTAAAACATTCTCTCCGAATAATATCTTTAGCTCAAGTTTCAAGTGAGCTTATGCCATGGTGCAGCGTCTGGCGTCAACTTTTTCCTTTGGACAAAGTTTGCGAAAAGATATTTAAAATGACTTTGACCTATATTCAAGGTCACAGGAGTAAAATTTGTTAAAACATTTAAACAACTTCTTCTCATGAACTCAAAGACCTAGAGGCATGATACTTGGCTGATATGTTCCTAGAATGAAGCTTGACAAACTTTGCGAACAGAAATGAAGTTGAAATATGCTCAACATCACTGGCATCAAATTTGTCAAACATTTAAATTACTTCTCCTCTTGAACTGAAAGGCCTAGAAGCATGATATTTGGTTGTTTGGAAAAAGAAATGACTGTGACCTATGTTGATAGTCACAGGGGTCAAATTTATTAGAACATTTAAACAACTTCTTATCATGAGCTTAAAGGCATGGCATGGTATTTGGCTGGTATGTTCCTATGATGAAGCTTGACAAATTTTGAGGAAAGAAATGACCTGGACCCATATTGAAGGTACCAGGGATCAAGTTGTTAAAAAAATGTAAAAGATTTATTCTGGTAAACCAAAAGTTCGAGAAGTGGTGGAAAGGTGTTTCTAGGTTAAAGCCAAACAAGTATTTTAAAAAAAAAAATCTGGCATTTACTTAAAATCCAGGTCATAACTGTCACTGTTTAGAGGTAAGTATAAGAAGGTTTTTGTTGTTGATATTGGTTAAAACTGGATGTGCCCACTTTCAATTCTAATGGTGTGTATATCAATATATTTGTGACATGAACACTAATTCTGTTTTTGATGAACATTGAACAACAGATGAGATAAAATTCAGGTCATAACTGTCACTGTTTAGAGGTAAGTATAAGAAGGTTTTTGTTGTTGATATTGGTTAAAACTGGATGTGCCCACTTTCAATTCTAATGGTGTGTATATCAATATATTTGTGACATGAACACTAATTCTGTTTTTTATGAACATTGAACACCAGATGAGCGATGCAGGCCCATTGGACCTCTTGTTGTATATCCCTAAAATATATATCTTTAAAACAATGACTGCAGTTTACTTCAGATGATTCCTATTCAGTCTATACTAAGTCTAATGTTCCTCATGTTTCAGACTAAAAGAAAAGCAGTTTTGATATCTCATGTGCACTTAAATTTGGAATAGTTGCCTAAATCTAGTCATTGTCTTTGTTTAATGAGATGTATGTAGTTGCTTTTAGAATCTCTTTATGTATGAAAAATGTACAGATGGTTTTCTGATGAATGGGAGAATATATAATAGATATATATAAGCCTGAAATATGTTTAGCATCTATCACATTATCTCCCTTGAATTTCTCAATATTGAAGGAATTTAGAATTCTAATATACTTCCTGTCTTTTACAGCAGACATGTTCATAGATCATATTGACTTACAGAATTTGATTCCTAGTCTCCGTCCATCATTGAAGAGGATGCAATAAATTCTAGGAATTCTTTAGTTTCTTTGATCCAAGCATGGCCATATTCATCATCTTACATGTTTTCATCAAGGAGAAACATAGCTACATTTTCACAAAAATGTCTTTGCTAAATTACCTTTTCTTGTCTTTTCCATTTTTGAAACAGTGTAAAGCAGACTTTATTGTGTCCAAGATTTATAGGGATTATGCAATCATGTCTATAGACATATTTGGGCATATTCATGCTTCATGGATTATCTCGTGTCAATGTCACTTTTAGGTTTTTTAATGTTGTTCAATATTTCAAGAAAATTTTTATAATCCCTTCACATGTATTTATAAAATTATGGGCATTCAAATTTTTTAGTGTCAAACAAGCTACAGAACTTTCATAGATGAATTATTACACATTAAAAATCCAGATTTTTTTTCTGTCCTCTACCTGGACTTATGAACACATGATAATTACTTAATTATCCTAACTTTCTGGTTTCAGCTAGTTGTCTGGTGTTCTGTTAAAATTATTTATATATAGGAAAGAAAACTCAGGGGTGGTCAGCCAGGATCAGAAAATGGAATTCTTTAGCACTTGGCCTGGAATGGGACGAAATTTTAATTTGTTTATTTGGAAATGTAATTCTTGTCACTTGTCAGGAATGAAAATAATATCTGAAGGTATTTGTTACCATTCACTTGAAAAGTAGAATGAAAATGTTATCTTTATAATTAGCATACTTTTCTATTAGTAAGAAAAATCTTATTTTCAATTCCATTTCCTTAAAGGTTGTTTTCTTAAAATTGGGTTTAGTGGGTGTGTATTTTGTTTATTTACTTTTGAAGTACATTTGTAGCTACAAAATGAGTGTATTTGCTATTCTTGGCTTTATTTTACAGTTGCAAAAGATACTGGTAAAAGTATATATATATATTTAAGCACTCATATATAGTACAAGTGTAATAACAAACATGTTTTATATTATGCTTTTAAGTAAATTTTGAAAATATTTAAACTTGTATACTTGTCATAATGCACACCACTTTATCCAACACAATTTTGGTTAATTCAACAAAATTTTTACCTTGATTTATAAATGTTGAACAAAATCCTGTATAAAACTGATAAAAGTAGGCAGTATAACAAGGTGTAGATGCTACCTCAGAAACAGTTTAAAACTGCAACCTTAGCATTGTATAATTATAGTGGTACGATTTTACATGTATAATGGAATTAAAATTCATAGTCTACAAAAAGAAACAAAAACAATCCAAAGGAACAAAATTTAAATCTGAAGAAATCCATGATGATTTTATATGCTGTTTTGTGGTAGGAGCTTCTTGTATTTTGCAATCAGTGTGTAAATCACTCTTGTACTGAACTCTGTGCTCTCATCTCAAGTGACTGTCATCTGCAATAGTAAAACAAAATCACTATTGTTAGGAATTACTGGCAATATCTTTGAAAATTAAAGGTAAATGTTAGACATTGCATTTGTAAATGTACACTGTATACCAGCCAAGGTACAATAAATTCTAGAATAATGGTTTTCTATTGAATTATAAGGATTAATCTCATGACCTGATAACTTGATTTACCTGATAATCATGCATCTCTTATTCAGAAGCGGTAAAATTACACTACTAGAAGAACCAATCAAAGTTAACGGACTTGAATACTATTCATACTAAGCATTTTATAAAAATACCAATTGACTATATTTTATAAAATGAAGTAAAGTAAATTAGATGAGATTATGTGATTGAATGGTTTTGGTGTCATTGAAGATGCAGGAATGATCTATTATGAAGGAACATATTTTATTTAACTTGTAGGTGTTGTACATGAGACTATATTGTCTAGAAAGTACATTGTGTGTGATCAATTTCTTGTATAGATACCAGTAATTTTTACATCTAAATTACTGCTGCAGATCAGGTCTACTGATGATATTACACTTCAACAATCTGAACCTGTTGTTAATGTACACATTATTTTTTAGAATTTCATGTTTTGGTGCTTTACAACACAGATTGTTTATAAAACTCCGGAAGCTTATTTTGTCTTTAGCTTGGAATTTGCTGTTGGTACTTGTTATTTTATGTGTATAAGCCTTGCAATCTTATGTTTGACTGGTATATATATCATATATATATTTTTTTTTTTAATGTAGAATTTAGCTGAGAAGGGAACGTACATATTACATTGTTGGTGATCATAAAATGAATTTGGTATTTTGTATGTGAATTATTCTCCTTATTATGACCTCGGTACATGTATTGTGTAAGAACATTTGTATGCTTGCCAATAGGTTGTATGTACATATATAAAATATATATATACTGTATATACAACTTATTGACATGGTTTTCTTGTAGGTTATAGCTTTAAATTTGTTAAAATATGTTCGCTTACATGAGAGAAAATGGGCTTGCTGATATTGTTTATAAGGTAAGGTCCTCAGAAGTTATAGAAAATGTTGATATTTGGTCTGATTTGTAATGTTTTAACTAATGTTATTGTGCCATTTACAAAAACATGTACATCGAAATGTGTGGATAAGTAATTTACATGTAGTGGGTATGATATTATGGCTTTTGTTTAAGGTATTATCGAGTTAGAGCTGAGAAGATATTCAGTGTTGATGAACAGTGCATATATTTAGATCTGGGAAGTACTGTGTTGATGTTTTTAGAATTGAGAATAAATCCTGTGTTTCAGAATATTTTTATTTCACAAATAAAAGTACAATATGTATCATGCGACAGACAAAACCTATACTAGCCCTGTCCTTATATCACTATAAACAATACTCTGAAGATGAAATAGGATTGATTTTTTAGAATTATATAATTGGGAATGTGGTTAAGAGAATTATAATTAGTTACAATATATCTCCAAATTAATAATAGAAGATAGAGGGATTAGTCAGTCTATACTGACTCTATCTATTAAGACACTTCCATTATAAAGTGATTATAGGCAAATTAGAACTGTAGCCGGTTAATTTTTTTAAAAATGTGGTTACCTTATCTAAACATGTGATTTCTCTGATGTATGACAAGACTATATCTAACATAAATTTATTTACATCAGTACTACTTATTTGAAGGTCACATAAATTAATGAAATAGTATAATGCAGGTTAGAAATGAGAGTTCTTTGGTTAGTACAGAGAGAACAATGAAGATAAAAAGTTCTCAGACTTCCTTTAAATAACCACACAGGCAGACAGGACTATCAGTTAAATGAGAATTAAACTAGTCAGAATTTGAAGTTATTTACAGAAAGTTGACATAATATTATATTTTCTATCACCATGGTATTTGAAGATATCAACACATACAGGTTTTACAATGAAATTATTATGATGTAAAAATTCCCTCTTTAAAGTTTTGATAGATGTTAGAGAAGGAAATAGACAGGCTGGATCATTTCATTTTGCCATAAGAGAAGGGAAGAATCTATTACTTATGAATGTGTTCTTGATGTGGTAAATTAAATAATCTATGGTATAAGAGGATGTAATTATCAATGGTATTCCTACTTCCTTGCATATTGTAATTTTGGCTGGATGAATGTAGTATAAATAATCTTTCTATCACGCCTGAACTTCAACATCCTTAAAATACACTTTTTCATAAATGCTGTTAATATGGGTAGACCAGTTTGCAGATTCTATAAAAAATATTCCGAAATATTTATAATGGGTAACATTATTAATTACACAATCGTTTAGAAAAAGGTCAGATTGCAAAAGAGAAGTTCTATGGTTTGATTTGGATTAAAAATAATTCTCCATTCATTGGCCAGTATGGAATTTTTCGTAAGGTTGACAATTTTTCAATTTATACCAAAAACCATCATGCCAAACTCTATCAAATGCTTTACTTATGTCGCAGAATATGACATTTTGAAGATTAAGTACAGGTGCTTCACAAGAGAAGTAGAGACCCCTTTGATGAATTTCAGAGGGATAATATCAGAGCCTGCACGTTTATTAGTGTTAAGAAGATGAAGTTGATTTGTAATATTTTGTTCTGTAATGTCAACTGTTGAGAAGTTATGTTGCTGTCTGGGTTGTCTGCAGGTAAATCATTAGCATCGTTTTTCAGTTACAGAGATAGATAAAGTCATTAAATGATTCAGCTTTTATCAAGGGGATGAATTTTTAGCTCACCGTTAATAACCAAAGTAGTATTAGCAACACTTATATTTTGAAGATTAATGATAGATTTTACAACATGCTGACATTTACCAGGTGTAAAGATTTGTCTATAAGTGATTATTGAAGTTTAGATAGATATTTTCTTTAGCCTCTCAGATCATGGAAATCGCTTGGTTTCTAGTTGAGAAGAACTCTTACATTGATATATTTAGAATTGAGAAAAAGTCCTGTGTTGTTGTACATGTATTTAGAGTTGAAAAGAAGTCCTGTGTTAATGTAAAAATATTTATAGTTGAGAAAAAGGCCTGTGTTGAGGTACATGTATTTAGAGTTGGAGAGAAGTCCTGTGTTGATTTACAGTACCTGTGTTGGTGTAAACATGTCAAAAGTTGAGAAGTTCTGTGTTGGGGTACATGTTTTTATAGTTGAGAAAAAGGCCTGTGTTGAGGTACATGTATTTATAGTTGGGGAGAAGTCCTGTGTTGATGTACAGTACCTGTGTTGGTGTAAACATGTCTAGAGTTGAGAAGTTCTGTGTTGGGGTACATGTTTTTATAGTTGAGAAAAAGGCCTGTGTTGAGGTACATGTATTTATAGTTGGGGAGAAGTCCTGTGTTGAGGTACAGTACATGTATTTAGAGTTGGGGAGAAGTCCAGTGTTGAGGTACAGTACATGTATTTAGAGTTGAGAAGTCCAGTGTTGAGGTACAGTACATGTATTTAGAGTTGGGGAGAAGTCCTGTGTTGATGTACAGTACATGTATTTATAGTTGGGGAGAAGTCCTGTGTTGATGTACAGTACATGTATTTATAGTTGGGGAGAAGTCCTGTGTTGATGTACAGTACATGTATTTATAGTTGAGAAGAAGTCCTGTGTTGATGTACAGTACATGTATTTATAGTTGGGGAGAAGTCCTGTGTTGATGTACAGTACATGTATTTATAGTTGGGGAGAAGTCCTGTGTTGATGTACAATACATGTATTTAGAGTTTACCTGTCTTTATGATATTACTTATTATCCTATTATCTGGATATACAAAGAAAATGACCAGTAGTGTAACAGGTTGTAACAGAGAACCTATATCTGCATCACTACCAAAGCCAGCAGCGTAACAACATTTACATCACTATCACAAAGAAGCTCCAACATCTACATCACTATCACAAAGAAGTTCCAACATCTACATCACTATTACAAAGAAGTTCCAACATCTACATCACTATCATAAAGAAGCTCCAACATCTACATCACTATCACAAAGAAGCTCCAACATCTACATCCCTATCACAAAGAAGCTCCAACAGCTACATCACTATCACAAACATCTACATCACTATCACAAAGAAGTTCCAACATCTACATCACTATCACAAAGAAGTTCCAACATCTACATCCCTATCACAAAGAAGCTCCAACATCTACATCCCTATCAACACCATAAATTTATAGGTAAATAGGCCCTTACTTTCGGAAAAATCCATCCAAATCTATTGCTCTTTCACTATAGAATTGTCAATTCCCAGTAACAAGCCCACCTTGCTACTTATATGCTACATAAAAATTTTCAGGGAAAATACAGTTGTCGCCATGTCCATCCGTCCATCCTTTCGTGTCCACAGCACAGTATGCATTGATCATACGAAGGTGATGTGCAGTATACCAAATTAAGGGCCCCAACCATTTATTTACAGAGTTATTGCCATTAGTTAAAATTTAGCGTCTAGAGCAAAACTTTGTTAAAATTTCTTGTCTGGAGCATAATTTTGCTTGGTTTTAAGGTAGGATGTATACATCAGCCACCCAAAAGCATGGTGCAGTGTAGCAAAGTTGGGGTAAATGACTTTTCAGTACAGAGTTAATCTTTTTTAACTAAACAACAAGAATGTTTTATAAGTTGATGTCTTTTACTCTGTAGAAACTGAGAAAGCATTCAATGCTACTTTAAAAGTCCAGAATTTGTTTCATAACCTATCTGTTAATGTGATAGTAAAGCTGGGGCATAGTTATTTTTTTAACCCTGGTAAAATAGCTGCAGTATATAACTTCTTTTTAGCTCATTCTGTTGAGCATTAGATTAGTAAGTCAGGGGTCACACGTTCAAATTCTAACTGAGGCATTGGCACCCATTTAGGGATTCATATAAAATACTACGCAATACTCTATCAAGCATAACTGTAACCCTGTAAAATACTTGCTGCAATATACCTCTCAGGTAGAGATAACTTCTCATTAGCTCGATCAGTTGAGCATCTGACTAGTAATTAAGCCAGGTCTGATGGGTTCGAGTCCTAACAGGGGCATGGAAACACTGTTACTTAGTCTTCATTCTACTGTATTCTTGAAACAGACTGTGTAAAAGTTACTTTTTCAGGATGTATGATTTCAATTACATCCAGAAGAATTAAGTTTTGCTGATATAATAAAAATTTTCAGCTTTGGTTAAATGTAACATCAACATCATGGTCCTAACTAAATGAAACATTGGTGATATATTTGAAGTTTGCCTCGATATGCTTTGGTATTGTCATTCATTGTAAAACTTATTTGATATCTGTGGTGTGTGTAAAATGGAGATTTGTTTTATGTTAACTTATCTGGAATAATTGTTATGTTTTATTGTTGAATTTTATGTTTACTCTAATCAAAGATAAACTACTGTGTGGTTACAGTTGTTTTCTATAAAATGTACTTGCAATAAAAAATGTCACAATTATGCTGGTTTAAACATGTATGCCTGGGTTGTTATGTTGCTCAATACATACATAAAGAGTCAATATGAAATAAATTTGGTATCTCGCTGGTCAAAAGAGCAAAACCTAGGTTATCAATATCATACCTTGTAATTTGGTTTTTAAGGTTTGATTTTCAATTATTTATCATTTCTCACATTTGCCTTTTGCAATGATGCATCACAACAACCCAGGTACCACTGGTTTTACAAAGGGAAGAAAATAAATTTTTAAATAATTGATATGGAATTGTGTTGTTATTTTTGTAAACCTGCAACCTACTTGAATCTCAGGCAGATACCAAAGGAAACAAACCACGAAACTAGACACTGTCGCCTGCGAATATAAGACACCAAATTGCAATAAGATACAGAAATAATTGCAACAAAGGTAACACGTGATCATTTTGAAATCATTCAGCATTTTACTTCTGTTTGTTTCAAAAGATTAAAAACTGGTTTATAACACCAAGGCCTTAAATTATTTCTCCATCCCTCTATTTAACACGTATATCTCCGATATACGTCCACGCGTATGAATCGTGTGTAAATTCATTCACATTTGTAGGTCTATCTGTGCTACATCACTGTAAAGGTCGTGATCCCAGTTCATGATGTAGCATAACCTAATTACCGGGTGTTTACTTTTGAATTTTCGGTAGAAACTATATATACATCGTTATAGCTTTATCTTCAACTAAATACAAGCCAAAAAATATAAATTCTTTCCGTTTTATCGCTTATCATGCAGTTGGTAATTTAGAAATCCTTAATGCCGACAGTTGATTGGTCACGCCCCCAAAACCATTATTCGCCCTTGACCTTGGAGCCTGATAGCTGGACCGGAGTATTTGCTCGCCAGTAGCAGTTATCAAACACTCGCACAACAGCAATGTCAGCCTCCCTTCTCCGTAGCGTTGTACGCCGAGAGGTAAAACAGTGTTGAGAACACGTTCTTTTTATGATAGAACGATTGGTTTTGTCATACCATGGAAGCTAGGTATGGGCACGGACTAAGTCAGTGCTATGAACAGAGAGGAGACGTCTCTGCTATGTAGATGCTACTGTAGATGTTGTCAGTTATTGGACTAGGTACTGTATATGTAAGGGCTTATCAAAATGTGTTATGCACTGATTTACCGTTCCAGCACTTTGAAAACACATGTCTCGATGGAAACTTATCATGACTGGTCAGTTGCTATACAATCGTAATTTAGTTGAATCATGTTTAAGCCAAGACTGACAGTAGATACGAGCTGCAATGTACAGTGTATGATGAACAAAGGTCAACATGATTCTCAAGTCCCAACATATCGTATAACATATATATAGTTGCTTGTATAGAAGATACCACATGTGTTGCCAATTGGTTACAAAATCGGAATACAAAACTTATGTAACAGGGGCGATAACTCCATTGTCAACCAGGCATAATTTGTAATAGGAAAAATTGATAAGAAATACCCTGCCACCGCCAGTTGAAGTTGCAGTAGAAATTTATTTTTGTGTAAACCTGTTTTATATTTGCAGTAAGAATTAGGCTAGTGTAAAGTCAGTATTTACTGATGATTAATGTGATCCATCACTTCTGTGTTTTTGCACAGAGAGATATTGAAAACTGAAAAGTCTTGAGCTGAGTTTTACAAAAATCATGATATTGTGATTATTTTTCTTCCACACTGGTCTATTGTAAGGTATTAGGTTATCTGACCTGAAGTACCAAGGTGACCAATAGTCATCATACGTTGTCCGACGTCGTGTGCTATCTGCTGTGGGTCATGCGCCATGCTTGGTGTGTAAACTTTTCCCTTAAAACTCTACTCCTCTTTCATGCCATGATGGATTTCAACCAAGTTTTGTCTGATGCATCATTGGGTGAGGTTATCATTTCTGAAATTCAGAATTCTGATTTGACCCCTATGACCGGACCCCCAAAGGGGAGGTGCTAAAATTAGATTTAAAATCCTACTCTTCTGTCTGTCTGGATTTCAACAAGCTTTGTCCTGATTTATCAGTTAGGGTAGGCAACTATTTCTTAAATTCAGAAAGTTGATTTGACCCCCAACTTAATATGAATGAACTTGATCCACTCGAAAGGGGTCAAATACCAGTATGTTAAAATCTTTTAATTGATTTTCTCTATAACCAAATAACCCAGGTTGCTGATATTGGGCCAGTAGCATGCTTGGATTTAGGGCTTCCCAGTTTGTTAATATGAATGACCTTGACATGCTTTCAAGGCCACAGGTGTCAAATATGTTAAAACCTGTAAAAGACTTCTTCTCAAAAACCAAAAGGTCCAGGATGATGACATTAGGCCAGTAGCATGCTAGGATATAATGATACCAACTTGGTTAGTATGAATGATATTTACCCACTTTCAAAGTGTTTCTGTGTCAGGACAATTATGTGACATCACAGTAACAATTCACTGACGTAATGTCAACAATTAAATCATGCCAACAGTGTGAAGCATTAGGTGAACTAAATCACACACAAGTACCAACGGTAACCCTCAGGAAAAGATGTTTAAATTGGGAAACACTCCGCAAGCCTTGTGTTTACTATCTTAATCATCTTTCCCTTCAGGTTGAGATAATGTTATCTCACCTCCTAAAGGATGAACGATTCTATTAATCTTATTGTGAAGGATGAGTTCAAAGTATGAGCTGTGTTTTGGCTGGACTTGATAAACTAAATCTGAACAACCCTTAACATTATTATTGTTTTCATCTCCCATAATGGTTTCAGAACTCTTCCTTTGGTCAACAAAATACCAGCTCTTTCATGCTTATTTTCACTATTTACTGCACGTTTGAAGTTTCTTGTATCTTGCTGATTTCAAAGTTTTGCTTCTTTTAGGTGCTTGCTACCCAGACAGTATGGAGATGTTCCAGAGTGTACGCCAGCACAGTGGTGAGAAATGTTATTTAGCATTTACTACAATGATCATAATGTAGTGTATATTTATATCTGAGGTTTATATAACAAATTGTCAGCAGTTATTTTGTTTGTAGATTGGTAGTATCTAAATCACTATGTCACTCTGACTAGTTTTACATTTGCTAATTGTGTTACATCATTTTTTACCGTTCTGACGGAGATGTAATTTATATTTAGGTTAGTAGTGCCCTTATTCAAGCATATCTATAAATGTAATTATCATGGTGGAGAATTCCCTACATGGGCACCCCCTGTACCATTTAAGGAGTACCTACTAGCCAGCAGCAGAAAGTGCACTATTGTTCACACCAACATGTTTTGACATTATCTGTAAACAACTAAAAAGTTCATGAAAACAAATCCTTTAGGTTATTTAATTAAATATAGATTTGAAGGTCATTTTGGACATTTATAATAAACATAGGGATATTGTTCTTTGTCCTAATGTTGATACACATTTTTAACACTAACCAAAATTTATATATCTTTACAGCCTACAACAATTTATATAATGTAATTTATATTTAGGTTAGTAGTGCCCTTATTCAAGCATATCTATAAATGTAATTATCATGGTGGAGAATTCCCTACATGGACACCCCATATACCATTTAAGGAGTACCAACTAACCAGCAGCAGAAAGTGCACTATTGTTCACACCAACATGTTTTGACATTATCTGTAAACAACTAAAAAGTTCATGAAAACAAATCCTTTGGGACACTTAATTAAATATAGATTTGAAGGTCATTCTGGACATTTATAATAAACATAGGGATATTGTTCTTTGTCCTAATGTTGATACACATTTTTAACACTAACCAAAATTTATATATCTTTACAGCCTACAACAAAGAATTTCATAAATGGAAAAATGGTGGAATCCAAAACTGACAAATGGATTGATGTGCATAACCCAGTGAGTCATATCACCTGAATACATGTACCATATTTCTCTCTTAAATTTAAATGAGTGAATTTCGTGACAAAAAAAACAAGAAGATTATTCAAGTACAGTGTACACGTATTTTGCTTTAAAACGAAATGGCAGTGTTGATGTAACTTATCCAAACTTGACAATTATATCCTAAAACATATGTTATGTAGGCTACTAATGAAGTAGTGACAAAGGTACCAGAGTCAACACAGGATGAGATGCAGGAGGCAGTTGCCGTGGCAAAGGAAGCATTCAAGACCTGGCAGGATACAACTATTCTTACTCGGCAGCAATACATGTTCAAATTCCAAAGTATCATCAAGGACAACATAGTATGTATGAGAATGTGTGTTGGATGTGGGTAACAATATGATGTGGCTGTAGGTTTCTGAGATAATGTATTCAATATGAGATTGTACAACTTAAGAAAAACTGTCTCTTTGGAACTAGAAGCCACTAGGAACATTCATGTGGGGTTTATATTGGGACTGAAATAGGAAAAGTGTTTAAGTTTACTTAAAACATGAATCTCCCTGACAATTAAGATCCCCAATTTCACTATTTTGAAATAAAAAATAATTATAGTACATTTATCTGGAGAATTTAATATTTGTTACAAATATGTCAGAGATTTTATATTGAACATATATTCTCTATATATATGATTTGGTTCACACTGTTGACAATGTTCGTTTAATTACAGTCATCACTGGCCAAGAACATCACTTTAGAACAAGGCAAAACCCTGATCGATGCTGAGGGAGATGTCATGCGTGGATTACGTAAGTTTTGTCTTTGAAAACTAAATCCAATTTTATGTATCATCAAGAAATTGTAGATATAATTAATTGTAAACCTTGTTACCCAGGGTATGCCAAAGGTGTAAGGAGCATATTTTCTAGGGGAAGCTATACCAACACATATATAAGTTATTGTTATATTTTAGAAATAATTGTATATTTGGTTTGCTATGGAGATGCTCTCCATGTCATTTCTTTTTCTGTTACCATGGAAACAGATTAGTCAAATGATGCTAAAATACTTAAAAACATCAACAGCAAAAGATGGTCTACATTAAAATATCTGTAAAATTGGTGGAATGGGGATAAAACCTATTATTGTAATGCTTGCACACACATGTATATAAATATATATATATGATTGTGTGTTTTTCTTTTTAACAGTGGGGAATTGATATCATAATTGTTTATATCAGTAAACACTCAAAGCAAATCACAAAATCACACATTAATTTTTTAAAAGATTAAGGATTAATTAAGATTCTAGAGTAAGCTGATTTCTGATGAACTAAGTCTTGTTTACAGAGGTGGTAGAGCACTGTTGCAGTATCCCATCCCTTCAACTTGGGGAAACCTTGTCTGGTATTGCCAAAGACATGGATACCATGACCTACCGCATGCCCCTCGGAGTAGTCGCTGGAATTACACCATTCAACTTCCCAGCCATGATACCACTCTGGGTAAGTACACTACAGTTGTGATAGCACTCTGGGTAAGTACACTACAGCTGTGATACCACTCTGGGTAGGTACACTACAGCTGTGATACCACTCTGGGTAGGTACACTACAGCTGTGATACCACTCTGGGTAGGTACACTACAGCTGTGATACCACTCTGGGTAGGTACACTACAGCTGTGATACCACTCTGGGTAGGTACACTACAGCTGTGATACCACTCTGGGTAGGTACACTACAGCTGTGATACCACTCTGGGTAGGTACATTGCAGCTGTAATACCACTTTGAGTAGGTACACTACAGCTGTGATACCACTCTGGGTAGGTACACTACAGCTGTGATACCACTCTGGGTAGGTACACTACAGCTGTGATACCACTCTGGGTAGGTACACTACAGCTGTGATACCACTCTGGGTAGGTACACTACAGCTGTGATACCACTTTGAGTAGGTACACTTCAGCTGTGATACCACTTTGTATAAGTACACTACAGACATTCATTTATGATATAATTAGGTCAAGAAAATCAGACAGTTGGAAAATGTTTTAAGATGTTATAATATACTAATTATGTACTCACAGATGTTCCCCATGGCCCTTACCTGTGGTAACACATGTGTCATGAAGCCATCAGAGCGTGACCCTGGGGCGTGCATGATGTTGGTTGAAATGGCTAAGGAGGCAGGTGTACCAGACGGTGTAGTTAACGTCATCCATGGCAGACATGACTGTGAGTACTAAATAATTTATTTTTTTTATTCAAAATATTAAGATATATTCAATGTAACCAGTATTTTAATCACTATATATAGTATAACTTTGAATCACATTTCATCTAAGACACATTATGACCATCAGCATGGTTCTGGATTAAGTGGTGTGAAGATATCTTACTCTAGAAGTAATGACACGTAATTATTTTTCAGCGGTAAATTTCATCTGTGACCACCCTGATATCAAGGCTATCTCATTTGTGGGCTCTGATCAAGCTGTAAGTATATTGTTATATCTGGTCCTGATGCTACTGTATCTAGTCTTATTGGTTTATGTTGTCCTGATACATCTGTATCTAGTCCTGCTTGATTATCTGGTCCTAATTCTTCTGTATGTAGTCCTACTGGTTTATCTGGTCCTAATCCTTTTGTATCTAGTCCCACTAGTTTATCTGGTCCTAATTCTTCAGTATGTAATCCTACTGGTTTATCTGGTCCTTATCCTTTTGTATCTAGTCCCACTGGTTTATCTGGTCCTAATCCTTCTGTATGTAGTCCTACAGGTTTATCAGGTCCTAATTCACAGGTTTATCTGGTCCTAATCCTTCTGTAGGTAGTCCTACTGGTTTATCTGGTCCTAATTCTTCTGTATGTAGTCCTACAGGTTAATCTGGTCCTAATTCTTCTGTATGTAGTCCTACAGGTTTATCAGGTCCTAATTCACATGTTTATCTGGTCCTAATTCTTCTGTATGTAGTCCTACAGGTTCATCTGGTCCTTATCCTTTTGTATCTAGTCCCACTAGTTTATCTGGTCCTAATTCTTCTGTATGTAGTCCTACTGGTTTATCTGGTCCTAATTTTTCTGTATGTAGTCCTACTGGTTAATCCTTATACTAATGTATGTAGTCTCTCTGAGATACCTGGTTCTTATATTGCTATATCTAGTCATATCGCTGCTGGATATGATCCTGTAATTTTAATCATGTGTATACATTGTTTTTTATTATTTAAACAGTACGCCTAGGCAAAATAATGTTTATTTTCCTATTACTTTACCTTGTGGACATTCCTAACACATGTAACCTACATTTTACAGGGTTCATACATTTATGAGAGGGGATCCAAAAATGGTAAAAGAGTCCAGTCCAATATGGTATGTAAATTGTTTTATATATAAATTTTCAGCAAACGGTAATTTTATATCCATTGATAATGTTAATTAACACAGCATAAGTGTTGTCATAACATATATAAGTCTTAAATAGAAAGCAAAACATTGAAATGATTAAGTTACTGTGATTTTGTATGAGATAGATTTATGAAGTTTACAAACTTTATTTATTGCAAAAAGCACGGTTGCAGCAAATATATCTAAATCACTGTATATTTCTGTAACTACATACAGTCTGTGTAAAATATGGTAATCAGTGGAGATTCCTTTGTCACTACAAGTGATGAAACGATAATGGTATATAATCAATTATCTAACTGTTTAATGTCATCCGTAAATTTTCAAATTCATCCATACCTCAATATTTTCTAGTGTTTTAGCAAAAACTGCATTCTTATTATGCATAAGATAAGAATAAAAGATGCAAATTGCCAATGATATTCATTCTTATGCAAATGTTATGTAAGTGAGATATTTTAGATTAAAGTTACAAAGAAAATATTACTGCAATAGAGTATGCATTCACTTTCTTTGAATATGGAACACACAGCCAACTGGTTATGTAATCAGTAAATTACATCGAAAAGCCTATCATATTTTAACCAAAAATCAATTATGAATTTTAACCAATTTACAATCACTAGTTACCACTGCCCTCTAGTGAAATCACTTTATAGTTAATCATATTTAGTAAGAATGCTTATATAAATTAAGATCACAGCATTTTGGTATATAAACCAGTAGATATTATTTGCATTGTTTTAACGCAGGGTGCTAAAAATCATGGTGTGATTCTGCCTGATGCCAATAAGGAAAACACTCTGAACCAGGTAAGTCTACAAAGATCTACAATTATGATAGGAATGATGGAAATTAACACTTTCTTTATCATCGAAATTGTACAGTTAGGAGGAAAGAACAGTATATTTACTTCATTCTGTTTATAGTGGTTCACTTCCAAAGCTCTTGTTGACTATATTACGTTTATAGTGGTTCACTTCCAAAGCTCTTGTTGACTATATTATGTTTATAGTGGTTCACTTCCAAAGCTCTTGTTGACTGATATAGATTAATAAGCCTTATCTGTAATGATAACAAGATGCCTCACTGCGTTGTTAGTGTTTTAGCTTGATATTAAGAAATATCTGATAATGTTATTTCATAATGCTGACCCCTTTGCGAGACGGTATAAAGTAAAACCAACCCTAACAGAACTACTTGATCATTATTTTTATGCCTTTTCCATTGCATGATCACAAGCATATAGCCCCTGTTCAATTTTGAGTCTGATCTGAAGAGAAGATTGCTGACAAGCAGCTATTTTGGACTTTGACCGTTGAAGTATTTTGTAGCTACTCTTCAAGAAGCACTGACTGGATATTAATGAAATTCGATGTGTATCTGGAGGTTCCTCTTGGTCCCTAGTTGTGCCCATTTAATCTTTAGTTTGATCCTGGGAAAAAAATGGCCAAAAGACGACCATTTTGACTCTGATGAAAGTACTGGAAGGATATTTCTCAATCCTGATGTATCATTCATTTTTGAGACTGATCTGGAAAACAGGTGACCATCTATGAGAAATTTTGAATAGGTCTTTCGTTTCCCCTTGGTCCCTAGTTGTGTTCTTTTAATTTTGTACTGACCAGAAAGGCAAAATGGCTTAAAATGACTTATCTATCACTATATCTTGGGAGGTACTGGATAGAGCTTTCTCAGATTCCATATTTAGGTTCCTCTTGGTCCCTAGTTGTGCCCTATTGTTAGACTGACAAGGAAATTGAAATGACTGACAGGTGGCTGATGTATATATGTGTATCACTATTTCATGAGTTATACTGGATTGATCTTTCTCAAAATTCATATGTAGTTGTATAGGTTCTTCTTATTTCTTAATTGTGACCCTATGATTTTGGACTTATAAAAAGAAATATGGACAAAACATATAAAAAGAAATATGGGCAAAGCAACAACCATTGTGGATTGGACAGTTACGAATTATTATTATTATCTCTTGAGAGGAATTTATTTATTTTTATGTGATCAAAAGCAATAACAATGGAAATTGCAAAATAAAAACAAATCAAAATAAAACCCTAGTAAAGTCAATAACAGTTCCAAACTTAGCCTTTGTTGCTGGTGGGGCATTCCTATCACTCAAGACACAACCAGTCTAAATCAGAGGTTAAAAGTCTCTGATTGTTTTTCTTACTTTTTCTGTGTTTTTTATTGTCTACATATACTTCTCCTACAGCTGAGTTTGGTCATTTGATGTGGGACTGTTCACATCAGTAATTGTCGAGAGTGCTATTGATACCTGAGTGTTAACTACAATTAACTTACTTTAACAGTTGGTTGGAGCAGCGTTTGGTGCTGCAGGACAGAGATGTATGGCCCTGTCAACAGCCATATTTGTTGGGGAGGCCAAGGAATGGATTCCAGAATTTATAGAGAAAGCCAAGAAACTCCAAGTCAATGCAGGTATGGTGACAGAAACAATGGAATTCTCACATCAAATCAGATAAGTGAGCATATATAATGTGTAATACAATCAGGTAACAATATATTATGTGTACTGTAATCAAGTAACAATATATTATGTGTAATATCATCAGGTAACAATATATTATGTGTAATATCATCAGGTAACAATATATTATGTGTAATATCATCAGGTAACAATATATTATGTGTACTGTAATCTGGTAACAATATATCATGTGTAATGTAATCTGGTAACAATATATGATGTGTAATGTAATCTGGTAACAATATATTATGTGTAATGCAATCAGGTAACAATATATGATGTGTAATGTAATCAGGTAACAATATATGATGTGTAATGTAATCAGGTAACGATATATTATGTGTAATGTAATCTGGTAACAATATATTATGTGTAATATCATCAGGTAACAATATATTATGTGTAATGTATCAGGTCATGTGTAATGTAATCTGGATATATTATGTGTAATGTAATCAGGTAACGATATATTATGTGTAATGTAATCAGGTAACGATATATCATGTGTAATGTAATCAGGTAACGATATATCATGTGTAATGTAATCAGGTAACGATATATCATGTGTAATGTAATCAGGTAACGATATATTATGTGTAATGTAATCAGGTAACGATATATTATGTGTAATGTAATCAGGTAACGATATATTATGTGTAATGTAATCAGGTAACGATATATTATGTGTAATGTAATCAGGTAACAATATATCATGTGTATGTAATCTGGTAACAATATATTATGTGTAATGTAATCAGGTAACAATATATTATGTGTAATGTAATCAGGTAAAAATATATTATGTGTTCTGTAATCAGGATATTATGTACTATGTAATCAGTTAACAATATATCATGTGTACTGTAATCTGGTAACAATATATTATGTGTACTGTAATCTGGTAACAATATATTATGTGTACTGTAATCAGGTAACAATATATGATGTGTAATGTAATCAGGTAACAATATATCATGTGTAATGTAATCAGGTAACGATATATTATGTGTAATGTAATCAGGTAACAATATATTATGTGTAATGTAATCAGGTAACAATATATTTATGTGTACTGAAATCATATATATTATGTGTAATGTAATCAGGTAACATGTATAATGTAATCAGGTAACGATATATTTATGTGTACTGAAATCAGGTAATGATATATTATGTGTAATGTAATCAAGTAACAATATATTATGTGTTATGTAATCAGGTAACAATATATTATGTGTAATGTAATCAGGTTACAATATATTTATGTGTAATGTAATCTGGTAACAATATATGATGTGTAATGTAATCTGGTAACAATATATTATGTGTAATGTAATCAGGTAATGATATATTATGTACTATGTAATCAGGTAACAATATATTATGTGTAATGTAATCAGGTTACAATATATTTATGTGTAATGTAATCTGGTAACAATATATGATGTGTAATGTAATCTGGTAACGATATATTATGTGTAATGTAATCAGGTAATGATATATTATGTGTAATGTAATCAGGTAAAAATATATTATGTGTAATGTAATCTGGTAACAATATATGATGTGTAATATAATCAGGTAACAATATATTATGTGTAATGTAATCAGGTAACGATATATTATGTGTAATGTAATCAGGTAACAATATATTATGTGTAATGTAATCAGGTAACAATATATCATGTGTAATGTAATCAGGTAACGATATATCATGTGTAATGTAATCAGGTAACAATATATCATGTGTAATGTAATCAGGTAACAATATATTATGTGTAATGTAATCAGGTAACAATATATTTATGTGTAATGTAATCAGGTAACGATATATCATGTGTAATGTAATCAGGTAACGATATATCATGTGTAATGTAATCAGGTAACGATATATTATGTGTAATGTAATCAGGTAATGATATATTATGTGTAATGTAATCAGGTAACGATATATATGTGTATGTAATCAGGTAATGATATATTATGTGTAATGTAATCAGGTAACAATATATTATGTGTAATGTAATCAGGTAACAATATATTATGTGTAATGTAATCAGGTAACAATATATGATGTGTAATGTAATCAGGTAACAATATATTATGTGTAATGTAATCAGGTAACAATATATTATGTGTAATGTAATCAGGTAACAATATATTATGTGTAATGTAATCAGGTAATGATATATTATGTGTAATCAGAAAAAGAATGTATACATTGAGATATTGATTAGTAGATGACTATCGTATTGTTTGTTTGTATATCTAATATGTTGTCTAATGACTTACCATCAGGTCATGAACCAAATGCTGACCTGGGTCCCCTGATTTCACCTGCGGCTAAGCAACGTGTCCTTGACCTCGTACAGTCTGGGGTAGATGAGGGTGCTGAAATCCTACTTGACGGGAGAGACTGTCGGGTGAAGGGCTACGAGAGGGGAAACTTTGTTGGTCCAACCTTGTTACACAAGGTCAAGGTAGGACTTCTATAGAATATAACTAGTTCTCAGCAGATCAATATCATTGATTTTCCCAATTTTTTTTTCTTTTATCAAAGTAGAATAATGATATATAATAACAAATTAACGAGATGATTTAATTGACAGCCTGAAATGACATGCTACAAAGAGGAAATCTTTGGCCCTGTCCTGGTCAGCATGGAGGTGGACACATTAGATGATGCTATTGATTGTATCAATAATAATCCTTATGGAAATGGTACTGCCATCTTCACAACCAATGGAGCAGCAGCACGCAAGTTCACCATGGAAACTGACGTGGGTCAGGTCAGTATGCTACATCTACCAATATAGACATATCTGTAGGAACATTGAGTAAATAATCCAAACCTTTGAATTGTCCAATTGTCTGAGATGTAATTAAAATCCCTTAAGGAACAAAGCCATTACACTGATGACAAGGAATTTTCAAAAATATCAACAGTGAACATGACTCAACAATCATGGATATAATAATTTGGACTAGGTACCTATGAAGAAACATTCATATGTCTTGACTAATAGTTCAAGTCATTCACTTGGTACCAATATAGACACATTTGTAGGTACATAGAGTGATGATCAAGACTGGTACTGACATAGACATATCTGTAGGGTACCTTGGTGTTAATGTACACATCCCAGTATATTTGTCCTTCAGTATGTAACTGTATTGACAGTTAATGTCAATGTACCCATCCCGGTATCTTTGTCCTTCTGTATGTAACCGTATTGACAGGTTGGTGTCACTGTACACATCCCAGTATCTTTGTCCTTCAGTATGTAACCATATTGACAGGTTGGTGTCACTGTACACATCCCAGTATCTTTGTCCTTCAGTATGTAACCATATTGACAGGTTGGTGTCACTGTACACATCCCAGTATCTTTGTCCTTCAGTATGTAACCATATTGACAGGTTGGTGTCACTGTACACATCCCAGTATCTTTGTCCTTCAGTATGTAACTGTATTGACAGGTTAGTGTCACTGTACACATCCCAGTATCTTTGTCCTTCAGTATGTAACTGTATTGACAGGTTAGTGTCAATGTACACATCACAGTGTCTTTGTCCTTCAGTATGTAACCATATTGACAGGTTGGTGTCAAAGTATATTTGTCCTTCAGTATATATTTATATTGACAGGTTGATATTATGATGCCTCTCTCCTTCAGTATATAACTATATTGACAGGTTGGTGTCAACGTTCCCATCCCAGTGCCACTGCCTATGTTCTCCTTCACTGGTTCAAGAGGTTCCTTCAAGGGAGATATGAACTTTTACGGAAAAGGGGTGAGTGTATGGTACCTTGTTAATAGAAATGAAGAGTTGTACTTTGATAAGACATTTTAAATGATCGACTGGTTCACTTGAAGCTCTACATTCAGAGCGATAGAGTATGATAAGGTTTAATATCTCATAAATGACAGATGTTTGATGTTCCTTTTATATTAGAATAAGATATATTCTGGGTATTTAAATAATATTATCTTCCATAAAGTTGGGTATAAGAAGTTCATAATGCAAAGAAATTCAGTTTGTGTCCTTGATAATCATTGATTTTAATAGGTGTTATTTTTCAAACTACTGAGGGGCTACTGATCAGTTACAATGTTATATTTTATTATTTATCATTGTTGCAGGGTATCCAATTCTACACTCAGCTGAAGACTGTCACACAGATGTGGAGGGCTGACGATGCCTCCATCGGACAGAAGCAGACAGCAATGCCCGTCATGCGATAATAGAGTTGTCGTAATGAGGAGAATGTCAGAGTGTATCAGATGGTTGGAAGACTTGTCCAGTTGTGATAAAAATGTGCCACATTTTACACCTGTTATTGCTAAACATTTACATCATTTTTAGAAATAGAAGCTTGTTATATTATACTCTTTATCAGTCATGCGTTATAGGGTTCCTCAGCTTTTGTATCTATGACTTTGATAGACATTTACTTGAATTTGTTTGTCAAAGAATAATGTGACTACTTCCTCACTCAAAATTAACTTTTTGTGTTCCTTCCTTACTGGGAAGTTATATTCATTTATGATTTATACATTTTTCTGTAGTTTTTGCGAAGTTATTTTTTATAATGATTGCAAACATTGCATGATTTACATGAAAATCAGCCCTGGTTTTCTCAAAATTTCACAAACACTGGTATTAAGATAGTTCATGAATCTGCTATTTCTTACCTTCAGTAGAAAACTCTTTAGAAATCTCCTTTAACAATGTTCTTTTTCTTCTGCACAGAAATGAGTGATATTGAGAATTGCTGAAAATGTGTGTGTGTCACTTAATCAGAGTTTCTGTCTCATTGTCTAGAATGATTTCATGCTGAACAAAATACATGTATATACATAATCCTCTAATTCAATAAAAGGGAGCTTCTTACTAGGAAGAAATTCCTCAGAAAACAGAAAAAGATTCTGTGTGTGTGCTGTGCTGGCTAGTGTAACTGATCTCTTAAACGGGAACGTTATGAGGTATATTGTATATTTAACCAAAAGAATGCACGAAATGTTGACATGTATTTTCAAAATAAACAGTCACATGCCTTAGCTGTTTTTCTTTTTTTCAACATGGTATTGGTAAAGGTAAATTGTATTTTTTCATGGATTTTCATGCGTTTTTCTGAAAACAAGAGGCATAGAGGGCCTGCTTTGCTAACTTGGATATACTGTTTGTAGTCATATTGCAAAGATTTACTCATTTTAGGGTACATCAACTTGCCCCTCTATAAATTTAGCTTGCTTAGTTCCACATGTTTTGTAGTAATTTTCCACGTGTATTGATTAGTTGACGAACTCAACTTTTCATTTCCTCTATTTAGCTTCTTTTAGTCCCTGTGACTGCTCTTTTAATCCATTTACACTTCCTTCCAAATGTCATCATAGTTCCTTTATTGGGGGCGGGCCTTACATCATATGTACAAGGTATATCATGAACCCACTTAACAGATTTTGTTGTTATTGACACCATAGCATCAAGGTCTACACCCATTAAGAATTTGGTGGTCAAGGTCAAATGTCAAAGGTCACCCTTGACCACTTTGCAAGGTGGAGGAATCTCCAAGAGAGCCCTTGCTCAATTTATGTTTATTAAGAAATAATTTAAAGATGGTAAATTTATTTTCCCATTTTGACTTTGCCTCTCTGTCCCTAAAGGCATAATTCCTCTGTTTATACACCATATGGTCCCTTTTACCATAGAAACTGCCGACCAAATCTGATTTAATCCCAGTATTTAAATTGAAGACTCTGATGAGTTACTTCTGTTTAATGATGATCCAAACCACCCATGATAAAAATTCATTACCAGTTCAAGTCTAATGGAGTTTTAAAATAGAAAGCTGAACACCAAAAGCCACAGCATCACCAAGCTCACTGGTCCTAACACAGTAAAACATATGTAAGAAAATGACATTAAAAGCACACTTTGTGTGAACAAGTTACCTATAAATGGCACCTTCTTGTCAGCACCAGTCACCATTTAAATCCCGGTGGATTACGTCAAAGGATCAAACGTTTTATGAAGTCATTTGAAAAAAAGCACACCGACAAATAATAAAAAAAAATACAGCACCAGGGGCCTAAACGGTCACCTGAGTGAAGTGGCAAACAGAAAGAATTGGAAAGAATGTGTGGTAAAGAGAAGAGAAAATGAGAAATTCTATTGTACAGGGACAGAGCATTTTTTTCTGAAGTTGAAACACGTTATTTTATTACTTTCATGACACAATAGTAACTTAATAACTAATAGTAAGCTTCTGGTAAAGCACCTTAAGATCCTTCCATTCTTGAAGAGTATTTGATTCTACCATATTTGGGTAATGAGAAGAAGATTTTTGAATTTTTTTTGTCAATTTTACCATTATGGCCAAGCCTCTCAGGCCCTTTGGGGATAGGGACTATATGATTTACAATTTTAGTTTACCTTTGACCCTCTAGGGTTTCTTCAAAGTTTCTTTGAAATCATTTCGGAGGATTTCCAGAAGACGCCAAACAGTTTAAAAGGGATTGCAATGGGTCAATGGCAATGTATCGGGTGACCTTAAACTTTGAGAATATACAGTATAATAATGGAAATTCACATCTTTGAAAATAGATCATTTGAGCAAGAAATGGGGGAAATTATTAACGCCTTTCTGATTTGGAATAGTTGAAACTGAATGATTGTGTGTGTCTGTATTCCAATTTCCTGTTCGTCGTCATTCCTAAAACAATTCTTGTTATCGCTATTTCTTAAAGAGTACTGGATGGATCTTTTCAAATTTCAAATGTAGGTTTGTCTTAAATGGTCCTTGATGTGCCCTTTTAAGTTCAAGACCGAGCATAATGAACAAAGTCACTGATAGGCGGCCATCTTGGATTTTGACAATGGACGATTTTGTCACTATTCTTTGAGAAGCAACTCAATGGATCTTTTAAAATTCATATGTTCGCAATTTTCTCTAGTTTAAACTTTTTTTTCAAATCATTCCACTCTATAAATTAACAAATTAATGACGAAGGGATTGTTTTCGTCTGTTGGCGATTCAAGCGTAAACAGGAGTGATTCCTCCTTAAGACGGAGACCAACCTTCCACATTGCCAATTCGTTTTTGATATTCGTTGCATGTGAACTGCTAATTCTAATCAAGACTCCTTTCCTGGAGTCGTCTTCTGATTTATGAGTTTCGGGAAGTCGTCTTCTGAATTATGAAAAAGGTTCCTAATAAGTGTCTCCATAACAGTCTCGGTCTCAAATTTGAAAGGGTACCACTAGGGATTAAGGGGACCCGTACATCAAAATTGTATTCCTGATATCTAACGTGATCGCCCGTCAACCATTGATCAGTCTTAAGAGCGCACACCACTAATGAGTTTTGAGAAAGAACCTCCCAATCGACTGCTTTTCAACAACTGCAATTATCAAAATACAAGATGGCCGCTTTTCAGTCATTTTTAAGCGAATAATTGAATGGTCACCTCTATGGACCAACGGGAACCAAGAAAAACCACCATCTGATATTTGTGGACTTTAACGTGTCCCATGGGGATGTCCTTTCTATGTTTTTGCAAACAAACGTTTTCAGAACAATTATTTGCTCCTAGCAGCCTTTTTGTGAGTGTTACTAGCTTGATTATATTTCTGAATTTAATTTCCAAACCATTGGTTACTAATTGGTTTTTCCCGAATAATGATATAAGGCATCTTTTGAGATAGTCCTTGTATGAAGAAGTTCTTTGAAGACCACTTCTTGATGAAGAGTTACTACTGAGTATATCTTCTGGATAAAGAGTCCCAGACATGAGTCTTAAACGTGTTTCATTCGAGACTTGAATAAAGATTTCCTTGTATACCACTACTGGAAAAAGAGCCCCAAGGAGGTGTCTTTTTGAAGAAGTTCGCTGTAGGCATCCTCTTATGGATAATGTGTTTCAATCATGTATTTTTTGAAGGTGTTACTAGTAAGCGGCTTCGGGATAATGAGTTTTCTGTAGGCATCTGTTGAAATAGGTCGTAGACGACTTATAAAGAATTGAAAGGGCATTTTAAGATAATTTCTAGTATGTTTGAAATAGCAGATTAACCTTTTTCACTTTCTGTTTCTATGCCTACTTATTCGTTGAATTCCGACTAATACATTTGAATATTTATATTCTGTCGGCAGTTTTGGGTGTCACTTAAAACTTGGTTGAATCACTGCTAATTATGTTACATTTTTTTATAATTCTGGATGGACATTGTCATTACCAGCTTTATAAGGGAATGAGAACTTGTTGAGTCCTTAAAAATATAAGTAAAATATTTGAACGCTGAGCATTAGAACTACTCGACTCTACTCTGATTTTGTCTCGTTCTTGAAAATGTTCCGGTATTTCCCTGTTCGAAATTTAGATGTATTTATCCAAGATGGCGGCATCCGGTGCAGGTAAACATTATTTTATTTATAATTGCCTGGTAATAATTAGTTTTAACTCATTTATCATGAACGTGTTATGTACACATATGTCCATTCGCTTAATTTGTTCGAATGATTACATCGCATTTTTATGTGAGAGGCACTTTCTTTGTGTCCGGATTAAGATGCGTACAACTGAACTGTACCTGTGTACTACAATACAATATATTTTTTATGCAGATGAATGCCTGATGAGCTATGAGAAACTAGACAGAGCTTCGCCAGATCTTTGGCCAGAACAGAGTAAGTAATCATTGTATACGCCTATTACAGGACAAGATACAATCGACACCATAATGTTCCTCAACTGAGTTTGTTACAATATTCTAAGGAGTGTTATTTATGCCGGCAACAACCAAGGGAATAGATCGCGTTCATAGCTATAAAAATTCCGTCCTGAAATACAGAATAGCTCAAAAACGTGTAGCATAAAGAGAAATCTTCAAAGTCATATAACATTTGTTCAGTCTTGCAACCAAAATCACTCGAAAAGTTGACCACGTGATATTTTTTCAATCATGTGTGTTCTTCATAGACTAATGTTATTCTACTGTCTTTTACAGTTCCCGGTGTATCAGAATTTGCTGCCAAAAGTGTAAGTATTTTATTAAAAGTATTTTAGACAAGACTGATCTGAGAATAAGAAACTAGCCTTTTTGACTGGTTAACAAAATCAACTTCGATTTAATTGGATATGTGATGATATATGTCATCTTTGTAGAAAGTCCAGGGTTCAGTGCTTGATAGAAAAGTCTATAACTAGGACAGTTATTTTTTTCCCCTTATTTCACAGGTGCATCCAGGGTTTAGGCAGTGAACAAATAAATCTATCTTTTTCTGTAGGCACTTGTAATGGCATGGTGTTATGATTTTATCAAGCGAAAGCCATATTGCTAAATTGTGGCATCAATTTTGATGCAGATTTCTTGGAACTTTGTTTATGGTTCAGTTAAAAGATTTCACAACAATTTAAAAGTTGTTAGTGTTAATAAATTGTTAGTGTTAATTAGTATGCTGTATGCTTTGATATTTGTGTGAAATGTCCTTGTCATACCCTGGGATGGAGTTGAGGGAACATTATATGAAACCACAGCAACAATTCAGCTATGTCATGTTAACTATGCAAAGTATTGAGATAGCATTATTACACAGGAGAAAGTCAGCAGTGTAAGAGAAAATAATCTTTCATCCCAGTGATCGTGATATAGGGCAATCTTGATCTGCAGGGAATGATTGTCAAGTTTGCAATCATTTGGCAAGCTTCCTCTTTTCCAACTTTTTGTGTTGATATCCAACTATTTTGCTGTCCACAGGGGGGAGAAAGATTCTCTTTATCTCCTCTGTCCTCAGTCAAAGGTTCACAATGATATCTTTGATTGCGAGGGACACAAAATTCCAGACCAAAGGTGATCAATATTATTGAGATCACAGGTTACATGTTTATGAACTAGTCAATGCCAGAGTAGTCAACTTTACGTTCAGTTTTGTCATGACATTCCAACATTAGACAGAGAAAATAATTTTGGGTTTTGTTGCCAGTTATATTTTTCAAATAAAAAAAACATACAGGCTCATAATTAGAATGTCTTCTGTTCCTTTCCTACTCGATAGTTTTCAGAAGACAAATTACATGTCATTATTTGTACCAATGATTGTCAAACATAATAATCAAACAAAAATAATATTCACTACTCCAAACATTCCCAAGAGTAATACTAAAGTTGTTGTTTTCATTTTTAGCCACTGTCAAGTCCTCAGCCAACATGGATGTCAGAGTTACAATCAGAAGATATTGGGCTTCTTCAAGGTGAAAATTTATGGTTAACTACACAATAATTTTTCGTTTTCAAGAAATTTTTCAGAGGGTATTGAATTATAATAGTAATTGTATAATATTTTGCGAGCTTCCATTCAGAATGATTAAAACCATGTAATTTCTCGAGGCTTTTGAACAGTGTTCTGTATGAATATGCATTCTGAAGTAATTAATTTGTGATAAAAATTTCTGGAACACGTGAAAATTTTAACACCCAATTCAAACCCTTTTGTACTTTACTTAATTGCAGAGTTTGGAAGTCTAACCACATCACAGCTGATAGACAAGATAAGGGGTCTACAGAATTTGGCTTACCAATTAGGTCTTGATGAAGGTCAGTAAGAGGTGCATGTCCTTTAGCATGACTATGGGTTATCTTACACAGTAAAAGGAAGAAGTGAACATTACATCTTTTATAATGCCTTTACCTATTGGTACATTTTATTGTTATAATTTAAATTTGATACAATTTCGTGAATGGTGGGAGTTTAAATCCAATACAAAATAATATTGTGGTAATTCTTTTTCCATTCAAGTTTCAAGATTTACAAATTCCATGTGTTACTAACAAAGGCACCAGCTACTGAATACATGATACTACTGGCTTTGATGGCATATCAGATATTTTGATAAGAGTTGTTTGAGAATGAAGAAATTAATGAACAGCAGACAATTGCTTTTCTAATGGTTCTTTACCTTCTTTTTGCAGCCAGGGAAATGACTCGTGGAAAATTTCTCAACATCTTACAAAAGCAAAACAACAAACACTGACGCTGGAAATGAAATTTTTTATTCAATATAACTTTTATCATCATGGTAATTTGATGATAAACATTTTATTTAAAGTTTCTGTGAGACAAAACATGTATAATAGAGGTCTACCTGTTTTACTCCAGTAGGTAGCATATAAGAATGAAGTCAGTTTAGCCAGATAACTGATCCTTCAATATGTTGTGTTCATCCTTCTAGTTACGATTCATTGAACTTTTCATGTCATTTACCACCTCAAACATTTGTTAATATTGTCTCTGCAAGCTTGTCATTATGTATGCCTTCAAACAATTTTCAAACACTGTTACATTTAAATCATTGTTGTTTTTTTTTTCACCTGTATTTGTGTTTGTGTTTTGGAATTATGGTTGAAGGCTTTGTTTTATTGTTGTTGTTTTTTTTCGCTGCTTTAACAGCCAGGGAAATACTGAGTCACCATCTCCTCTCCTTGCAATAAGTTTTAAATTCTCTTTTTCAGGGGTGGGGAGTTTGGGGGTAAGAGAGACACAGACTGATTTTTATACAAATATGCTTTCTTCTAACAGCACAAACTTTTGACATTTTCCACAAAACTTTATAGTTATCAATAATAAGCTCACAAAGGTTTTCTTTCTCCTTAAACTTAATGTCCACTTGAGGATAATCCTAGCAAACTTTATTTTGCAATATAAAATCTAATACCATCCTTTCCATTGTAATATTCAACAAAATAAACAGTAATATCTGATTGTCAATATTTTGAGTTTTAGATTACCGTCGTCCTGAGCTTTGTATTATATTAAGATTATATCATTGTGAAAGCAGTTTTAGAACTTTAAATTGTAATGGATTTTTTGTTGTTGCTGAGGCTTGATAAGGAAATATTTGCTTTGAGGATTTAAAATCCAATGGCAAGTTTACTGAACACAAGTAATAGTTTAGTATAATCTATAGAAACGATCTTAAAGAAACTGGATTTTCATGTACGGGTGTAAGCTACATGTATATTGGGTTATGTGGACTTGTATCTATGTATTGAAAAGACTACATTCTAGCTGTAATTATATTGTCTTATGTCATTCTGTTATTAAATTCAAAATATTAAAATTGCTATTTGTAAAAACAATTTGTTCGATTTTATGTATTGAAGCCCGACAGAAGTTAAGACATATATAGTGATTGACACTGTATACTATACATAAATGTCATTGTGAAAGTCACATGTTGAAGAATTTTCACTAGTAACCTCACATTATTGCTGGGACATGATATACCAGTATTTTTAGCCCACCATCTATTCAAATAGATGGTGGGTTATTCAAATCGCCTTGCGTCCGTGGTCCGTCCGTCCGTCCGTAAACAATTCTTGTTACCGCTATTTCTGGAAAAGTACTGGATGGATCTTTCTCAAGTTTCATATGCAGGTTCCTCTTGGTCCCTAGTTGTGCATTGTACCTTTTTTGAACTGATTCGCATTCAAGATGGCCGACAGGTGGCCATCTTGGATTTTGGAAGTAAAAGTTTGTTACTGCTATTTCTGGAAAAGTACTGGATGGATATTTCTCAAATTTCATATGCAGGTTCCCCTTGGTCCCTAGTTGTGCATCGTACCTTTTTTGGACTGATTCGAATTCAAAATGGCCGACAGGTGGCCATCTTGGATTTTGGAAGTAAAAGTTTGTTACCGCTATTTCTGAGAAAGTACTAAATGGATCTTCCTCAAATTTCATATGCAGTTTCCCCTTGGTCCCTAGTTGTGCATTGTACCTTTTTTGGACTGATTCGAATTCAAGATGGCCGACAGGCAACCATCTTGGATTTTGGAAGTAAAAGTTTGTTACTGCTATTTCTTGGAAAGTACTGGATGGATCTTTCTCAAATTTCATATGCAGTTTCCCCTTAGTCCCTAGTTGTGCATTGTACCTTTTTTGGACTGATTCGAATTCAAGATGGCCGACAGGTGGCCATCTTTGATTTTGGATGTAAAAGGCTGACAGGCAGCCATCTTGGATTTTGAGAGTAAAATCTTGTTACTGCTATATCTGAGGAAGTCCAGGATGGATCCTTCTGATATTTCATAGATATTGGTATCCCTTGGTCCCTAGTTGTGCATTGTACCTTTTTTGGACTGATTTGAAATCAAGGTGGCCCACAGGTAGCCATCTTGGATGTCGACAGTAATACAGCACAAGCATATTGTCCATTATCCACCTGTAACTGACTGCTATCTAATAATACTTTGGGATCTTTTTCAAATGATATTTGCTAATAGGTGCTTAATAAAAATATCTTGTGCCATCATTGAGTAAATTCAATGAAGACCAGTTTATGAACATTTACAACACCTGTAACAAACAAAAAAAAATCTTCAAGAACTGAAAACAGATCCTCAAATGGTGGGCGCCAAGATCCCTCTGGGATCTCTTGTTGTTTATCCAGTGTATTTCTGACCTAGTAAGATTACTTACTTTCCCAACATAATGGTATCTTTGTACTGAGGGTATATGAGATACCATGTTTAGGCATGTACATGTGTCAATCATGACACGTGTTACTCTAAATTTTACAAACTTCACATATGCATGTATCGGAACTTTAATGACAGAAAATATTTTATTACATGTGTGTTAGGTATGAAAAGGATCTAGATTTATCATAGCAACTAGGAGATTGGGATCAACCCCTAGATCAACCATAGCAACTAGGAGATTGGGATCAGCCCCTAGATCAACCCTAGCGTTGAGGATACCGAGATTGACTTTAGCAATGAGAATATTGGGATTGACCTCAGCAATGTACTTTTGATTCATATACATGTTTCAGACTGTGTTGAATAATATACATGTACATGTATAAGTTTATAGAAGAGGATATTGGGATCAACCCTAGCGATGAGGATATTGAGATTGACCTTAGCAATGAGAATATTAGGATTGACCTTAACAGTGTAGTTTTGATTCATATACATGTTTCAGACTGTTGAACAACATACATGTACATGTATAAGAGGAATGTTTTGCACAGATAAATCTGAATGAACTAGATTTCGAAATTATTTGTATATAAACTGGTGTAATATTAAAACATCCATTTTATCATTTTATACACAAGTACCAAGGAAGAAAGTGTTCATGAAACATGAAAAGCAATGAGAGCAAATTTCAAATGAAATGGATATAGAGCTTTCCTACTCCTGCCATTTTAGTAGAGGTACAATAAAAACACTACGTGACTTAAGAATACTTTATTTTGAAACAGCTGCCTTTCATATTATATGTTACTCTGATGAGTAATAAATAACATCATAAAACTACATGTCATATCAACTAAAATATTCAATTCTTGGAAGACATGTTCCTAAAAAATAATAAACTTGAATATCAACTATGTTCAAAGTTACATATATTTTCAACACCATCATGCAATATCATGTAGGGTACAATATGTTGTAGTGTATAATAAAATTTAACAAAAATTGCACAATTTACCACAGAAATCCTGATGTGTACCTGAGTAATACAAATACCAATCAAACGCCAATTATAGTAAATGTCATTAAAGTTTCCAATGACAGATAATGTTCAAATTTCTCCCGTTATCATTATGATTTTAAGTTAAATAGTTAATTCAATCATTGAGTCACTTTCTAATAACTTTGTAACACAACATGTTGGATGTTATCATGTACAGAAAAGAGAAAATTGTCGAAAAATAAACTTATAGCCAGTCAACTGTTCTGATCTCTGAAACAATGATTAAAACATGTCCAGAAATTTCTAATTCTTTTTTTCAAACACTTACCTGTTACCTGGTAGTTTTCTTATTCAAATGATAAGGTAATAAAAATTGCATTGAATTTTATTACATGGCTATGAATTTATATTGCCCAAAAAATTCAAGTAGCATACCAAAGTCTCCTGTTAACAAAATTAAAGATATCCCAGAGGGATCTTGGTTACCACCCCAACAAAAAAGTTTAACCCTTATAAATGTGTGCTGTAGTAATGAATAAGGCAGGCTGGCTAACTGTTTACATGTAGGGACATAACCTGAGAAATATTTTGGCAAAATTCTATAAAATGCAAATGAGCACAACACATAAATATCTGGTAATAGGGAATGCATTACGCCAGTGTGTGTGAATGTGGTGTAACTGTAACACCTCCTTCAAATTTGATGCAAAGGCAAATGGCACAACATATCAAAGAAGTTATTTCAATATGAATCGCAATAGAGGGCATATGCCACAATGATATTTCAGTTATTGCAGGGAAAAAAATTCCAATGAAATCTTGCTATTTATCCTTTTATGAGCCATGGACAAAGACCCTAAAGACAGAACCATACCATAGGAATTCTTGACAGTTCATGCCAATATCATATTCAGCATGATTGTAGGATAGGGACTGTTAAAAATCTCAAAAAGATTTCATTTGGATATGGATATGAGCACCGTGACCTTGAAAGAAGTGTTTTTATAATCAGATTTATAGCATTCCATTTAAACTATTTGTCATATACTGTATTTAATGAACATTTAGAGATTTTCAAACATTTAGACACTTTGAATGCAGTAAGCACTTGACCTCAACAAGACTGATAGAAAAAATGCCTTTAGAAAAGTCAATGTAAAAATCTTAATATATATATAAGGGACCCAAATAGCACTCCATTTAACACTTTTGTGAATTTCAATGTTGAAGAACAGATTTTGAAGATGTACCACACCAGATCACTAGATCAGCTAATATCTTGTTTTGTACAATTTGATGTCAAACAGCTACAATAACATTATACAAGCAAGACCTCTTCCGAGTCTGAAGAATACATCTCTGATCCATCTTCTTTAGTCCCTTCCTCTTCTGAAGAATCACCAGACATAATATTTTGCTGGTGTAACCCTGCCCTTGGTAACATCTTTTCTGTTACAGTAGCATATTTGTAGTCTCTTTCTGACTCTCCAAGATGATATAGTAGATTTACATCTTTTGAAATGTTATTAATGGACTTAATGCTTTTAGATTTTCTAATAGCTACCAGATTACATCTTCTACTGGCTACTGACTTTTCACCTACAGAATCTAATCCTTCACTATGTGTGTGCTGGTGTCCAACTGACTGGGATTTCCTTGGAGACCTGTGAGGGTGTTTGCTAGATTTGACCACATTCTTTGAGTTAATGTGTCCTTTTTTATATATCTTCTGCGTGACTGAATGTTCTGGTTGATTTGTGCTATATTGGTAAACACTACACTCCTCCTTATAGTTACAGTCCTCGGCCCTTGTTCTCTCATTTTTATACTTTTTTGACTGAGAAACATTGTGTAAGCGACGTTTCTCCACATCTTCATATTCTAACTTCCCTACTTCTTCACTGTCATCAAATTTTTCTGAAGAGTTTTGAATTTCTACACCATTTTTGTCAAGTGACATACCCAATTCTTCAGAACTGATGTTATCATTGTAGTAATTATTCCACTTGTCAGATTGTTTTTGTCTCTTCATACTAGTTCTGGGATGACTGGCTGCTTTTCGCTTATGTGTTTGTTCCGTTTTGTTTTCAATGAGGAAAGACGATTGCATTTCTCTAACACTCAAATGCATGGACTCACTGTCAGGACTATAACCTTGATCTTTTGAGTTTGTAGAACACAACTTGGACTGGTGAACTAATTTCTCCTTGCTGATCACCTCTTCCCTTGACTTTGTGGTTTCTCCATTTTCCATCTGACCTTGCCTAGACTGGTTTGCTTCCCTTCTCATGCTGTTTTTCCTCCTATAATATTTTCCTAGTGGCTCATCCAAGTCTTCGTTGAGGTTTTCTTCAGATACTATTTGAGAGTACCTCTTCTTTCTTTTCTTTCCTGTGTCTGATACAAAATTTGTAAACATTTGTTTTGATTTCCTACCACTAGCAGATTTTTCAATGACACTTTGTTTTGAATGACTCGACAGGGATTTTTCAGGAGTGATTAAGAAAACATATGGATCTTCCTCTTTTCTGTTAGTTCTTGATTTTGCGAGTCTCTTGGTGCTTTGTTGATTTGTAACTGGGGTAGTTCGAGATTTGGAAAATGCTTTGACCTTAGTTTTATTGCCTTTCAGAGGTTTCAATGCCTGTGTAAAATTGAGCCTCTTCTTAGCAATTTTTTTCACTTGTACCTTGGACTGGAAGACTTGCTTGCAGGAATCAGATTCTAACAAATCTGACTCCTGAGTTTCTGCTGAGGGATTGGACTTGGTTGTAGTACTATATCTTGCCGGTAAGATCATCTCTTGCTTGTTTGATCTAACAACTTGAGCAGACTTTGTGGATGATGTTGAAGAAAATCCATCTTCTGATTCAATCAAGAGATGCTTATCTGACGTAAATTTTTGTGATGCTGAAGTTATATCGGTGTAGTTATTATGAAAGTTTCTGTCCTGCGTCCTGCATATCCTTTGTCTATCTATTCCACTTTGATTATTGCATGCTATTCCAGATAGTTCAGTTCCTTTACTGTCCTTTTGGTTCAAGGTAAAAACCTTGTCACACGAACCTTTACACGCTCTATCATATATGTCTGCATCATAACTTCTTGGTCTGCTTTCAGATTTGCATTTTACTTCAGTTTTCAAAGGTTTCATTTCCTCTATGGAAACTCCAGATTTTTCTGACAAAATGTTTTGTGTATCTGCCACTTTGTGGATGGCAGATTTGTAGATATCAGTACTGTCCTCATTACAAGGTAAGTGTTGTCCAAAAGCAGAACATTGTACAGATGAAGACTTTTGTGAACATGGTGAGTTTTGACTTGAGGCAGAACATCTGAAAGATGTCGATTTATTTGAACATGGCAAGTTTTGACTTGAGGCAGAACATCTGACAGATGAAGACTCATGTGAATGTATCTTTTCCCAATAGTCTACACTGTTTTCCATACTGCCCACTGCTTTAATATATTTTTCTTCTTTAACACAAGGAGAATGTGATGTTGATGCTTGCTTACTTCTTGGATGGTTGTAACCATGCCTCTTCCTCTGTAAGTTGTTGTAGTTAAGACACTGCTTTAAGGCCCCCACACCTACAGTAGTTTCACAGGAATCATATCCTGACTTCCTGCATTTTCCTGATTCAATATCATTGAGTGTTATTTCATCAAATGAATGGACTTCATCCTCAGAGACAGAATCATACATTTTTGATGATAAAGGCTTTTCTGGAAATCTCACTTCTCTATTGTTACTATCTATAAGACCTTCAAATGCTCTATCAACTTCATGTTTGATATATCTCCCTGATTCTTTTTCAGACAAATCCTGTTCTGCCAAATCCTGCTCCTCTCTAATAGCCTTCATCAGAGAGGCAAGTTGTCTGGCATTCTGTGTTGACTGCCTGGGACTCTCCTGATGACAGGTCTTACTTTTACTTGGTTTGTCCAAGTCAGGCTGAAGGTTGACTGAAGATTCATGTGACATTAAGGCAGGTGATTGCCTGATGTGCAATAATTTTCTTCTAGTACAACCTGGAGGTGCTTGGCAGACATTTTCTTGATGCTGCATCATCTTTCCATGGCTATCCAGTCTTTGTGTTTGCTTAGTTTGACCACGTTGTTGATGCTGTGAGACAGTATTTGACTCTGGAAGACCATCTACATACTTCCTTATCACCGAAGTGTCAGGTGAATCAGAGACATGCTCTCCATCCCAACTGACTTGTGATACAGTTAACTCTGACATGGCAGTGGGTTTCTGATATAAGCTACCTCGTGCAGAGACTTGTTCCTCAAACTTTTCAGTAACACTTTCACCTTTTCCTCTCCTTGAAAACCATCCTGGACAAGGTCTTATAATTTCATTATGCTGATCATTTAAGCTTCTCTGTTGCATACTGCTTTGATTGCGTGATCCTACAGATGCTGTAGTTGTACACGGGCTGTCAGACTTTACTACAAAGGTTTCATTCAAATCTTTGAACTCAGAACGAGACCTAGAAATGCTCCTGTGTTCCTTATCACCTTGATGTTTTTTATTCTGGAAATCATACTGGCATCTCCTGTTGCCGTCAACATTCCTAGACGTAACTTGATCATGATGACTATTTGGAGTTACTTCCCTTCTTCTGTTATTCTCCCATACTAACTGATCATTCTCCATGTTAAATTGAAATTGATCACTCTCATTATCCCCTAATCTTTCACCATCTTGATTTTCCTTTCTTTGCATTTTACTGCCTTCAATCTTTAACCGCTTTCCCTTTGATACAGATGATATACCAAATGGACATCTCTCCTCTTTCTTTCTATCAACAGTAGAATGGCTACTTACTCCATCATCATGTTTCATTGAGTTATTACCCTCTTCTGTATGAACACTCCTGTGAAAAGCAGGTGAGCCAGAACAGACTGCCTCTATTCTCTCTCCCTCTGTTGGCTCAAATAAAATGTTGTTGCACCCACCACTGGGGGAATGTCCCACTTGTTGAGCTAACAAAAACTGATCATTTTTTTCACATGACCTATGACCAGTAGATAGCTTCTTTTCAGCTCTCTCCCTTCTTCTCTTGGCCAAAGCATGATTCTGATATCTATCCCTTTGTATATTTGATGGCTGATTGGCCTCTCCATGATATACATACTCCTGCTGATTTCTGTGTACTCTCCGTTTGTTCCTTGTCTCATTAAGGCTGCTGGGAGACAAATTTTCCTTCCTATTGTTATTACCATTGGTTAAGCCTGTCCTTGTAGAATCTACTGTGCCTCGGTTCCTAACATCATTATGTTGCAGAGTTCTTTCCACTGAATCTTTCTGAATCTTGCCAAGTGATTGTTCCCTTTGTACTGGGACAACCTTAGCCACCTTGCCTTGTTTGTTGGGAGTGCTGCTAAACTCTGAGAGAGACTCCACCTCCTCCTCCTCACTCAGAGTAGTTCCCAGACTGAGTATGTCATAGGTACTGGGCTTACTCCTACGGATATCTGCAGCCACTGTAGGGCGATGTTTGTACTTGGTATTTGTAAGATGAACAGCTGAGTAGGCAGCACCACTGTCTGTGGAAGGAAAACAAATGCTGTAAGAACAATAATCTCACTTATCTCATCAGCATATATATATTGTCTGTCTTTTGATATTCACAATTGAAATCAATTATTGTGTTTTAATGAAATATTTATGAACTTTGTTTGCCCCCCTTCCCCATTATTGATAATAAGTGTTACATGGGTACACTGTATTAAGGAGTAAAGCTATCTTCTACCAGCAGGATACAATGGAAAACATTTCATTTCAGGAACAATGTAACAAGAGATCCTCTAGGGATAATGACACCCCCTTCATTTGATCCTTCATTCTTTCCTCTTCTTTCCACCATCTGATGGTGGGCTAAAATCTGTTTTTGTTTTATGTTAATATCTTGCATTACTTTGTGGTATACATTTACCATTATTTTCTACATTCAAAAGAATAACTTAAACTAAGGAAACAATATGCTGAGGAATTTAATACCTTCCGAGGATGGGGAAAGTAGATATCCAAATGGGAACTCAGGAGCCAGGAAGGAGTGCTTGGCTGCTTCAAATGGAGTCATACGTTCATCTAGAATAAAGTAAGGACAGAGAATGTATGACGAAAAATAAAAATAGTCACATTTTGTTCAGATGCAGCTTCCCTCAGTTTGGGATTCTGTGTTATATCAATTTGAAAGAAAAAATGATAAAGAAGCCAACTCTAGTGTCTCTAATATTTATGTGATAGTCCTTCAACATCAAGGGTACAAAGTCAATTAAAGAGTCATCAATATCCTAAAACAGGAAATCTGTAAAATCAACAAAACTTTCATTTAATATGAATTCTTAATTGTAGTGGATTCATTTTACAATTGTTTAAATCTTCTAGCCTAATCTCATTTCTATATAGTCACATGAACATATTTCAAAATTAACTTTACATAAAATAATGAATATTCGGACTTCTTGGAATGTTTAATTCTGATTTGATAGTAGATAATACTGTGTCTACACCAATAATGTAGATATCCTGTATGCAATGTTACATTTCCAATGAAGAAGTGAATTGATGCATTCTTAATTTTTCTGACACAAGACACTTGTCTATCTACTTTAGCAATCTGGAAAGTTATTGAATGTTTCAGCAAATTTGAGCCATGTGACCATGAATGTAGGTCAAGGCCATTGGTTTTGTTTAGCAAATTTAGTGAAGCTTCACTTTAGGAACTTATCAACCCAAAGTGGTGACTCTTTGTCTCTTGGTTATAGAGAAGTTGTTTAAAGGAAAGGTTGACAGCCAGGGGAGATAGATGACAGACACCATGCTACAGCATATCAGGTAAACTCACTTAGCCCCTTTGATTTAGGTGAGCTAATATTACAGTAGATTATTCATAATCCTTGTTATCAGTGAAGATCTTACCAGGATTGTACCGGAGAAGTCCAGCCAAGAAGTCTGCCAGCAGATAGTCTCTACAGCCAAGGTGAGTCAGGAGGAGTTCTGTAGCTGTAATAACAAAAAATGATATCCTGATCTGATTTACATAATCACAACTCTGATGTCCACTAAAGATTAAATTTACATTTCTTTATAAGAAAATGAATTTAAACATCTGTTTTTAGGCAAATCTATAATCTATTAAATCCATGTTTATCAGGATACCTTACCCAAAAATACAAAGAAGGTGTGGTACTTGACATGTATCAATAACAGTTAATAAGCCTGGTAAACAGAAACCAAAACAACCCACATACACCAGTAATTATCAATAACATACCATCTGGCTGCTCAACAGTATCTGTGAACTGACGGAAACTACTGTAAAACTTCCCCCTCTGAAACGTCCTCCCAGGGAAAGGCCCTAGTAAGGAGGTTATCTGGAATTCAATTTAACATTGACATTGATACATTTTGTGACAATATTAGGCATTTTGATAAATTGATAAAATGAAATTTAGAATTGTCTCTTGTCTTAACCATTCTGTGTTATCAGTGTACAGTGCACTAGGATTTAGAGATAATATGATAAAGCAGCATGCCACCACAATGTGACTTGATAGATAGTATATGTTGCTATATCCAAGTTATGACAGTTGGTAAAATTGTCTATTGAGTGACAAAATCTGAAGAGCCTTCCACTTCCATCTTTATATGGTGGAGGTATAAAGCCTAAATACAAACACTTTGAATTTAAAACCTGATACTCCTGGACTCAACTCTACAATGTTAACTAGAACTGTCATCATCAGGACAACCAATAAGCTCCCACTTTATATATCAATTGTTTGAGTGTCAGTTCCAGTGACCTCAACATTTAATGTGTGACCTTGTATTTCTCTTGAAATTTACCATTTCCTTGTCATGCCCCATTTCCTTGCTACAGATAGTAAAAGCTATTGGTCATTACACAATAGTGACCCTGTTGCCAAAGCAACAAAATTTACAAATGGTCCATGATGTTTTTGGCAGTTTCGTAAAATCGGTTCCTAAATTAAGGAAAAGTCTTGGCATGATCCCTCTAATCAGGTATTATTTGGTTATCATGAAAACCAAATGAAAAAGGATGATTTCAAAATATTACCAATGTGATTACCATGCTTATATCAATTTTCTACATGATCGGACAATATTTCATTTTCCATCAATCATAAGCCTCTATTATGCTTACATTTTGGAAACACCTAGACTTGGTTGTTCAAAGCCTTGTTGGAATTAACCAGTGGGGAGTGAAAATATTCAAAGGTGAATTAAACAAAATTGAGAACATACTTGATCTTTTCTCAGCTATAGATATGTTGTGACAGATTGATATATTTTGAGAGCTTATTTTGCTTCTAATGTTCTTGTATTTTCAGTGGCAACAATTTTAATTTTTCACGTACCTCACTTACTTACTTTTCAGCAACCAGGGCCTGATCGGTCAAATTTTTGATAACTTACACCATTTTACCAATTTCGTTAAAATTAATCTTAGAATTGATGAGCTATGGGCCATTGCACGAAAGCCTAAACACCTATATAATGATGTTGTCACCATCACAATCAATATTACTTCTGAATAAAAAAACATTCATAAAAAATCTACACATTGTTCTTAACTTTCTTGTGTGGTTTCAATGAAATTGGTTTACAGCATCGTCAACTTTCCTATTAAGCATCACTTGACCTCCCTTTTCCACATCAACCGACCACTTATTCTACATCATTGTACCTCCCTTTTTGTACAATAACTAACCTCCCTATTCCACATCATCAAACCTCCACATTTAGCATTACCTGACCTCCCTATTCAGCATCATCTGATCTCCATATTCTGTCTCACCTGACCACATTTTTCTGTATAGACTGACCTCCTTATTCTGTCTTACCTGACCATACTATTCTGTATAGACTGACCTCCCTGTCCTGTCTCACCTGACCACACTATTCTATATAGATTGACCTCCCTGTTCTGTCTCATCTGACCACACTATTCTGTAGAGACTGACCTCCCTGTTCTATCTCACCCAATTTCTATATTCTGCATCACTTGACCTCTGTAACTGCATTACCTGATCACCCTATTCTACATCTCTTGACCTCCGTATTTGCATTACCTTACCACCCTATTCTGCATCACCTGACCTGCGTATTCTGCATCACCTGACCTCCGTATTCTGCATCACCTGACCTCCATATTCTGCATCACCTGACCTCCGTATTCAGCATCATCTGACCTCCATATTCTGCATCATCTGACCTTCCTATTTTGCATCATTTGACTTTTCTATTTTGCATTACTTGAACTTCCTATTCCGCATGTACCAACCACCCAATCACTAAGATGCTTTACAATTTAGGAATATTATGGAAGATCATGGACAATATAAAGAAACGCCATTCAGTTATGATCAGTTAAACCTATTATTACCTGTTGCATGATGTCAATCTTGGAGTTGCCCATGAAAAGGGGTTTGGAGAGGTAGAGTTCAGCCAGGATACATCCTAATGACCACATGTCAATCTCCTTACCAAATGGCATCCCAAACATCACCTGTGGCATACAGAACATTTGATATATTCTACAGCTGTGGCTTACAGAACATTTAATATCTCTGATCACATCCTAAAACGTCATCTAGGTACACAAATCATTTAATATCAGTGATCAAATTCCAAACATCCTCTGTGGTACACAAATCATTTAATATCAGTGATCATGTACTAAACATCCTCTGTAGTACACAAATCATTTAATATCAGTGATCAAATTCCAAACATCCTCTGTGGTACACAAATCATTTAATATCAGTGATCATGTACTAAACATCCTCTGTAGTACACAAAACATTTAATCAGTGATCATGTACTAAACATCCTCTGTAGTACACAAAACATTTAATATCAGTGATCAAATTCCAAACATCCTCTGTGGTACACAAATCATTTAATATCAGTGATCATGTACTAAACATCCCCTGTAGTACACAAAACATTTAATCAGTGATCATGTACTAAACATCCCCTGTAGTACACAAAACATTTAATATCAGTGATCATGTACTAAACATCCCCTGTAGTACACAAAACATTTAATCAGTGATCAAATTCCAAACATTACCTGTGTTTCATGGAACAAATCTCAAACATCACCTGTAGGGGTAACTATTGAGGCTTAAACAGATATCACAATAGTAATAAACTGTAGGGGTAATTATTGAGGCTAAAAAACACGTCACATTAGTATTATACTGTTCGGGTTACTATTGAGACTTAAAAAGATATCACAATAGTATTGTACTAATGGGGTAACTATTGAGACCTAAAAAGATATCACAATAGTATTGTGCTGTTGGGGTAACTATTGAGACTTAAAAAGATATCACAATAGTATTGTACTGTTGGGGTAACTATTGAGACTTAAAAAGATATCACAATAGTATTGTACTGTTGGGGTAACTATTGAGACTTAAAAAGATATCACAATAGTATTGTACTGTTGGGGTAACTATTGAGACTTAAAAAGATATCACAATAGTATTGTACTGTTGGGGTAACTATTGAGACTTAAAAAGATATCACAATAGTATTGTACTGTAGGGGTAACTATTGAGACTTAAAAAGATATCACAATAGTATTGTACTAATGGGGTAACTATTGAGACCTAAAAAGATATCACAATAGTATTGTACTGTAGGGGTAACTATTGAGACTTAAAAAGATATCACAATAGTATTGTACTGTTGGGGTAACTATTGAGACCTAAAAAGATATCACAATAGTATTGTACTGTTGGGGTAACTATTGAGACTTAAAAAGATATCACAATAGTATTGTACTGTAGGGGTAACTATTGAGACTTAAAAAGATATCACAATAGTATTGTACTGTTGGGGTAACTATTGAGACTTAAAAAGATATCACAATAGTATTGTACTGTTGGGGTAACTATTGAGACTTAAAAAGATATCACAATAGTATTGTACTGTTGGGGTAACTATTGAGACCTAAAAAGATATCACAATCATATTGTAATAATTTTATTATTATTTATGATTTTATTAATCAGTACTCAAGAGTATTTTTCTTACCTTTAAAATATGTTTTCCAACCCAGAAATAAAGTGAAGCCACTAACCAAATGAATATATCAGAATGCTCAATTTAGCAAATGATCAACTGAAAAGAATATTTACAATTTACATCAAATCAAGTAGGTTACATAATGATACCTCTAACACTTTTTTATATTTTCATATTATTCATTTTATACATAACATGCTATTCTGTAATATTTGTTGTGAACTCATACATAGCTTGACTCAAGACTATTATTTTCATATAAGCCTTAGTTTTACAATGTGATTAATTAATTCAACGATTATATGATTATTTGGTTCTGACAGTAAATTTTACACGCTTCATACGTCGCTGGTACAGCCATGTGGAAAATACAGTATAGGTCTAGTTAATGAAGAATATTATCTATTCAATGAAGGTGCATGTTACTTCACAAATTATAGTTCACTTGGGATTAGATTTATGACACTTTGTCATTAATTTTCACATAAAAATGCCGCTTCCTTCTGCCATGTTATTATCAAAATGGGTAATTTCAAGGATGAGTCTAAAACATAGTTTGTAGATTTAATTAAATCATACTGGAAACAATTACAATATCACCCTTATTTAAAATATAAACTTTATTGATGTAATAACTGAAATTCTGTTTCCATTAAAAGTAGGTGATTGTGTCATTTTTGTATTAAATGCTCCCCCAATCAAGGTCTACAAGACACTTACATAAATGAAGCTGGCAATTACCTAGCTTTAAAGTAACATTTTTGTTACAATCAATAGCTGAACAAACTATCATGACAGCTATCAACTTTAAAATATGCTAATGACCTATTGCTATTGAACAGAACATTCAATATCTGTGATCATGTCCCACACATCATCTGTAGTACACAGAACATTCATTATCTGTGTGATCATGTCCCACACATCATCTGTAGTACACAGAACATTCATTATCTGTGTGATCATGTCCCACACATCATCTGTAGTACACAGAACAATCAATATCTGTGTGATCACGTCCCAAACATCATCTGTAGTACACAGAACATTCATTATCTGTGTGATCACGTCCCAAACATCATCTGTAGTACACAGAACATTCATTATCTGTGTGATCACGTCCCAAACATCATCTGTAGTACACAGAACATTCATTATCTGTGTGATCATGTCCCACACATCATCTGTAGCACACAGAACATTCAATATCTGTGATCACGTCCCAAACATCATCTGTAGTACACAGAACATTCATTATCTGTGTGATCACGTCCCAAACATCATCTGTAGTACACAGAACATTCATTATCTGTGATCTTGTCCCCAACATCATCTGTAGTACACAGAACATTCATTATCTGTGTGATCATGTCCCACACATCATCTGTAGTACACAGAACATTCATTATCTGTGTGATCACATCCCACACATCATCTGTAGTACACAGAACATTCATTATCTGTGTGATCACGTCCCACACATCATTTGTAGTACACAGAACATTCATTATCTGTGTGATCATGTCCCACACATCATCTGTAGAGTACACAGAACATTCATTATCTGTGTGATCATGCCCCACACATCATCTGTAGTACACAGAACATTCATAATCTGTGTGATCATGTGCTTAACATCATCCGTCGTACACAAAACATTCAGTATCTGTGATTACATCCCAAGCATTCTCTGTTGCACACAGTTTTCAATAATTTGGTAACCTCAACCTTTTCCCACACAATACAATATAAGTGTATGACACTGACAATGTTACATTGATATCTCTGAATATATTAAGCCTAGCATTGTAACATTTGACCATAAACATTAACCTTAATGTTGGCCCAAGGAACACAAAAGTATCAGCCATTTCAAATAGTTTTATCAACTGACTCCAGTTTCTTAAAACATATATAATAAATACTTGAAAAAGGTACCATGTAGACACTGTCCACTAATAGTTCTATATATATATATACATACATGTATATACTGATTGATTGATTAATGTTTTGTTCACCTTTGTACTCAGCCTTAAGCTTTGACTTTGTATAGTATGTTTCATATTTAAACCAAGACTGAGTACAGAATCAATCTACAGCCACCCACCTCAGGCTGAGCTACAGAACGAATAAACACTATACTCATCAGAGGCTCTAGTGATATGATAAATTAAAATAAAGTAATTATAAGTAGTTTGTCTGTTACTGGGCCTTAGAATCACTTTTTTCTTTCCATATGTCTACCTATGAGCAGTACATCAAGATGTGTTAATGAAACAGGCTTACTTGGTTGCTATCTAATAAACGTAGCAGATATCTTTAAATACCCAATTTAGCTAAATCTCTTGACATTGATATTTGATTATTTACAGGACAATATCAACGCGTCTAAATTTGTGGACAGTAACACAAGACTAATGGTCCGTTAGCACATCATGTTGTAACAAATCATGTCTGTGTACAATAAACAGTGACTGCAGTCTGACACCCCGCAGCGGTTATCAACTGCTGCCATCAGGCATTGAACACAACAAGGTAGGAAGTGTTTACCTATACACCACCAAATTACATGTATAAGGTTTAGACAAAATCCCCCAAACAATGCCTTAATGATTAAGCTGTGCCGTAAAAACTAACGTGCATGCAAGCCATCATTAGAAACAGTGATAACCTTTTCGCTGGGGATGGTTGTCATGGATACCATTGATATGAATATTGTTATCAATTAAACAGATCATTACATTATGGAGTCCAGTTCATAATCTTCTCATTGCTGGTCTACTTCATAAACTTTTCTTTACATCCTATGAGTTCCAAATAAAAACATGTCCCTTCTTTATGATGTGTATCTGAGCTGTGTTGAGCATGGTCACCTTAACAGTTATCACATTGTCATCAGCATCAGAGAAAACACTTATTGTTACTATTCTCATATGGAAAGTGTTCATTATTACTTAATTTGAAGTTTAAAGCATTTTAACAAAATTGAATGTATGGTGGGTTTTTTTTTAAAAATAATTTTGAAAACTCAAGCAATAAAGCTAGCCGAAGAAAAAAAAAAGGCCAACACCAAGTGAATTTAAAACCAATTACAAGGTAATGAGGACCTGGTCCTCTACATTTATTGCTATATGATTGGGCCATGGCAACAGGTTGGGGTATCACTTACATGGATTCTGGCCCCATGTGCAGCCATGTAGAAACAGAAGAGCGTACAAATCGGCCGTAATATCAGCACTAATTGAATAATTGCATCAATGCTTTCAAGATCTAGAGAGTCATAAAATGTATTAAAGGTAGAGGGAAGTTTTTACCTGATGATCAAAAGCCTGTGTGGGTAATAAATGGCTAAAAAGTTGGTTGTGATTAATGGATATGATCAGCAACACAAAGACTGATGTATCTCATCACAAAAGGATAATGCTAATTATTTCACAATGTTTGCTTGGCAATATGTACATCAACATGAAATAATACATTATTTGCAATTAAAAAAAATGTGTTTTGATATATATTGTCATGGAAATTATCTTTCTTCCACTGTAATAGCAGTACACCTTCTGATAAATGTATTTTTTTCTCTTCTGTAGTAAACACTGATTCACTGAAATGTCCATAATACAAATGAGTTATATCGGCTGGAGATGTTTCATTATGATTGATAGGGAACAATTTTACCAGTTAATATAAAACTATACCAAACGTAGTGCCAAAGATCACTGTCCCATTAAAAGAATTATTTTTAGACAGTTTCATCATTCTATTAAATTATTCAGGCTGGTCCTCTATGATACATGTACACTATGTACACTATAGACTATAGCATAGGTTGTGGTGTTGTTCGAAATTAAATCTTATCACAGTTCAAGAGAGAGGAACGGAAAATGGAATAAAGGAGTTAAAGGATACCCCTATTAGCCTTTGACCTATTAGCCACAGGGAGACACATTCTATTACACAATGATGAAATTCTTTCCCTTACCTTTAAGCTTTTAAAAAGAGCCATGCCTAAAAACTATCACGCTGGTTTTCTTTAAATATGTATCCTTACCTCTGGGGCTCTGTACAGGGGAGTCTGGAGCTCAAAGTCATCATAGTACAGTGCAATCTCTTTATGGACATGCTGGATAGCATTTCCAAAATCAATTACTGTCACTGAGCTGAGGTCATTCCCTACAAAATAATAGTTAAGAATCATTAGTACAAGGTGAATAGTAGATACTGATTTCGTATAAGAAAATTAATTACTATAGCTGTATACCAAATCCTGCAAAGTAATATGACTACCTCTTTAATTTCTACAGCAACCAATCTTGTTGAAGTCAGATTTAGTAAGAGGTCAAAAGTACACCACAGCAATGTCAAGTGAAAAAAAGACATTATTAACCCTATGTTCATGTTGATTTACACTCAGAATTCACAGCACACTGACAATCATAAAATTACACAAATTGACCTCTAATACTTCACACCATATTGTTACTACAAGTATAAAAAATGTTACATCTTCTTTACTATATCGTGCATGGAAATGAATTCCAGAATTGGCCAATGTATTGAATGGGATTTCACTGCTTCAACCGCTTGTACCTGATCAGTAAATGACAGGCTGTGACAATCAATTATCTACTTATACTGTGATCATATGAATGTTAGATGTTTCAAATCATTTGTCTGTTACACTGTATGTTAGCAAATAGATAACCAAACGAACACGATAACCTAATCTTTTAACTCATCCCCAAACACTGCCACGGTACTGTTTTATCTGTCTTTAATGACCAATCACAAAGAAGAGAAAATCAACGTTTACAGGCAGGTGGCTGTTATACAGAGGTTCAATTTCTATGATTTGAGTTAAAGTGGGACCTGATACCATTGGCCTTTATGTACAGGTATTTAGATGAGTGGGTTTCAAGTCAGACTAAACTTCATCTAAAGCTATAATATATTCCTAAACAGAAGTACAATCACACACCTGAGAACCACAACATACTCTGTATGTACTGGTGATCTTGAAATCAACGCAAAACATCTCTGGCTCATTTAATTTCCAAGTTCAGGGAAATTAAACTAAGGAACCAGTCAAGTCAAAGAAAGCAATCACATGTTAAAAAAAAAATCAAAGATATATATTGCTTATTACATTAACATGGTATCTACATGTCCTTTCTTCTCTAATCTTGTCAAAAAAAAAGTGAAATACCCAGGCAGTTTTAACAATACACCTAGGGTATCATAACCAAGTGTTTCTTGATCAGGTTGCTTTAAGATCAAAAGAGACAGTTGTTCAAAGCCCTATGAAATAAAATATTGTTTCTTTTAACAACAATTTACCTAGATACTAGAAAATTCACTCAGCAAAGTGTCCAGCGATTCTAATAAGGACTGCCAGCATTGACATAACATGGAGCCACAGAGCGGTTATTGCAAGGTGACAACAATGATGTGGATGATCGACACATTAAATACGGTAAACTGCTCCTCCATGATCCCGATACATCTTACACTGCAATCATCAACCCAACCCCCTCCACGCACACATACGCTTCAGTGGTCAGAGGAAATGAGCTAGATCAGATTTACGTTTAATGAGATTGCGAAAAACCTCTTACTTCACAATAAATCCCGATAAAACTGGATACAAGACACAGTCAATTGTCAGGTTACAGTTATATCGTGATTATGCCCCACATGCACAACACATAATTCCTGGGCAGGCAAATAACTGTCCTCTTTATAACTTTCACCAGTACCAATTTCACAAATTGAAATAAGAAAATTAAAAACACACATTTCAAAATACTCATCAAATTATTCGGCATTAAATTTAACATAATGACAAAACACGATTAATTTGCACTGCTATAAACAAAAAGTGCTGCCATTCAGGCTGACAGACAAATGCACATGGATTTGGAACCTAAAGTTTGATGCAAGAACTGTTAGCATTTATTAATCTAATATGTATCCAATTTTTCAATTTTTTCCTGAATTTGAATTCAAAACCCAAAAGTGTGCTACACAAAACACATCAATATCACACACTAAAAATTCAAAAGGTTATACTCTATCCACTACAACAATAAACTGAAATGTTGAAAGAAATACAAATTTGATCCTAGACTGTCTGTGGTAGACCAAGCTTTAACAAACACAACTCTTTGCAATTGGGTGAGCATATATTCAATTTCTACGACTCTATCCCTGTCCATTAGAATCCAATACCCTGAAAGCCTTTTAACTTGCCACATAAAAAAAAAAGTTGATGACAAAATCCACAATGCAAGTCCCGGCTCTTTACCAGGCCTGATTAAACTTTATGGGACATGATGTCACTCCACATGGAAATCTGATCTCAACAAGCGATGGAAAGTAGGCCATGGTTATCTGCTGACTCCACTTGTAGGAAACAAATCATTGCTATGACCAGACAATGGACAGTTTGGGACTTGTGCAGGTCCATAAATTGTGTGTCTACTATTTTTGCAATTAGGCATGGGGTCAGGTTGATTGTGTAGCGACGGCACCAGGATGTCACCATTAGCATCAATCACTACCCAATCACACATCCATATCACCATGCTCATCACTAGCCACCAGTAAACAGCTGCCCGCACAGGAAGTGACACCATTCCACATCCTGTCTTGTCACCACCACTAAATATATGGGATCCATATCCTGCTTAAGGTTATGGCTCATATAAAAGTAAAATGTCAAGTGACCTTGAAATTTATTGCTACCTTGAGTAGCCAATGTTCACATTGGCCATATTCTTACCTTTTCCAAAACTTATAAAGAAACATGGACATAAAAGTTTGATCCTATAGTTGTTTTTTTGATAGTATCTAAAGAAGTTTAGCCGACATATTTCATCAGTTTCGCCATGAAAATGACCACTTCCAAATTGGTCTATATTTTGTAAAACTTCAAAGTAATTAATACTTACTATCACGAAGCAAAATATTTTCTGGTTTAAGGTCTGCATGGATTACATTCTGTTGCCAGAGAAATCCCAAGGTTGATAACAGTCGCACAGCTATTTTCCTTATGCTGTGAATTACCTGCCATAAAAAAATCACTTTGGAGTTTCATAAAATCTGCAACAATATATACAATGCATACCATATTTTATGTACAGTATATACATGTTTGTAAAAAGTTGATTTACAATGTATCACACAATAGGGGTCACAACAGCTCAGTCAGTTAGTGACAGCCTACATAACCTCAGATGTAGACCACAGGTACATGGTTTGATGCTCTCTGCCCATGAGTGTTCTTTACTGATTCTGAGAAACTGACCAGTCTATACTGTTGTGGTTGTGTCCTTCCACTTTACCTCAATTGTTCAGGATGACAGGCCTTCCATATGTTGTTCAGTGAAGTAGCAACCACAGTTTTTTTTGCACTAATTTCGGAATGTGCCCTTTTATCTCATTTTGGGGAGAAAAATTTATCAATGGGAAGGAAATTTTTAGGAGTCAACTATATTTTGGGGTTTTGGCCATATTATAAAACAAATCCAATTTGGAATGGAGCAATTATCCGGTCCAATTGAGCCCCTATATAAAACCCTGTACCAGCCACCAAAAGAAGACTCCACCTTAAAATTACCCTGGCTCTTCATAAAATTATGACAGAATGATGGAAATCAATTTATGACAAATTAATGGAATGACCACCATTGCAACTCTATATGTCTCTCCAAGTTCAGAAAGGGAGCATAAAAAAGACAGCCTGCTCAGCTGTCATCTAATTTAACTGGTCAAGTAAATAATGTTGTGTGTTCAGCCATAACACTTTTGACATTGTGACTTCTATTGCTAATGTTAGCAAGATTGTCCCTTCACAAAATAACCCTCAGTATTAAGACATGATACAGAAAATCAAAGCAGGGATACAGGATCATACTACAAATAATAGTCCACACACATATTAATCACATATTTCTCATCTCCTATGTCAGAAATTATGTGAACTTGCTTGACATCTCACACAAAATAACTAAAGAGCAGATAACTCTAGGAAGCTGCAGTGCAAACATCTAAATACTCCTTGAGCGGAAAGAACATATGAACACCTGAGTCAAGTTTCAAATACATTTTACGGAAGAATGGTAAAGAAGGAAATTAATTAGTATAAAAAAAAATTGTTTAAAGCCTAGTTTCCAATCTGGATCAATGATATAGATCTTCTTAAGCTACACATCTAATCATTTGCATTAAGTGAAATGCCTTAATACACCTTATTACAAACAATGTATTGGGGTCATCAAGTACAAAGTCATGAAAATTTCCAATCAAATAGTTACATAATATTTTTGATGATGCACCATTGTTAATGAACCTCTGGAGTTATCTAAATGTCTACTCTAATGACCTAATTTACCACAAATGATGCATAAGCTGGACAATGACAAAGTGTTGTATCGGGTCACTCGGTACAAATGCATCTCATATGATACTAGTCTGAAGTACAATAAGCTCCAATTCTGATTGAATATTCTCTGGGAATTCCATGCACTGTTTGAAGTGGGGATAACCCAATGCGTAAAATGATATTTTAGACATTCACAAACTATTATCACTTTAAAAAAATTGTGCTGCAGTCTGCAATTGTTTCCATCACCTTACAAGGCTATTATTTGTACTTGGTGACCGCAACAATCATAAGCTTCATCAGTTTTTGTCTCCAAATATCAAAACTGAATATCATCCAGGATCAATTCTACATTATCTGACTATACTGTAACAAAATCTTACAGCATTAATTAAAAAGTATAGTAAATTTTTTTTGGATATTTTGAAACAGCTGTCCATGTAAATTACTTTGGAGACATGGTCTTTCACGTTACTGCTGAATTTTATATGTTGGAAGACCATCAGAATAGATATACAAATAATCTCTTACATCAGCATACATCAAACAACTATTGCTATTAAATATCAGACAAATTGCAAATAAATTACGATAATCTTGTGAACGCAACGCATATGGTAAAAGCATACCTATCCCTGGTTAGTACACCAATTCTCTGTAATTTACAAAGTCTCTGAAATCTGTTATTAAATCAACACAAATCACACATATCAAGGTTCATAGCTCAGTAGCCTGTAAATTATGTTCGACATTGTTTATCGCAGGTAAATATAATTAATGAAAAATATATCTCTTATACGATAAGCTCTTGGTTCAACTGCGAAAAAATTCAAACCATCTGAAAAAAGTACTTACCATATACTAATTATCAGAATAAGGTTGAAAGATTTTACATCCATATCTATGGGATCCTACTAATACTCAAGGATACTCTCTCAGATATTGCAAATATCTACAATAATAACTTATAATGGACTTCAAATGTTTCAGTACATTTCCATCTTTGGCCCTTGGGGCAATCGTTGAAGACCTGCCTAAAAATTGAGAAACTCCCGGGTAGTAAACCTTTGAATCCACCAGATTTATTTATATATATAATTTTTTTTCTAATTACAAATATAATTGGGGTTAATGTCTCCTGCTGCTGACATTATAATGGACTATCATGCAGTACATATCATGCAGTACAGTAAGAGATATTTCCATTCCACAAACTGATAATGAAGAAATAATTACTGGACAACTTGGGCATCCATAAATGCTTCAGGATATATCTTGTTTCAACTATCAATTAACTATTAATATCCAAAATAAAAACAGATATAAAATAGAATTCTTTATTCCAAAAAAGAGCCACAAAAGCTATCTGATGGCAACTACTGGACCAAGGAATGGAAGCTCTGGTCAGTTGACAAGTAGCAATTAATTGCTACTGCTTATGGCCACTTCTATTAATAACATAAGTCCACCTTCACTGACCATTAAGTCCTATGGGCCTCTTTTTCAATTAAGATATAGCAATTAATTATCAGTGGTACAGCAACTGTGAAATATAGATAATAATTTTCATTGTAAACCAGGTACACAATGTTATCTCACCACAATCACAGTACAACAGAGTGCCAGTGCTGATAGTTGACAGGTGACCCCTACACTTCCCCATGCTAATATTATCTCAATACATGCCTCAAGCTGTTCATGGGACTGGTCATGTGTTTGTCATCAAACTTCAATCAGAGTCCACACCTGAGGTAGGCAATGATTGTCCCAATATGTTTTACAGTGATTGTGCTCTTTGTGACCTGAACATACATATTATCATGATGTGTTGAAATAAATATCAGCTCTCTGAACACTTCCATACAAATGGAAGTGTGATCAGTAACATGAAGTACAACTGATCTAAAATGAGTAGAAAGATACTGCATACAGGGAAACTTTCACAAGTTTAACTATGGCTTATTTATCCCAAATCAGGCAAAAATTAAAAAGGAGCTAAAACTTCAGGTTAAATCTAAAAATTGCACTGTTGTTGGTATTTAGGATGATTTTAAAAGTCTGGGTGAATGGTTTCCCTACACATAGTATATGGTTATCATATCAAAACCTGTATGTGCATATATAAGCAATTTTATTTGTTAAAATTGCATTCTGTAACTTCATAAATTTATACTGTACACGAATATCCCAAACTTCTATGTGTATGGAACATTTCTATTACAAAACACCATCAGAGCAATTTTCGATCTCAACTGTACTTGATTCATAATGAATCCTTAGACCAGTCAAATATCCTTGCTTCATGCATGAAAGGTTTAATTTAGGGACATTCAATTGTACTCAGAAATGAAAAGTTATTGACCATGAAACACATTATTTTGACAATGACCTCACCTAAAATGTCTTCCAAAAATACTAAGAGCCCCACAGGACAGAACACTATAAGTCTGTTCCATGTTAAAGTGAAATTTATCATATTAAAATGCATAAAATTGAAAATGTAAAATTTAAAGCCTACTGAGTTAAATCAAGTTGAAAACTGTGAGTGTGAGAGAGCATCTCCAGCCATCATTAACACTCTGAAAATGTCAATAACTCTTAAAATGATTGTCAAATTAAAATTCTGGAAGACAAAAAAAGCAACAATTCTGCTGTGATTAGAGATGATGAGCTCAGGCCATGCTATTGTTGCATAAACAGTCAGTCTTGTTTATGTAGCTGTGTTTTGAGAACATTCTTGTGTTGTTTCTCATTGTTTTTTTTTAAATCATGATTGTATGATTTCACAATTGTGGTAATGCAAAACACACTAAAATCTTATTATGCACATCATGCATACATACATGGTTCACACATACACACAATATATTACATGAATCTAGTGCACAATTGAGAAATCCCAAAGAATCACTTTTGGTAAGGAAGCACTATATGAAGTTTCAGATTGATCAGCCAAATGGGAATGAAGTTATCATGAAAAAAATCTTTGTGTGGACACCAGCGCCGACGCTGACAACAAGACATAGTAATACTAATATGTCACCTGAGGCAGGCAGGGAATACAAAACAAATTTAATTACAAGTGTATTGAACTATTCAGTCTGTATCTGAGAGATCTAAATGTGTCTGACCTATAAATATATGGCTTAATTAGGAATTAGACTTAGCTGTACACTCCATTTTATTCAAAATATAAATAAACCCTATCCAACACCTTTCTATAAATAAGTAATTTCTAAATTTCTATGAACCAAAATTGATCCACACATTGTACACATAGACATGTGATAAGAAAATTTGTCCAGATGGAATAAGTTCATCAGAGTTAAATTTGCATTCAGCAATTCCAAATATCATAACTGCCTGCATAAGGCATCAATTCAATTCCTGGGTTCTTACACCAAATCTCTGGTTCCTTTCCACCTTCACATGTGGTCAAACCTCAACTAAAACAAGACACCTGTGATTCAGGTGAAGGATTAGGGAATGACAAGACCAGCTGTGGACATAACTTGCCTTGAAGAACACCCTCTTTGTAAGGAGATTCTCTGGGTTTTTAGAGAAGTTTGATTGCATGACCCTGGAATCATGACTGGGTTATTACGAGCACTGTGGAGCTAAAAATGGGACAGTTTGTATACTAAGCCCTCCTGCTGGAGGCACCAACATTTCTGAAGTCTGAAATGAGGGCAGTACTGATGCAAACACAAACCAATAGCCTTATAATCTCCTATATATGCAGGATCATATTTGGAACTCTTCCCTAGGGTTCAGAGTTAGGGTTCAAGGGTGTTTGCAGCCAAGAAAATGGTTGTAAAGGCTGGTATAGCCATTGGTGTTAGTGTGGACATGTAGATAATCATTGGTGATCATTTAGAGAGGGAATAGGTCTATGTGATGCTGCATGAAATATAAAGTATTTGCTAGTGTAGCAATTTTTGAACTCTTGTCACCAGTATCGATATTATAATTCAACTTGACCCAATTGTGTGTAAGCCTGGCTTTATGGAAATAAAGAGGCAGTGTTTTCATTGGTTTTATATCTTTGTTCATAGTTGGCGTGGTAGCTCCTCTGTCACAAGAGCTATGTAGCGCAGAACTGGCGAAATCTTTAATATGAAAATGTTTGTAGCAGTACTCAATATCCAACGCTGGTTTGTACAAAGATCTGCTATTGCAAGGACAACCAATTGAACAGAATGATGATAGGAAAGGAGACAGTGGCCAACAGAGGTAAGTGTTTGTGATAGGGAGTCTGTGTCTGATTTATCAGAGTGCGTGTATTTACATTACAGCAGCTCTGATGTGAAATCAGAATGGTTTATCCTCTTTGGAAGTAGGTCAATCTTCAACCTCATAGTTTTCTCTATGACATCTTGATTTATTTTAACAGAAATTCTTTCCTTATATTAGTAATAGGCTGTTTAGATATCTTGACCTTTGACTCCCAATCATGACTTTGAAAATTGAAAAAGTTAACTTGCATCTTCTTAGAAAGGACCTTATAAAAATGTAAAGTTCCATAATCCTCCCTCCATGGCCAAGCTTTATCTGGATCTAGTTGAGACTTTCTACACATTAAGAAAATGAAAGACAGATGGCATCAGAGTTACTGTATAACAAATTTTTTTTGCTTTGTTTGGCTATCAGGATATTCACAAAAATTAATAGTTATGAACATAACTTCACAACACTGTCATTTCAAGGCATAGACACAGGTTAATTACATAAACAAACATGCTTACATTTCATTCAAGACTGCCATATGATAGATATTCTGAGAGTATGCACATTGGTTTGGTCGTTCAGTAGAAGAGTCAAGTTTGATATCTCTGCCACAACAATTAAAATATCACCTTTTTTTATTGAGTGAATCCAAATAATATTTTGACAAGGAATTACAACCTTTAGGCATGTATACTTCAGGCATGCATACTTTATAAACAATGAATTGATCATTATATAATATCATTTAATAACACTTAAAGCAATATATGTCACTTCACTCAAAAATTGAAGAGAAAAAAATCTATCTTTTTATATAGATGGTAGTAAAAATTAACATATCAGGGAAATATTCCAGAGGATATTGTGTATATTGGTGATAACAAAACTACACTGGCAAAAATAATGGTAATGACAAGTCAAAATGTCACAAGGGAAAAAAGTGCTATATATTCTAATGATAAATTAAAGCATGCAAAGGTTGAAAGAGTGGGTGGAAAACTGGAAGAAATCTTTAAAAAAGATTAAAATGCTGAAAAGAACAAAGGGAAATAACTTCTTGAAATACTGTTGAATCAAAATTTATTCCTATCTCATGTTGTGGTTCTCAAGCCTATCGAACTCCAAAGAATTTGGTTGATGAAAAAGAGAGGTATTAACTCAAAAATTGTAAAATCACAATGCCAATTAAGATAACATCACTTCATATAATGGTTATAAAACCATCCAAGTTTCAAATACATAACAGAAAAATTAAGGAAGGACATCTCTATATAAAATTAAAATGCTTCAAAAAACTATTGAATCGAACTGCTGAGAAAGGGAACACTACTTCATGTTAGCATAAAAGAAACAAGTTGAAAACAGAGATAGAAGATCTATGGACTAATAAGCATCATAAAAACAACAAAGGGCATTAATTCTTCCAAATACAGTTGAATTAAACCTCCATTCAGAAAAACACAACTTCAAATTAAACCTACCAAGTTTGAAAAAATTGGTTGAAAATTGAGAGACATGAATTCCAGAATTGTTATCATGAAAACAGCAAAGGGCAATGACTCTTCCAAATACTATTAAACCAAATTGCTGTTCAGAAAAATACAACTTCATGTCATGGTGATTAAGCCTACCAAGTTATAAAGAAACTGATTGACAACTGAAAGATTGAGATCTCGGAACAAGATAAACATTATGAAAACAACAAATGGAAGTTACTCTTCCAAATACAGTCAAATCAAACTGGCACTCACGAAAACAAAACGTCATGTCATATTAATGAAAGCTACCATGTTAGAAAAAGATTGACTGAAAACTGGGAGGAGATCTCCGCACAAATGAGTTTATGACAGACAGATGAATGAGTACATGCAGGGAACCTAATTTAATATTATTTGCAATCCTGTTTCCATGGGAATAATAAGATATATAGTGAAGTTCAGTGGATCTTGTAAAAACACTTTGTTGTTGCTAAAGTTTCATTATTAACAAAGGTACACCAATTACACACAGCATTCTGTTACCTCTTCTGGTTTTTTTAAATAACGTAAGAATTGATAGAAAGTTTTTTCTCTGAAAAAGAGGAGAAAATGCAATAACCAAACTAACATCACACCATCAAATTCTTAAATATATTAATGGACTCGATTTAGATAACTTCATCGAAATGTCAACAAACATCACATTTAAAATACCTGGGGGCAACACCTTAAAGGGTTTTTGTATGATGGAATGAGAGAAGAGAAGAATTCTGTTCCATGAACAAGAGAATATTCTTCTGTTTTATTTTCAAATTTCAATGAAAAAGACTGGGTGGGATTGAAAACTGGGATAAACAAGTGGGTCACTTAAAGATACATAGTGCTGATTTTTTTTGCAGGGCAAGGATTGGCTGATATTATTTGATACAATTTAAGGTTACATAAATTTTGTTAATTATTGTGCTCCAAAGGGGTTTCAATCTATGATTGGTGACCAATTTTCCTACAAAAGAAATCTAATGATTCTTGTCTTCAAAAAATGTATACTTTTTGTCATTTTTCAATATCAGTGACAAAATTTGCACTAGTTTAAAAGAAACTCAAAGTCTGGGTTTTTCCTTGGTAGGTTAATAGTATCTTGTGCATATGTACATAAGTTTCCAGTTGATGATGTCTGAATGAAAAATTCCCTGTTGAAAAGTTATGGTGAATCTTCGGTAGTAGAGCAAATGCTGTGTACTATTAAGTGGCAGATGGATAGGTCCTATGCTTCTCGCCTTGATACCTGAAGGTATGCAGGGAATTGATGAATTAGGTAAGCTAAAACCAGGAGAATCAATCACAAGTTTAGAAGTGGGCTCTTTGTTATTTACTACATAGTTTGTCTACTGGTTTTGCCAAAAGTATTGGGTTCTTCACGGCAACCTATCAGTTAAAATCTTCCCCAAAAGTACAAAAAATGTGAGTAGATCTAATTTGCTCATTATGATGCCTACACTGGATAAACTATTGAGCAGTTATTAAACAAATTGTCAATTATTCTGTTATATGTTACTATATATATATACATTCCTTCATGGTTAATATCTCTACTAACAAAATAACAATAGTGTTCATTTGAACAGACTGTCCTTGACGAATGATTTTTTGTTAAATCTCCTGTAATCTACATATAGTCCAGCTTCTGCCTCAGATGTAGTTGGTGTGAATGCCATACTACTAGAATCATCACTTAGTTCTAAATCTTTCTTGAGCAAGCCCATGGCCTCCACTTGGTTGGAGGTCCATCGGCAATGATGCCCTGAGCTGGTATGGTCCTATACTTTGAGCTATCCAGCTGGTTTTTGCTGAGAGATTTACATGGTTTTTTGTTGTCTGATTTTAACTATAGCTATATATAAAAGTAACTTACAGGATACACCTTAAAGGATTAGAGTTTTTTTTATTTAGAAGCTCCTTCAAAACAACATGATAATGTTCTTATTTTTCTCTCCAATTTGAAAGTCCTCACAATAATGTCAACTTCTTTGCAACCACATGTACAGTAAAATCCACTAAGATAAACTCATGTCAATAGTTCAAGGAATATGAGGAATTAGAGTAGTCAGAGGTTGATCAGGTACCGTTCACCTGTATCTGCCCAGTGTCTGTGAATGACATGCAATACTGTATTCTTTGATCGTTTGGACTAAATCGTAATTTCAATGTCTTGTATCTTACTGAAGAGAAATGTGTCACTTTTATCTAAGTTAAGTTAAGTTGATCAATATATATAATGTTAGTGCTGTGTCATTGCCTAAAATTCTTGTGCAACAAAATGTGTTGAAGATATTCCACATTTTCATTTTGTTGTACATATACACTAGACATCTGTCAAGCAAAATGTCCCATGTCTGGTATAGCAGCCAGACGAAAGCTGACTTTGGGCCTTCCGGTTATTGAACATAAGTTCAGTTGTGAAGATTATCACCCATACAATTCACACCTGATACTCTGAATGTGGATCAAGATCCTTGCTTAAACAAATTTGTTAGCCCTTCATCCCAGCATCATACAAACTCAAAAGCTTCACCCTGTACCTTTTTGTTATTGAGAAGAACTTGCATAAAATGCATGTTGACATTGGATGAACAACAAACTAATATTGAATACCATGGCTTAAGTTTACATTCATATTTAAGGCAGGTGATCCAAATATGAGGCTTCACTGATACAACACAATATAAATACCTTTAGAGATGGTATATCTTGACAAATTTCTGTTAGAGAAAGAGGCACCAATGGTTTGAAGACGATGCAGTAGTGGTCATCAAATGTAAAGGTATTCTGGAATCACAAATCAAATAGGAACAATTATAAAAATCTTATACCTGTTAATAAAGTCAGCATAAACAGATGAAAAAATGTATTAATAAAAAGATTATGCAAAGATGAAATTCATTTTTTTGCTAATGGTGACCTTGTCTTATCAGTAGTGATCACATTGATATCATAACTTGTCAAATTCTTGTCAAAAGCAAACAAATAAATTTCTCCTAACTGCAGAGTAATATAACTGCCTGAGTTTTGACAAAGAATGGGAGAAAAATTAACACTGTTTTCCTGCTCCAAACTTGTGCAAAAGCATAAAGCAGTTTTTACATCATTCACACTTTTCTCTGGGACCATCAAAATTTATAAATGTACAAGTCCAGGCCTCAACTTACACATGATACAGAGAAAAACTATCAATTTTGAGGGTCCTTTGTCAATTTAATGAATCAAAATTCAGGTTTTTCAGATTCAAGGAAAGCCTCGATCATCTAGTCAGTATTAACTGTGATGTTTCCAACATTCTATACGTTAACAATACCTACCAAGTAGTGGACTGTGTTAGAGTTTCCCCAGGGATCTGCCAAGGCGAGCCTCCACAAACAGTGAGTCTCCTGAGCACCAAGTTGATAACGACTAGCGTGAAGCACCTTTATCACCACATGTTTCTTATGGCAGAACAAATCCTGAAACAGTTAATGGATACAATTAAACTTTCAATATCAAGCAACTTTGCTTCATACACCCTTCCCTGCAAAATAAATTCAACATGTGCAGTTCTGTTACTCAAAACTTGAATAATATGCATGTATATAAATTGTACAAATATTTACTAATATTTTCCATTAAATGTAAAGAAGAAGCTGATTTTCAGCTTAAATAATGTTCAGGTGAACATCCAATCATTGAGGAGTCTAAAATTCTGATGAATATGCACAAGGATGTTGGATAGTGATAATAATTATGAAGAAACTTTTATTTCATTGGAAGAAAAATATCATAGAATTTTCCAGCATAAACCAACAGAATTATTCAGAAAATGTAAGATACATGTACTAAATACCATTCTAAACCATTTTGGAACTTGCTAGATTATATGTTGAATATGTTATCTTTTTCAACATAAACATTTGATTTAAATTAGTCAATACTGTGATTCATGATTACTAAGTCTTATCATGATGTACAACTGAATAGGGATACAAAGCATTAAAAAAATTAAAAAGATTAAACAACTAGATCTCTCTACTTCACTGGTAGAATCATTTGATTAAAGATCACCTTTTCTGACTTCTGGTTTTTACTGGCAATCCTATTTGTATTATCCACATATCAAGTTAGTAAGGGTTTTTTAGAGCATAAGGCTCCTACTTCAAACGAAATCAATTCATTCTTAACTTATTTCCGAAAATATCCAATTCACTCAAAACATTTCCTTCCCAATACACCAATTTTCTTCCAAAATGTGTAGTGCATAATGTGTACTATATGAGAAATCTGATGATACTCAAAATAAAGTGATATTACCTCTGTTGATTGATATACTGGTTTCTATAAGGAATAATCTTTGATATTATAGAATGCTTTTTAACTTTAAATCAATTCAGAAAATGCATACATGACATTGGAGCTTATAACTCTTAATTTTTTAAGTAATTATATCCACCTGCTGAATGATGGACAGATTTTTACCTCAGCTAGCAAAAGGATGGCTGACTGACCCTGTCGGCTGATCACCTGCCTCACCCTGTAACGCGAAGCCATCACAACACCCAGTACAGGACAAAAATGACCAGTTTCATTGGTGAACTGACCATATTCTGAAACAATAAAATGTTAGCCCTGTCTATTGCTTGTGTTTCAACCAAATTGAAAGTTTGTCTGCATTTGTATTGTTTTAACTCATGGACATTTAAGCATTTTAATAGCATTATCAAGTACAAATAATGTATTCACCAGCAACAAATCATGTTTTTTCATTTCAAATTGATATTTACGCTAAAGACAGCCAAGCTTTGTCTTAATGAATAATTATCATTAGCTACATTTTCAAAATGCTGTTTTTCTTTTTCTTTTCCTTTCACCCTATTTCCATTTCAAGTTTATTAAGTCATTAAAATGGGGAATTTCTTCACGCCCTTACATAGAATTTCTCTGTTCCCTATATACCAACGTTATTATGGACTATTTTACTCTAACTTCCTGTTGAATTTTGTAAAATATTGAAAGTTACCATGTAAACACAACAATATATAGAAACAATTTGAGATGTAACACAATATTTCATTAGTCAATAAAAACAATTTACAACAGTATAGCCACAACATTCTGTTTGCAAATTTCTCATATGTCTATATGTCATTAGAATGATTGATATACGACACCATAAGTGTGATCATGAAAGTTCCATGATATTTTGTTAGATTTTGAAAGCTACTTGCATCATGAATTCTGAGCAAAGTAACTTGGATTTCTCAACTTGTGCAAAAAAAGGCATTACAATGTTGTGGTTTTGTTAATTCAAATCTACATGAATTAGAAAAGAAGTAATTCTACTGTATTTTCAAATGGTACATTATGATTACACTGTCTCTGCTATGCGTTACCAGTAAAATTCGTTTGTGCAAGTATCAATAACGAATTCTGGACGACACATGAATTTAATGAGAATACTACGGGGTCACAAGAATATACACCTGTCCAATGCCAAACAAATATCCAGGATTTAATGTATCTAAAAGAATATCAATAGAGAAATGGTAATATTAAGTCAAAGAGTCAAGAGGGAAAACAGCGCTAATGATAAATTAAAGCATACCAAGTTTTAAAGAGATGGGTGGAAAGCTAAAGGAAATCTAGGTGATGCTGAATGCTGAATAGAACAATTGGCAATAGTTTTTTTTTTAATATTAATGCATCTTCATGAGAACATAATGTAATGTTGTGGTTTTCAAGACTTTCAAACTGCTATTTAGAAAAACACACCTTCATGTTTTATTTATGATGATTAAGCCTATGAAGGTTGAGATCAATTGGTTGAAAACTGAGAGGAGATCTCTGGACAAGGTTAACATTATGAAAACTGCAAGGGGCTGGAATTCTACAAATACAGTCGAATCAATCTGCTATTCAGGAAAATAAAACTTCCTATCAATATGATTTAGCCTACCAAGTTTGAAAGAAATTGGGTGAGAAATGTTGAGTACATCTTCGGCCAAGATTAACAATATGAAAACAACAAGGGGCAGTAACTCTTCCAAATACAGTCATTGCTGATAGAAATGACATCATATCCGTGGTCAGCTGATATCCAAGTTGGTATTTCAACATTTTTGAGATTTACATTTGTGTGATAATTGTCTGACTTAATGATCATAGAAAGCTGTTGTTTCCAAATTGCAGGCCAGCAGGTTTTCTATTTTGGATGAGGTTATCCTATGTCACTCTATCCAACCAGGCATGGAGATTCAGAATCAGATTTACACTAAAACTTGTATCTTGCAATGGTGAAGTCTGGAGAGAAATCAGTAAGTGTCCTCATCATTCAGAATAGCAAATGGTGTTATTGTAGTACACTCAAAATATTCAACATACCATATATTGGAAAGCTGACTTTTTCTGGGTGAGCTATCTGTTGAAACAATCTGTGAAGGCCTCCTTTGGTATATGCAGACATATGTACTATAGGTGGATCTATAGGAATATGCTGTCCTTTGTGACTGTAAATAAAAGATAAAGATGCAGTATTAACAGATGTCAAGGCAAGTAAATACACAATTCTCAACTGAAGATATGAAACAACAGAATTGGTTAAGAAGGTTAAAACAAGTTTTGTTTTGTTACTTAAATATGTATATCATATTTTCCCTTAATTTCAAACAGTTAAATACAGAGGATTACAACAGGTATTAAAAATCAACTAGAATTTTTTTATGTCAGATTATTTGTCACAAAGAAACAACATCAAAAAATAAAAACAATGACAATATGCCTGTGAACTTTGCCCCTGAAGTTACAGATAATAACATGATGTTATAAAATGAAATTAATAAAAATGTAGAAGGCTGTGTGAACAATTTTGTCTCATGTTGATGGCTGAAAATAGCCATGCCTCACCATCTGCACCAAGCAAAATGGTTCGGTTAAAGTAATTAACAAGTGGACTGGTTCAAAATAGGTATGATTTAGCCTCAATTACATAAGATATAGGATTTGGAGGTTGCTGATCTGAAATAAGCTTAGCTGTAACATTAAGTTCCCCTATCGCCAACCCTGCCAAATTAAATAGTAAACATATCAGAAAGTATAGAGTCTCGTACTTGAAAGAAGAATGAAGCCACACTGGCCTCTTACTAGTGACCATGCCATTTTGTTTCAGTTTTCATCTAAAGTTTGAATACAGGCTGTTATAACAATTTGAATAACTTAATTTCCTTTCTTCCATCACCTTTACTTAAATAATGCCAACAAGATCCTGATGTTTCTTGTTTATATAAAATATCCATTCCTTTGGCTACATCAGTCTTGGATGAAAATGTGCCAAAAAAAAAACACACACAATCAAACCATGATCTTAAGCAGGAAAATAACTTGAAAGACTTGTGGTACATCTTAAAATAGATGCAGCTGACTTAGGCCCATAATTTTGCCACTACAGTTATCTGTCTAATAGATGGGAGCCTTTCTTTATATTTCTTATCTCTTATATCATTATGAATATGGAAAATAGGTATGTGGCATGCATGGAGCACTGGTATTTACTGTGGTGGTGTTTTTCAATTGCTATTCTATGAGATAAAATAGGCAAAAAACAAGGTAAATAAATTATGTAGTTTGTAAATGCCTGACAGTTTTTGTGTTATTTTCCTTGACAACGTTACTTTCCAGAATATTTACAATTTTCACCACTAGGCAGAATATCTTTAGACTCATTATTGTAAATCTACTATTCCCACCAATCTTGCAATAGTTACTTTTTGGTAAGACTACAACCACCAGTCCACAGATTCTGCAGAGTAGACACCATTGTTCATAGAAAAAGCAGTTCATCTTTACATCAATGTTTGATTTATAATTATCCTGTTGTTCTGAACTATATAAAACATTGTCTGAATGCTGACCCTTGCTGGGGTCTCTAGTATTTGTTTTTATGTAGTAAGGAATTCTATCAGTCCCTGACCAAGACAAAATAAAATTGTGGATAGATAGTCAGAACCCTTTGGACTATGTTGTGCTTGTGTGTCACTTTGGTTTGAAATTCTATGTTATGCTTGTGCTGATTATGTTGGGGAATCGAGTAGGTTTAGGTTCCAATGTTATGATAACGGTAAATGGAAAGAATTTGCTCAATGTATTAACTATTTCATACGTATTTGCATGACTGAATGTGTCTGTAGTTCCTTTCATGTCTATGTGATATATGGTTCACAATATCCGTCTGAGTGGCTACATGCTAGTGAACGATTTTGTTATAGTAACGTGACCATGTTCTACATGTGACTGAAGGGTTAGCCATTGCCTTAATCGCAGCACAGTCTCAGAGACATATATAGTCTTATAGGGGTGGGGCACTTCTTGAAGATATATCGGACAATGGAGTTTTTGCACTGATATCTAAATCAGTAAATGAAACAAGTGGCATGTCTGTAGGTGTAGGGTTAATGCACACTACTCTACAAATAACATACTAGATCAATCGAAGCGTAATGTAAACAGCTAACCATTATAACTGTGAAAATGAGGAAAGTTGTCGTGATTAAATGACTATTGTTGAATGCGATATTATGAATGCGCACCATATCTCCTTTCTAAATGCCGAGCTCCTGTCCATGATTTCTGTCAATTTATATACGACTTCACAGGCATCACATGTCTAATTTATAACTCGTCCTTTTCATTGAGAAGCGACAGACAAATAGCCCGCCATTGTCGTTGTTGTCACAATCTCGCGATGTACCGTTACAGTCGAGATTAAACCGGAAAATATATCGGCTAGTTCCGACAATTTTCGTTGAGATTTCTGATTGGAACACAGGACTACAACTTTGACTCCGCCCTAATGTCATTCAAGATGACAAGCGCACGAGACAGGAGCCAATAGAAGACGAGCAAGCAGGATCAATCCAAGGCATGTCTGAACTTGTTATCATCTTCCCGAAGAAAATGATTGGCTGTGACCATATATGGAAAAATGACGCAACGATGTAAACAAACAGGCATGCGTATGCCATGCTCCTAGCGTAAGATATAGTAAAAATTTTGCGGGAGTTTCCATACTGACAGAACTTTTGACAGGTAAGGAAGGATAATTTTCTCGTTATCACTAATATTGTACAAATTACGTTATAAGACATCTCGAGTTACTATTCTGATAAAAGACTGTAAAACAAACTTTATTTATTTAGTGAAACGTGAACTTTGAGTTAATTTTCCGTTGTATCGTTATGTAGGACGTACTTGATAAAACATCACTATCATACAGTCTTCTCGCATTTCTTAGCTTTTGGCGATTGTGCCAGTTTAATCTATCCTATGATGTTGATTTTGGATCTCAGAGATATTTTTTGTCTTGGATATTAACCTCCGAACTCATTTTTTCTTTCGATAAATTTCTGACTCTAAATACTACAAAAAATAGTTGGCAGTCTTCCAGCCATGTCAAATTTACATTTAGAATGTCAGTTTAAATCTAGCAGGTACACAAATGTCAATTACATGAACAGGTTGTGGTTTGTGTTGGGACAGTGACCTAAGGTTTTTATTTAGACTCAAGATTACGATAATACACCCGATAAAAGCACGTGGTTATACAGTGTATGATATATTCACCGTTTTGTTTGTACCAACAGGAGTTATTACACGGAAGCAAACCTAAGTAATGGTTTAAACCCATTGGAGAGGATGCAAGAGTATTCCAAAGGTAACACGCTAGATATAGATAAGGATAAGGAGAAATCTTTATCAGCATTTAAAACTGTGTCCAGAGGATTGAACCAATCTACGTCGTCAAGGTCGGAAAAGCGTGATAGTGGATATGTGACTGACAATTCACCAGCTATTTTTGGAAGTAATTCTACCTTTTTTACGTTTGATACTGATGCTGGTGTGGGGTCAAGAGTGGGACACGCCCTACACCCGTCTGTTGATGAAGATGAGGAAGTGGAGATGGTGTTGAATAGCCCCTCTGCAATGGGAAAGGCGTCGAAGCCTATTCCCATCAAGCGTCCTCGGGCGCCCCTCCCCCGGGATATGTTGGACTCGGGTCCAACTCAGGAACAGGATGATGATGATGTTTTTGAGAATGTTTCTAGCGTTTGTGATGTGTTCAATAGGAGGAGGTTTAGGAACCACGCCCATCATTTTAGACCCATACACGGGCGGACGGTGGGGACTCAAACACCTAGCCTGCACGGCCAGGCCATTGCGGAAACTATAAACTTTATGTCGGACAGATTCCATCCCTATCAACAACCGCCCATTGCCAGAGGTAAGTTCCTAATCATATCTTACACTTAAATCTACAACAATGTGGGTCGGTTGGCTGTATATTGTATCGTTATGTACGAAATATCATACACATATGTATACATATCAGGGTGTTGTGATGTCTTGAAATACAGACACATTTTTCATCGCGGCAGCTAACAGCCACGGCAAGTATTTGAAACAATCATGTTTTGGGATTTTCCCCAGTGAAAATAAACAGTGTGATTATTTACTAGTGGCAGTAGTACAACACACAGGAATGTGGAAGATGACTAATTGCACAATGGGAGGTAACTCCAATTTGAAGTCTCTGCGGTTGTCCACCTTACACTGAACTGTTCAGCAGATTTTAATTTAATGGGTTTTTTTTTTTTTTAAAGGACTTCCAATGTTGTCGACACGTCCTTACTCTGCACACATTCTGTTTCTTCGTAACAGTAAATGAACATTACATCATTGTTAGTCTCTGAAGCAAAGGATTGCTTTGGCTTAAGCAGTTGGTTAAGTAAGAAGTCGCGAAGGAAAACAATAACACGTAAACACTTGGGGCACTTGACTTCTCGCCCCCCTCGTCACGTAGCGACATCGCGGGTAATATGTATTAGCATTAAGTGATGGGATTAGGATTAGAAAGTCAGGCCAGCTAACGGATCAGCCAAAGTACTAGACCGTACTACTCGGGTCAGTGCCTCTATGGAAATTACAAAATGGATGAGTCAATCAGTCTGAAAAAAAATCTGCGGTTTTTCGGTCCACTGGAACTCCGTCATTGGTTTTAGTCACAGTTCTCTCAGATACTTACCTTTAATCTCGAAAACCAAACACCGAAATTTTGAAAAATAAATACCAGTACAACAACACACATAGAAATTTATCATACAGATTGTAATATATAATAATATATCATACATATTGTAATATATAATAATTTTTTTCATACAGATTGTAATATATGATTATTTATCATACTGATTGTAATCTATAATAATTTATTATACATATTGTAATGTCTAATTATTTATCATACAGATTGTAATATATGATAACTCCGTTTGTTTTATCTTCTGTATTAGTTAATAACTACTAATTTGGGCAAGACAAATCTTGTGGTCTGTTAAGTAGCGGATAAGGAAACAGGCTTAATTCTGAGTCATAATAAACGATTTGCAAGATACTGGATCGAACATATATAAGTGCCACAGTATATTTTACAATTTACGTTTTTTTTTTATTTATTTGTCCCATGCTTTCTTACCTTAACGCAAAACAACGAGGTCGAGTTCTTATTTAATTACTATAAGTCATAGGGTATATGTTCGTTTATGCGTAAATTTCATATAATTGTAGGTATAAAAATCTACAATGTCACCCCTACCGTATGTGTGTGAGGCCTAACACAAAAAACCATGTAAGTCCAACGTATTAAAGAAATCCGTAAACCTACTTGTACAATGTTTAACGCACGTGATAATGTCAGTACTACAGGTTGAAAAAGACGTAATTTCGCTCGTGTAAACGCCTGTAATTTCATATCATGTGAATGTTAGTCGTAATTTTCACGCATATGACATGTATAAACAAAAACTAACACTGATAAATGTCCACAATCCATACATGTAAACAGTTGGTCCACTAATGTGTGTGGTTCCGCGGGAATGTGTGATATTGCTATTTTCACGACTAATTTTAATTAGTAATTCCCGTCTGTTATATTAATTTTGTTGACCTGAACAACAATACGTATTAAGGCCAATACCACTTATCCACCTGATTTTGTGTAGGGTTACTTGGGTCTACTATTGGATTACACTAGTATAGATATATTCAAGGATTTCGGAAGACATATTTAAGTTACAGTTCTTTTATGAAAAGAACAAATTCTGGAAGTCGGAATATAAAATTACCACGTAATAAATAAATGAAATGAAATAAACTTTTGCGAACACAGGTTGATGATATATATGTAATCTTCTCATTTCATTAATTTAAAAATTATTTTCTCTTGTTGAAATTTTTCAGACGAAAAAAAACTTTTTTCTAAAGAAAATTAATTGGTTTGATAAATATTTTAAAGGAATATTCCTATCTTGGTTTGATGGAGGGCATAGCATCATACGTGTATTTATTTTATCGAGATCGTTATGATTTTCTCTTGCTTGTGTTTCTCTACTTCATAGGTCTGTATATAACCGCTCATTAAGCGATAACCGATGCTTATTCTTGGCTCACAAATTGTTTCTTTCCTTAAAATTTGGATTAAAAAATTAACAACATACAATTGTAATTTTGTGAGCCAATTAGTCTCAATTATTCGAAAATGTACAGTAGGAGTAAGAGATGTATTTCATTTGCGTCATCACTAATAAATGTTACACTTTGTTAAGTGACCAATAGCCGGATATTGATAACATTTAATTATTATTTAATCACTGCACTATCTCTCTCTCTCATTGTGCTTGTGAAAGATAATACCTATCTTATTATAATACAATTACTGTAAACCACAAAATCGTGTTTAATATTTTATTATGATTCGTTGCCGCTTTTTTCAAGTTTTTTCGTTATACATATATGTATATATTCAACAACTGGAGCATTTTATTGACGCCCTAACTATAAGTGATTGAAATTTAAGATTAACTATATTATATCAGTATTTCACACTGAAAACTTATATGTCTCTGGTCAGAGAGCACAGCTCTTTTTGATAAGATATTATAAGTCTCACTCTAACCAGAGACGTATATATCACATATATGTCTAAGCTATAACTAATTCTAAAATGACTACTATTAATAATGACTTAAGACACAGGTTGAGATATTTAATTTCTAGCATGTCAGTTGATTCTGTGTAAATTTTGTACCTGGAATCTACGATCGTTTACTTTTAACAATTATCATTAAGGTTTCCAAATACCCTAAAAATCTCCTAAAACAAATTTCCAACTACAAAATGATTATAGTTCAAAACCATGATGTATAACATACGCCCCAGTTCAAAGGTACGAGAAAAAGCGCGTGATAATATTCAGTTCAACACTTGTATATATAAATTATTATTATATCATCACTTCCTCCGTGGAAATTAATTTACGACCCGGGTACCGTATTCCGGGCCAGTAGTTACAGAGCACCGTTAACGTCCTAGCTGTCAATATGTCAACTGTCGGATCAGGTGTCAGGATGATTTCGGTGAGCACGCGACAGTGATCGATGGCTCAACACCTTTGATCATCATCCACCTGTGTAACGAAGATACTAGAACTAAAACCCCTTAGGAGATCTGGCTCTCCAGCACGTGTATTGTAATGAAAAAGGTGAAAAAACACGTGCTTTTTCTTTACAAATAGAAGGTTTTTTTTCCAGTACGATGACATCATGCCCTATTTAATACAAATGAACAAATGAATTGTGCGCGATCAGGTTTTCTCCAGTAAGTAGAGAGGAAAATAGGTGTTACTAAAGTTTTTCACCGATGTCATAATCTTACCATTATATAGAAATAACGTAGCGCCTTTAGTGGAAAACCACTACCGCGCAGCACCACTACAACAATCTTATTATAAAAATCTTTTTGGTTCATTCATCAATGATTTTGAAATAACAATTTACAGTTTTTACCAGTAAACTCAACCATGATCACCTGTCACATGTTAGGAATAAATACAGGTCATTAGATCACGCGACCGTCCTAGGTAAAGACATGTGATCTACCATCATTTTTAGTCCAGTGGCCATAAATCGGTCGATACTACACAATTAGTTGCTAATACATGTTCACTCGAATTAACACTATTTAAAGTATGCCAGTTCCAAGTCTGAAGTAAAGACAATTTCCGGTCTTTTCAGAAAAAAAACTAATTTAAGTACAGTCGTAATTGTTTATATGTTGTGATCAAGATAATTCAGATTTATGTATACACACATTGATAGGTAGATAATATAGGGCAGATAATGACATTGAAAAGCGATGAAATGTGGGCCGTTTACACTGATAAACATTGTACTATATATAGCGCGGATCGTGGCGTATTGTAACAATGAAGCGTTGCATCAGCGCTGAAAATACTTTTACGTAACGCGCGTACAGCTGTTTTGTGTATTGCCTTGTGTAAACCTGCATGTTGATTTCACGTCACATTTATTGTACCAGCACATCTCTACTCATAGCACATACTTATCACTGCAGCCTAAGCTCTATCTGGCTCTGAATAGATTACAAGTCAAACTGCATGTGCGCCGCGCCAGTTGTATGTGAACTTAATTGCTAAATAATCCATTTTTTCTGCAGTTGACATTTAAATCAAATTTAGGGAACACGAAGCTACACGCGTTGTAAATAACCACAATTTGTACACCATATCAAAAAGATAATGTGTATTTCTGGAGCTGATTTCATCATTGTATAATTAGAACGAAAACAATAGATGTATTTCGCGATAACGTGAAGTGTGTACTACTTAGTTTACAAGTGACACCATTATATATATAATTTCCGGTTTACTGAACCTCGTCCCCAAAACATCTACAGTTGTTTGTGTACTTCATTTATCATCAAATCGTGGTTTAAAACTGCGTAGTTAACTCTCGGTAAACTGACAAATCCGGAAATCGCTGAACTCGAGTGCTTTGTCGGACATTTCTCATACACGATATCACTTACCTACACGACAGCTGGATTTCACAATTATAACTTTTGAGTGTTTTTTTTACCTGTTTTTAGTTATTCAGACATAAATCTGCTGAGACAAACAAAAAAATGTGTTTACGTTTAAAATCTTACCTATAGAAATCCGTGTTCAAATGTTATGATAAAGCTACACAGGACGTGCAGTGAAGAATAAATTATTTCCCTGTGTTTTTTTACTCGGTAGAGATTGTGGAGATTTAAAAATAGGATGTTATCGTGGGATTTTAATGAGTTATACTTATTTTATTTTGGTACTGAACTAAGAAACACAACAAAAATGAGAAACAGTTTATGACTTAGCATGAGGACAATTCAGTACACATATATTTATATAGCTAATATTCAATTGTAGATTTAAATAAGTTTGCTGTCCAATATTTTTTTCTAAAGAAATGTAATGATTGCGGAATATATACAAGTATTGTTGTAAGGAAAAGAGGTACTTGAAAATAAAAGCTGATGGAATGTCATTGTTTATTATACAGGTACAGCCTACTCACGGCTGAGGTATCACTCTGATGGAGATGATTCAGAGTCCCCTACCCACGGGAGGAAACTACCCGATATCGTTCTCGTCCACCGGGATAGATCAATATCTCTCCCGGACGTTCACCACCAACAGCGGCTTGATGTGGGTCGGGAACTACGGCGGATAGGCGACGAGTTCCACTTCGAGTTAACTAGTGCCCCACCCCGCGTCAGGAGGGTAAGTTTTTCGAAATGACAAGTATTGTGCTGATTTCTTAAAGAATGTTACCAATTAAATTTCTATCGAAGCTGTTTAGTGCCACTTAATTTAGCCGAAATCATGAGATAACTATGTGGTAATTTCGACATATTAAATCGTATGCGACACAAACCCGCTTATATACCTACGTTTTCAATCAGACATGTTTTCGCAAACCAACAGATCATTCACGATAGTATATACAACACTGTAAAACAAATATAACTGCCATGGTTACAGTACAGTAAATCAGTTCTGAGAATATGATATTGATAACATGGGTAATAATAAGGAAGATAATTGTATTTGTGTATATATTCTGGATTTTATGATCTAAGTAATATTTCATAAACGAATGTAATGATCATTGAAAACTAATTTGTCGTGTGGATTTTCTACTGTGGTATCAATCTGATATATTATGCCTCACCATGATTGATATCAGTTCCTAGTATCGTCAGAGGTGTACGGATTTTATTCATAGATATTAAAAAGATGAAATCATTTATATAAGAAAGCGTTATGTACATTGATAATTCATTGTGAAGATTCATATAGAATATGTTTATATCTGACAAAGGGAAGAAAATTGGTTATTAATAGTCACGTGCTATTGGATTAGACCTATCATATAAATAACTTGTTACGGCAGTGACTAGAATCATATCAGTTCGTCCCTCCCGTTTTAGTTTTTAACAAAAGACTTTGATTTAAATTCACGTAAAGCTGATATATGTTTTACTCAGACTCGCGTATCTTAGAGACCGAGACAAACCTTTTTATGTATAACACACGTGCTAAGATTAAAAGTAAACGATCAATGTGTTGCCACAATTGCACCATTTTTCAGACAGTGTCTTTCTTTAATCACCCTAGATTTTGCCCACGGCCCTTTATCTGATAAGTTTTAAAGTGAATGTCACGTGATGTAAATAAAAAAGTGAGCACGCGTCGCAAGAGGAAATTTGACAGATTTAGGTTACAAGGTTACTACGTTGTTGTCGTTATTACATATGCATGTGTGCTGTAGTACTACGTTGGCCTACTGCCAAACTCTTACATAAACCCTGCATGTTCATGTCTCTTTTGTTGTACTTTTAATATTCAACTCGGACAAAGACGTACACACTTTCAAAGTTTTATCAAGAAAATATTACAAAGTTTAGTACAACACGTTGCATCGTTGACACCCAATCATAAAAAGAAAGAAGTATTGACTGTAGTGACGGTGTTATTTTTTTTATTTTGATATCGGATACATTTCAGTCGTACCCGCTATTTGATGAACATTGTTCATACCTTAAAGTACATCTTATACCCGTGACCTGGGACCATTTCAAACCCCCTACATGATTTCAAAGTTCTTAACGAAATTAAGATTAATAGGTTTTATGTTCAGTGAACCCTTAAGAAACAACAGACTCGGAGATAAGTTAACAAGTCTATCGATACACACTGTATCAATTCTCTTTCGCATATAGGCAAAATTTGGCATTGTATGCAAGTGTTGTGTTGTTTATATGTATGACACGATGTTTACGCATATGACACGTACTTATCGACCTTGACTGTGGACGAGAGAGTTCACCTGGTGCCCTGTGCCTTCACAGCATCTGGAGCAAACATAATCACACCTGTACAGGTCGATACCTGGAATTTCCCAACCGTGCATCATCTTTGAATATCAATCTGGACTTTCCTAATCATTCGCTCACGTTCGTCAATCAATATTTAATCACTGATAACCGAGCTGATGTTTTCTATCTGATTCACGATTTGCTTATTTTTTATTCGATGACTAGAATATGTCTCCTTGCGTAATGGTTCAGTGAGGCATTTCCCTGCGTAAAACACCATGAATTGCTGTTTTTAACTACACGCCGTTTACGTTTTATAGGCTTAAGTAATTACGTACACGATGTTTTTGCTAATAAACGTATATCGGTATCTTCAAAGGAAATCTACACAACGCGGCACCTGTATGATCAACAAAGTTAAGTACGAAACAATAACACTTATATTACCTATGTAAAATCTTTAAAAATCATTTACAAGTTAAGCATGCACGAGCTTACCTTGCATTAATATTGGCAACTTTATCAATAAGGTAGTGCATGTTACCTGTGTATCTACATGTACAGGTGTAAAAACGTCACCTGTCAACTTTTATTACCCCTAACTGGGCCATTATCATTAGTCCAGTGGCCATGAGTCATACTTTGTTTCCGGTTTAGAAAGTTGCTGGCGGCAGCGAGCCTTAAATAGGTGAACAATCATGAACAAATCAATTGTATGGTGTGACAGGGTCTACACGTGTTCCCTTGTTTAGAAACCCCCTGGACAGCTTTGTTCCCAACCTTTCACCACCTCTATCGACTGGTATTAAATACGTTACACTCACAGGGGTCCGTTCCAGCTCCGTGTCACTATCAGGTGCTATTGTGGCACTTTTTGAAAGATTGTTTTGTCAGAAGGTATCACGTTACTAATGTTATTATCAGAAGGTATATAAATACATACAAAGGACAGGGAGACATACGTCTGAACAACTCTTATGTAAATCGCATCGTAAATTGGAACTTTAACTACACCAGTTACCTGAAACTGCAAGACCTTGAGTGTTCCTATTAAAATTTATTTATTTATTTATTTACAGAACAGCGTTGTGACTGGTCAGGCTTCGTCCTTTCCCGGGACAACAGCGTTCAATTTCCAGAATTGGTGGGAACAGCTCCGGACCATTTTCTCTAGTCCTGTTAACATAGATCCAGACCGCCAGCGAAGGAGAGCTTCGTCTTCAGCTGATCCCAGCTCCTTCCAGAAACACTTTTGACGTCATATCTTGCCATATGCAAAGTACATCACAACTTCTTTGACGGAACCCTCTGTAGTCATTCACAATGTGAAAGATCAAGCCATTTTAAAAATAAAAATACTTTATTCCTGGACAATCAAGATTGTAGGGAGGGTGTTCCGATCGATGTTTACATTAGGATCTCATCAATTTTGGCACGTAGCGAAATGGAAGAGGGCGTTCCGAATGCCCAAGACATTTGTTGACTGGGTAGCCAACTTTCGAGTTGTGCTGCCCTCTATGGTGCTATGTATGTAGAGTAGACACCTTATGTAGACTCTGTGTGAGTTAATGGGCAGGTTGTGATATGTCTATTTTTGTGGTATGTCCTAAGTCAGGTAAGAAATGTAATCATTACAATTCAACGACTTCGTACTCGCCACAGACAAGAGTGGTGATGAGAAGAAATGATAGCTCGTACTCGCCACAGACAAGAGTGGTGATGAGAAGAAATGATAGCTCGTACTCGCCACAGACAAGAGTGGTGATGAGAAGAAATGATAGCTGGACCAGTTTTTTTTTCTCTCAGACTATTACAGTATTTAGATGAAGTGTTTTAGCACAGTCAACAGACACGTTAAAGCACTCACAATAACAGGAAACACTACAAAAACCTCCAACTTAGTCCTTTGTGTCAATTGCTCATACTGGGGCCAAGCCCATTGTAGGACGATCTCATTTATTTTTTTTTTTTTTTTTTGGAGAGACTATTATTGTAGATTGTTTTAATTTGATGATATATAAGTGCTACAGAGACGACCGTGACCATTATCTTATTTTTGGTGCAAAGTACTTATTTGATAGGTTAGCCACTGCTTCCGACAACTTGAGACAGTTGGCGGGAAAAAAACCTGAGGTGTTCAGTAGCAGTAGTTACTCATTATAAAGGCATTTCCGGCAAATATTGATTGTTTTTACATGGACAGTTTTGGGTAATGTTTCCATATCACTGTTAGAATACAAGTGAATGGGCCTAGTCATACCCGACAATTTATCTGTAATCATTGCCAAATCAAATGCGCATTTCCGGAACTACTATCTGACACAGGCCGTTTTATTGAAAGAAATAATTTTCAGTACCGTCTGTCAATGTTGACGTACGGAAACTTCTTTTGGGGAATTATGACCTTATCACAGAAAGGTACCAGATAAGCTTAACTCCCACTTCTTAATGTTCATTTAAAGCATTATTCCATTATCTAGCATTTGTATGCACAATGTTTTTTTTTTTTCAAAACATCATTTCATTGATTATTTTCTTGTTCAGGCACAATGTTCCGAGATTGCACGTTTACAATATAAAAGCAGGGTACAAAACGTGATGTTTGTGTATGACTTATACACCAGAAAAAAAACTTACCTCGTCAGTAATTATTACTATAGTATAAATCTTTTGTTGTCGATGATTAGAAATATGTTTATCAAATATCATTCAAACAAACCACCTATGCAGCACACTTTGCCGACATGAGAGTAATGCATCATGGTCAGTATAATTCATCAATTATTGCACGCGTTTACAGTATAAAAATCAATATTATTTTCTGATTAATTTATTTTGATAAGAGAATGTTAAATCGCTGCCTACGAGACACTTACTATACATGTACATTAACACGTCATTCTCTTGGTTTTGCACAAATCGCTGACACGTGATTTCTAAGTATCGCGTACACATTAGTAATATGGAGAGTGTTCGGAACAGCTACAAGATCACTATTTTAGATTTAACAATAGTTAATCATGTGTGAGAGAGTGCGGCATTATGCCATAAAATGTGAAGAAAAAACATTTTGAAAGTTTTCCAAATGATCTCAAACTTTTTTCTTTTCCTTGTTGCTAACTTTTGTACATATGAACTCTGTATGTACATATCTTGTGTATAATAATAGTCCGTGTATATATGTAGACTAGAGTCGTACCCTTGGTGTTTAGCTGTAGTGCTTCTTTGTTGATTTATGTGACCAGAACTGGAGTTAGAACTTTACGTTGTGGTAAAACTTCGATAACATACCTGTCCATTTTCGCGCGAACTGAACAAAAAGCACAAAATCTCATGACTAGATTTCATCTCAACGATGATAATAATTTAAGTGCAGATCCTTCAATTGGCAATAACTCTATTCGTAAATGGACGCTAAATTATTCCCGCGAAAATAAAGTGATTTACATTATACGTTTGGCTAAGGCGTTTCATGATGTAACGACCGAACTATTAGTATGACGAACTCAAAATATTTTCAAAACAAATGATAAATACATATACTAATAACATCCGAATGACAAACTTTAATGAGCATGTCCTACTTCATTTGTCATTGCTTTGTATATAGTAACGTGGACGTGGGTTCGAATCTTCCAACGACACTACGTACTGTCTCTTAGCTACCAACTAGCCTTCATCTGTTCACGGCTCTATTGGTCTTCTTTGCTCAAATATATCTATCAATTTTAATTTGATACTTTGCAATCTTTTACTATGATATTTTTATTTATTTTCGCCTTGGTTTACAAACATCTATGAGAGTGTAAACAAATTTGTCCCCGAAGTGCTTATTTTTGTTCTGTGGAGTACTAGTGTCGGTGACCGAAAGGATCATCTTTCACGATCATGCAATCAATTTATTTTTGTAAGAAAAGTTGAGGAGAGGATTTATATTGAAAAGAAAGAAAAAAAATGTAAAAAGAATGAAAAGACAAAATTGAAGGTGACAAATAATAAATGTATATTGCCTTGATTTGTGTGCGTGTGTTTCTGATTTACAAATTTTATAATCATCTGTTTAATAATAAATCGACAATTAACGCGATGAACTGAAAGGTTTCTGACAAATGTGTACTAGACTAGATCTCATTTATTATTAAATCTTTGACATAAACAGTGTATTTGTGAAAGTCAGTCAACCGTAAACTACAACTGTAACTTTCTGAGGAGGTCATTTGACCATACACACAAATATTCCTACTTTGTCTGAGGACGTCATTCGATAATGGAGACAAATGTAAAAGTGTGGTGCCTGTCCGAAGAGATCATTCTGCCATGCAGAAAAAATTGTGCGCGGAAGTCATTCGACCATGCAAACAATTATTAACAAAGTTTGTCTTAGGTAGTCATTTGACCATGGATACAAATCTACACCAACTGTCTGAGGACGTCATTCGACAATGGGGACAAAGCTAAAACTGTGGTTATCTGAGAAAAACATTCGACCATGCCGACAAACATGTTGTCCGAGGAAGTCATTCGACCATGCAGACAAACACAAACAATAACTATCCGAGAAAGTCATTCGACCATACAGACAAACACAAACAATAACTATCCGAGAAAGTCATTCGACCATACAGACAAACACAGACAATGCTTATCCGAGAGAGTCATTCGACCAAACAGACAAACTTACGTAACATACTGCATAGGCAAATCAGCCAATGCAAGACAAGCCCCCATTAGAGCACTTGTTTGTTCATAACCTACCTTTACTATTTAAGTAAAAAAACTTTACCAGATTCACATGTACTTTACGAACGTCAATCTTGCTTGACAAACATTACGGAACACCATGGAAAAAATTACATGAAATTCTTTTTGAAATTTAAAAGAAAAATAATTAGTAACTGAATATAAAAAGTAAGCTAACGATCTATCCACCAATTGATCGACACCTATATTCGTGGTTTGACAGTGTGTTTACTATTAGAATGGAGGTTTGTAACTTGGTACGTTTGTATTTTTAATTTTATCTGCATTGATGGGAGAAATCAGCTCACTCATCAAGTGTTTCTCTATTTTAAGAGAGTCCTGGACGTTTTACGTCGAGCTGTCCATCTTGGTATACTTACTCTGAAATATCACTTAAATCTAGTAAACAGCAATGTAAATAATATAAAGGCCTGTGTAACAGTAGATATCAGATAAAATAAACATTTATATACAAGTTTATTTTGATAGAGATCTTGCCTTAAACTAACCATACGTTTTGTGTGATGACAAGACAAAAGCCATTAGAGCTTTGTCAATGGGTCAGTAGCACAGCCACCGGTTACACGAGCTGAGATATACAGTTCATCGTATGTAAACCGTTTACTTCTCCACGAGTATTGAATTATATGCCGCGGGTTGTTATGTCTGCAGCGTATTGGAACTTTGCCAAGAAAGCAACAAATGTTGTTTGGAGATGAAAATAGTAACTTACTCACACAGCTTGCATAGAAAAGTTGAGAGTGAGGGCAATTATTGGAACAGCCAAGGCGGGGTTAATGCTCCCGATACCAAACAGTCGGACCACGCCCCCTGTCGCAGGTAAATCGGACCTGTCATTTACACGAAAGCTTACCTGTGTCGTGTAGTATTTATAAGGCTGACGTGGTTCGTATTAAATACACGTCGAGATTTTGCTGTAGGAATGAACTTTAAACCACAGTAGGACATTACCTTATCTGTTGTATATATCTGTGATACTGTTGCCTTTCTCACCTGGTCTTGATATTTAATACAATTATCGCCAATCTGTAAATGATATACTCTTCAAGGTATTACAGATTTTCAATGTAAATGCAAGTTACAAAATTTAAGGACCTGAACTTTGATGATATATTGACTTGAAAAGTATGAGAACTGTTAGGGATTCATGGACCTTGATAATGTCACGACTTGACAAGTATGAAAAGTGTTATTGATTCTTGATACCTTCTGTCTCCCTGAAAAACGGGAAGCAAATTTTGTATAAAAAACAAGGCTTTGATGTAGGGTTGTTCTTGTTATCTTCGAATGGAATAAGCTAGTCAGCCTAGCGTTGTGTGAAAGTAATCACATGGCTAAATGTTAGCCCACGATCCGGTCATAGCAGGTTTTGAAAAAAAAGGATAAAAACAAAGGATTATCATCACATTCTGAAGTTCAATGATCAAAGATTTTCTTCCTGTCAGAATGCAGTCAATGAGATAAAAAAAAAAAAAAAACACCACGCCGATTCAATTATTAGAAACAAGACCTAATTCCTTAACATCACAGTCGGCAAATGAACCGGCAAAAGGAAAATTACAAAGATCCCCGTTTCAATGATTTAGATATGAAATGGGGTAACGTGATAACAAAACGTTAACACAGACCGGAAAAGGGAACCGGAACAGACGGAAAAAACACAAACAGACACACCACACTGGAAAAGTGAACCGGATCAGACGGTAACAACACAAATAGACACAATACACAGGAAAAGTGAACCGGAACAGACGGAAACAACACAAACAGACACACTACACCGGAAAAGTGAACCGGAACAGACGGTAAAAACACAAACAGACACACTACACCGGAAAAGTGAACAGGAACAGACAGAAACAACACAAATAGACACACTACACCGGAGAAGTGAACCGGAACAGACGGAAACAACACAAACAGACACACTACACCGGAAAAGTGAACTGGAACAGACGGTAACGACACAAACAGACACACTACACCTGAAAAGTGAACTGGAACAGACGGTAACGACACAAACAGACACACTACACCTGAAAAGTGAACTGGAACAGACGGAAACAACACAAACAGACACACTACACAGGAAAAGTGAACCGGAACAGACGGAAACAACACATACAGGCACACTCCACACACATGAAAGACAACAAATGGCTCAGAAGGGTTGGGTTTACAGCACCACATGTGGTTACCACTATTTAACCAGTGTCTTCTGAGAAGAATATTAAAAATCACCTACGATCTAAAGGAAAGTGAAGAAGACTGGTAGTTATTAACAACCAGACATCTGACAACAAATATAGAAAATAGATTGGAGACAATGTTTAGTAAACAGTTACTCTGGTTTGGATTACTTCTTTTGTCTAGTTCACCATCCAGATTGAAATGTGTTAAATTGCCATTCAAAACGATTACGTTGAACCATTTAAAAACATTTCCTTATTTACTGGACATGCATAAAACATTGTTATCAACAACAATGCAGTTGGTTTGATATTTTGACGAGAGAAGAAATCAGTACAGGTACACGCACATTGACCAACCGGAAGTTGAACTAAATGCAGCTAATACATCATGACAAATCAATGTAAAAGGAAAGTTAAGGTACAATTATCACATTAATGACATGTCACCAAATCAACAAATTCTTAATCATTCTAAATTTTATTTATCTTATCAAATGGGAGGAATGATGATTGCTTAACACCTGACATATTAACATGGATCAGTGTTTGAAGATTAAAAATTTCCGTAGTTTAATAAAAAAAAAAACAGATGAAAATTTAACGAACAATAATTGTTTTGAAAAAAGCTCTAAAGAGAAAAAATATCCGGATTAATGTTCTTCATTTTTTCATGAAGGCTGAAGAAAAATGAAGCTTACAAATCGATGGATAATTTTAACAATACATATGGCAGTAATGAATGTCATCTCCGAAAAGCTGATTTTCCTAAGTTCCGAGTTTATACAAAAATGTTGAATAAAAATTCTTGATGACCTTATCTGTTAATACTCGTAACCAATCATAAATAACTTCTGCTTATTTTACACCATTTTTTGAAGAGTGGTTATTTGTGTTGTTTACTACTAGTTAAATAAACTATAGACGTGATATACTCGCTATCAATTACATTGTGTTGTATACCACTAATGCAAAAAAAAAAAACCCGATAGACGTGGATGTATATCACCATCGATTCCGCGCGAGGAAGCAGTTAAAAGATTAATTAGTCTACACGAAAGGCAAAACAAATCTTTTAGTCACTTGATTCTTGAAGTTGCGAGTAGAAAACAACAACATTTACCCAACAACGCAATAAAAAAAGCTTTAACAACAATTGATTAGACAATGTTTTACAATGATTATACCGAATATTTTATGTATTATGTCGTTTTCAGGTAGATCTTTTAATCAGATACAGGATTTATTAAACCCCCTCTCTCCCCACTGACAGACATTTTGCAGCTATATTAAAAAATCACCTTACTTTTAAAAACACCGTTAATTATAAAATCCGTAAAATGAGATTTGATTTCGATTTAAGCAAAATGACAAGGAAATTAATGTTTCATACCGTTTCATACTTAACGGTACGTTAATCTTGTCCTTTGTTTTAAATCCTATAAAACTCTATACATTCCCACATTAGGTATAAGACTGGTCTGACTGTTGCTAGAAAAACAGAAAGAACAAGAAAATAAATAAAAAATGAACAAATCGAGAAAACGTTGAAAATATTGTTGTCATATCATGGTTTGTTAAGCCATTACACAATATACACTTGAAAATACATGGAGAAATACGGCTGTGTTCCAGAAAGCTAAGCGTCCTCTATTTCATCAAAGACTCCTACCGTGTGAATATAGGTCAATGCAAGTAATATTTATCAATACTAAAACTCAGTGAAAATCCCATCAGTCATATCAAATAGCACCTAACCGATCGAACCCGATACCACACAATGAAATAAAATATTCTCCGATGAAGTCAGGTTGACAACCCATACACTCGTCAACCACTTTCAGTTCAAGTGTATGTCCTCCGTTCTTCTGTCAGCTGTCGATACCTATCAAAATTGCCGTAATTTGGGAACAAGCTGGGGAAGCAGGGCAGTTACTTTTCAGAAATAGAAAATCAAAATTAGGAAAGCCCAAGTCATCACTTCTATTATAAAATGCGGTGTTAGTGAATTGAATTAAGCGCCTGATTTAGAGG